ACAAGATCGATTTAATATATGCTGGATTGAACGTTCAGTACGTGCTCCGCTTTCTATTCGAGCAGAAGAAAAAGCAGAATGGAAACCTGAAGACCCACGGCGAGCTTCGCAAATACAAAGATGCTATCCTATGGGGAGCTAAAGTTGCCAAGCAAAGACTTCCTCGAAGCTTCTACGAAGAGATGGACACTTTCCTGCAAAGCTACAAGAAAGAGTTCGCGCAAGCAAAGAAGCAAGGTAGTGTGGACGAACAAGAAGCTGACCCAATCACGTTTTCCCTGTATTCCCTCATTCTTGACTGGGCAGTCGAAAGCAACAATGTCTTTGTCTGGTTCTGGACACTGTCGCAGTGGAATTTTATGGCAAGATGCGCATCCATTGATCCTTTGCGTTTCCACAATTTCAAAGTGGGACAGGACAGTATCATTGGGAAGTATGACGACCAGAAGGCAGACAAAGCGGGGGAGAAGTTGTCAGAAAAGAACATATACGCCAATCCATTCAACTGGAAGCAATGCTTCTGGACAGGCTATGGGATTTACGTTGCCTTAAATGCAGACCGACTAGCATCGGATGAGCGACTGTTCCTCAGCCAATCGGCGAAGGAGGGGAGTGCCTCGAAGAGATATTGCGAGCAGCTGACAACCATCATTGAGAAGCACGAGACAGAAGTCATGGCCCACTTACGCCCCAAGCATTTCAATCCTTATGGTTTGCGCAAGGGAGCAGCCACACATGCCGTATCAGGAACAACCCAATCGCCATCGCTTCCATCTGTTGCAAGAAGAGGTGAATGGTCTCAAGGGCAAGTACTGGACGTGTACTGGCACTTTGCCTCTAGTGGAGACCACTACCTTGGACGAATTCTAGCCGGTCTTCACCCAAACAAAGTTGGATTTGCGACACTGCCACCTCACTTCACCATGAACGATGCACGCAACAATCCGGTGATTCTTAAAGCAATGGAAATGCTGTACCAACCACTTCTCACTGCTTACCAGGGCAAGAGCAACAATCCACTCCCAATACTGTTACGGTGCCTTGCTTGCATTGTGTATCACTCAGACAGTCTTATTCAAGCAATGGTGAGAACTCCAGGACATGATTTTTCCAAGCTCGCTATTCTCCACGACCGTCCACTCCTTGCAGAGCTACAACGCCTTGTCACTACAGAACCAACAAAGAATGTCATGTCCGTTGCTACAGGTATACCGCCACACGTTGAACTTGCCATGCAGCTCCAGTGCGTCTTGGACATGGCGAGCAAAGTGATCGCGACTACAGAAACTCAGTCTGACCGGATTGTTACCACTGTAAGAGAAGCGATACAAGAGCAAGCTTGGCAGAGTGGCCACATTACTGGCCCAAAGCTACTGGAGACACTTCAACAATTTCAAAAAGAATCACTCGCTACTCTGACAATCGACTTGTTGAAATGAGAAGTGCAGGAACAACATATGGACAATCGCACCCTCCTGTTCCCCAAAACACAGCCGGTTCAGAACACAGCAATCTGTTTTCCTATGATGGGAAGTTCTTTGCCGTACCAAAGAACTTCAGTTTCCCAAAGACGAAACTACGAGAAGCCATTCGCTTTTGGTTGTGTGGACAGTCAGTGTCACAAGACGGCAAACAGAGAGTAATGCCCTTCAAGAACCTGACAATCCAGCTGCTACCCTCCCTTGAACTAAAGAACACGTTCAAGCTTCATTGGAAGCCACTGTTTGCTTTTTTAGAAGAAGCAGTTGCATTTCCAGCTGGGGGAATGAACGTGGATGCTTCAGAGCTGCAATCAATATATGATGGATGCATAGAACACCTCAAAAACAGAGTTTCCTATTGCTTCAAGAAGATACCCGAACCGGAAACGAAATGGGCCTTGTCAACATGGGCCAACCGAGTGACCAGATCTTCGATTCAAAAGCATGGAACCAATACCGACAAACAAAAGTTGGCACCAGCTGCCCCTAGAAACAAAGCAAGACAGAGTGGAAACAAGCGACAGAGGAAGGAAAGCCAAAATCCACTCTATGCTCGCCGACAACAGAAGAGAAGAATCGCCACTCAGAATACGAGACAAAGCACAATAACAAATCTGTTTGGCAACCACAACACACGAACTGAGGAGCCTACCACTGCTCGGCACAATACCACTGCAGCGACTACCACTACAGCGACGACTACTACAGCGGCGGCAGGGAATCCGACAGCAACAACAAATTCATTTTTGGAGGCATTTCCGGCCCCAAAACTTACACCGGCCATGCAGATGCGAGATCGACAAATCGCGAAGCAAATTGCCGAAGAGCACCAAGCCGATTTAGAACAACAACGGAAGGAGCAAAGAAGACAGAGGCAAAATATTGGTGACAGAGTTAACGAAGATGGCACTGTTCTTTTTGCGAATCGCCGAAGAGGAAGCCAAGCTCCCAACCTTGGTGATAACTCCAGTGTCTCTCGTGCAACCTATACAAATTCTCTACTGACACAAGCGTTCGGAGAAGCTGGCAGGTGCGCCATTGTCGGTTGCTCGCATCCACAACTGAAAGCCGACCACCATTGTCATGGCGGCAATGAGGCATCTCTCCAGTTCAGATGCCGGCGACCAATCCACAATCTATGCGCCCAAGCCAAAGATTTGTGTTCTGCTCACAATGAACTCAATGTCTACTGTTCCTCTAGGTGTAAGCGCCTCACTGATGGTGCAATACTTAGCAAACAGCTTGATAAATAGTAAAGCCCATTTGTCGATCTTTTTTTGAGTGAGTGTTTTCTTTTTTTTGAAGATGTTCCAGGGCAGCCGTAACAACTTCAGTATTGTTACCATTCATTGCACTATTCCTCAATTTTCTTGGAACGACAATGCACAAAAAGACTACCACAGGAAAAGACTACCACAATACGCTTTGATGATTCTGATTTTTTGGTAGGAATATGGGTGACACCAAACATAATGCTAGCTGTATGTTGTTGCCAAGAGTCTTGCCCCTACCGAAGTAGGCACTGACTTCAAGCAAAATAGCCGCAGCAGTTGTTGTTGTGTTGTGGTTGTTGTTGTTGCTGTAGTAGTAGTAGTAGCGTTGTCCGTTGCTTCACCATAATGCCAAGAGCCTTGCCCCTACCGAAGTAGGCACTGACTTCAAGGCAAAATAGCGCAGCAATCAAGGGAGTAGTAGTAGTAGTAGTAGTAGTAGTAGTAGTAGTAGTAGTAGTAGTAGTAGTAGTTGTTGTTGTTGTTGTTGTTGTTGTTGTTGTTGTTGTTGTTGTTGTTGTTGTTGTTGTTGTTGTTGTTGTTGTTGTTGTTGTTGTTGTTGTAGTGTTGTCATTTGTTGTTTGTTGTTGTAGTAGTCAACGCAAAATGCGCCGTACATCCGGGTTCCTCCTGAAGTCCGTTAGCCAATCAGAATGCAGTATACAACCAGTATAAAAATCTCCGGCACACTTGAGTTATCGCGTGAGTTGCAGCCACATTGTACTTGTATCAGAATCTTAGTACATGAAATGCAGTCATTGCATACATGCTTGTTACGTGAACTACTAGTAAAGATGGAGTATTCTACATGTATGGAATTAGTAACCAGAAGGAAGAAAGACAACATACAGTCAACACTCACTAAAGTTCCACCCCCCAGCATTAAGAAAAAAACGGAACTTAGCTGAATTACGGAACTTTAGATCTTTGGAGCCACCCGTTCGTGGTCTTAGGACCCACTTGGGGTGGTTCCTGTCATATTCTATTGTTTTTGGGGGGGAAAGGAGAGATAAGCGGTCTTGGGGTGGAACTGCTTTGCTCCTATGTATGGCGTCTGTATTGTGTTGGACCAGTAGAACATGCTATGTGGCTAGCTAGTTTCGAGCTCTCTAAGATGCCTGTCATGAAAGATAGATGAAGAAACTTTATATATGTATAAATGAACAATCTGAATGCTGGGTCCTGATTGGCAGCACTGTCTCAAACTGCCACAAAGCACATTCACTTGTCAGTCATGAGAACTAGTGACTCAGGGGGGGCAGCCCTGAAAAAGAGGAACTTTGTAGAGTAATGGAACTTTTAAAAGAAAACGGAACTTTTAAAGTGAGTGTTGACTGTACAAGACCAATGACTGCTTTCACGAAATTTGCAAAATTTGTTTCACCCCAACCCTCATATTTCAGCATAGAAGAACGCACACAAACCCAAATGTTGAAGGTGCCAGGTGTAACCTTTTATCGGAAGGCCAGATTCATCATTCGATCGCATTCGTCCCACACAAACAAACACAACACACAAAACGATCGAGTTGGAAGCGCAACGTGTTTGGCATGTCGACAGATAGCTATAATACATAGCTGTAGAGATTGGTAGACAGAGAGTGCTTTACAAGTCAACTTTTAAAAGCTTAAGCCAAGGATTGACTTAACTTATTATAGTCTGATCTGACTTGCTTGACTTGACTTGACTTGGCTTAAAAGTTGAGTTTATTGAGTTTAGAGGAAAAACAGGAAAATGATAGATCTTTCTACTTTTTTGATGAGATGGTTTTTTCTGTGTGGATTGATGAGAGATGGACCAGAGATTCAGACTTTGCCTTACACTCCCTACCAGCATCATCAGTACCAACAGTATGTACACCATCCCATTCAACCTCCTTCCATTGAACCCAGTCAACCAGAACAAGGTCAGCAAGTTCAGCCTGAACCTTATCAAGATACAAGTGCTTTGGTGGGAGTTGGAACCAATGGAAATCCTGAAGAATCTTGGAGAAGTCAATGCTTGCATGGGATTCTGTCTTATCCACCAGGAAGTCAAAGAGAATTGGTCATGGATGCCATGAGATGTGAATTGGTTCAACAGCTAGATTACTTCTTGAAAACCAATGATCAGAATGACAATGCCAATGATCAGTCCAATTCATCAAGTTTATCAGAAAGTTCATCAAAACATGTATCAGCATCCAATTCAGGCAGTTCAGCTAGATCAGCTGAAAGCAGGTCAAAAGGTGCATCAGAAAGCAGATCAGGCAGAACAAGTTTATTGCAATTGCAAAGCAAAAACAAGAAAAAGCAAATTCGAGATTGTCTGCCTCAGTTGGTATCAGCAGTGCTACGGTCTCCAGCACCCCATGATTCCAATCTCGTGGATCCCGTACATCAGCTACGACAAATCATACTGGCCAAATGTCAGCAAGATCCTAGTTGGGGCATTGAACTCTGTTGGCTACTAGAAGCCGAAGTGGGACGAAACTGGAAATCCATGTTTGAACACTTGCAACAACCCGGACGCAGACTCATCATTGCCTTTCCATCCGACAAGGCCGTTGCCATTGCCAAAATTGGAGTTGAAAAACGAGAAGCATTCGATCTACTCCAAGATGTTGAAACCGTCACGGCTTATGGAACCTACAATCAACATTCACATCAGACGCATCATCATCATCATCATCATACAACACAGTCCACTGTGCTGCCATCCAGTATCAGTCTTTTGCGATGTAGTCACTTTGGAGATACCATGCAATTCGTGGATCGATTGACGCAAATATCCATGGATCTCAGAACAGTTCCCGCCATTAGTAGATTGGTACGTACATTCATCACAATTACATTAGTTACATGCAATGCATGATGCATGCGTTCAGCTCACTCTCCCACGTTACTTCCTTTCCTTTCTTCATTCCAATTTGACGACGACAGGACCACCTGCAAGGATGTTTGTACGAAATGAATCGAAGACTGCGACGACGCATGGTCACTAGAGGACAAGTCAGTCTAGACGTAGAAGACCAGCTAGGACCATTCTCGTGGCCTACACTCAAAGACATGGCACTCGATATGGTACACCATTCCGTACATTTCCCACTCGTTCCCAATGCCGGAACATGGCCTGCGGGCACTTCACCCAAGGCAGAACAAGGAGGAGTCGTACGGGTACTCAATATCGTCGTACCACAGACACGATTGCTGGCGTCCCGAGAACGATGTCCGTATCTGGTACGATTGGAAATTGCCGAGACTGGATTCGACGGAAGCGATGCTCGACTCTATGCCACAGGCGCCCCGCAACTTGGAGTCACTGTCGCCGAAGCACTAGAGTGTGCGGTCGATACTGATGAGAGTGACGATGACACGAACAGCAATGAACAGCCATGTCGCAGCATTCCACCCGAACTACTCACCATGGCGCCCGACAATTACAATTACACTGCCACAGACAACACTGCGCTGCGAGGAGGATACCAACCATACGTGAATGATGAGGATACCTACTCGGCCGATGCGTACCATTCGGTACGACAACACGAATACGAACAACTCCATCACCACATGCAACAACAGCAGCAGCAGCAACCGCGCCCACCGCCGCCCAACAATAATCAACCACAACCACAACATTACGACAACGTGAACAACAACAACAACCAAAATGGCAATCCTCCTCCTCCCAATTTTGAACGGTAAGCTTCGTATTATTGTCAACGAGAGATTGATCGATTCGACCCGATTCGTCTCTGGATTTTCGTGTCTCAATCCTCGTGTTTCGTTTTCTCGGTCTTTCGTTCATCGTTGCTTCCGCTCTCACACGATACGCACGATAGACCCGTCGTGACGTTGGGAGATACATTACTCGACCGGGTCTTTGGACAGCCATGGAAGGAAGTTTGTGATGAAGTACGAAAGGAATCTCCCTACGGACACGTCAAGGGATGGCAACTAGCATCCTTCATTCTAAAAGCGGGGGAAGATATTCGACAAGAAGCACTCGTCATGCAAATGATTTCCAAATTCAAAGAATGGTTCGAGACGGAAATTCCACCCGAAACACGACCCTTCTTGAGACCCTACACCATTATGTGCGTCGGTGGAGACGCGGGGTTGGTAGAGTGTTTGACCGATGCCAAGAGCGTCGATGAAGTCAAAAAGGTCACGGATGGATTCGTGTCCTTGCGAGATTACTTTGAGCGTGCCTACGGACCGCCGGGATCGCAACAGCATCCACAACAATCATCTACTGGTGGCCTGACCTTTGAGCAAGCCCAAGACAACTTTTTGCGGTCGCTCGTGGGGTACAGTTTGGTCTGCTACGTTCTGCAAATCAAGGATCGACACAATGCCAACCTACTACTGGACCGTGAAGGGCACATTGTGCACATTGACTTTGGCTACGTCCTAGGAGATATGCCCAAGATGGCCTACGTACCAACGTTTACCGAACGAGCGCCATTTAAACTCAGCGACGAGTTCTGGGATGTACTGGGAGGATGGAATGTCAAACGGGGTGGTCTGGGCGTCAAATTCTGCAAAATGTTCGAAGAAGCGTTTGCCTGTGCATCTGCCCACTCGGATGAACTAGCCTGCATGGTGGAGGGAATCATGCTTACGCTCAAGGGAAATCCCACCGAGGCAAGGCGGTGTGCCAACAGCGTTCGCGCCAACCTTCGCATGAGAGGCCCGCCGAATTCGATACAACAAAAGATGTTCATTCGGGAGCTCATTGCCACTGCGCAAACGAGTTGGACCACCTCATCGTATGATTGGTTGCAACGACAAATGAACGGGTACCTGTAAACCAGGAGGAGGTATACTGCGGTGGACTCGGTGCCGTCGTACACAACATGGCAACGCACAGTTAGAGCCGCATCTTAGACAGTCGCTTCGTTTTGTGGGGGTTTGCATCTGTCGGGGCTTGGTATTAAATGAGTGGAACCAAAAGAAGACGGTTTGTGAAACAGAAAGTATCCGAGCGAATGAAAGGGTTTTGCTTTTGAATTCGGTCGTACGTGATTTCATGTCGTAGCCCACTTTCGACCGATGAAGAGGCGTGTTCGGGAGGTGGGAAGACGATCGAGAAAGCAGATGTAACGAACAGACCACAACTCTGATGTCACTACGAGACTGGAATCTATCTGGGCACGTCTTATTCCCACTGTTCCGCTGTGGAAGAAGCATCCCACTTGTACCGGTAGGCTGACGCAAAGTCAGAATATCGACGAAGCAGTGTTTGAATTCTCCTCGGAATTGGAGCTAACCTTGTAATAACCCAAGTTTTTGCTGTGGTGCCTTGCGCTTCCGAGTTGAGCAAAATCCCCTCCCCGTATTTGAAATGACTTTGAAACATTGCTCGAGCACCGAGCGATGTCGCACAAACCTAACTTCTTCGCAAATAAACTTGTTCGGCCGTCGGTAAGACTAAGTACGACTGTATGAACCAGCACGAATAGTCCATGGCGCTGCGATTTGGCGCACGCTCGAATAGAATTTTGAATGAATCAAAGACTTTGGGAGACGCCCAGCAGCAGATTCATGCACGTTTCTGTGTTCCTTCGAGTGGATGGAAAGCTTCGGCCCTGGCCTAAGTCGGATTCGATGTGACGTGCGATCTACCAACAGAGCTCCCGCTTCTTCTGGCAATTATACCGTACGTCAACACTGGGGTCAAAATCGACAAGCAATAATGTAGTTTAGGACTACCGGTAGCTAGCTAGATTCGATTCAGGAACCCGCATCCCTGATCCGTGTCTTGAAACGTCCGTCCCAGGTCGACTCAACCTTCAATTTGATGAAGCAAGCCATGCTGAAGAGACCGTTTCACCGTGTCTGCCAACGAGCGCCTTTTAAAACAAACGCACCTGGATAGAAGACGTGTCTGTCCAGCCCAAAAAAAAATTCGTCTGTCCAGCCTGAGCATCAAAAGCTTGGAAAGTGAGTTTCATGTCTTGCATCCTCGAGGATTCTATTCTCCTGTTTCGTTTCATTTCATTGTTCGATCCCGAGCATCTGTTCGGGTGGGAACTTCCCTTTTGGCAACATCCTAACACACAAAGCTACCAGCAAACTTCCTGGATGGATAAAATCCAAGGGCCGAACCCGTCCTCTACCCAAACCAACTTGGGCAAATTCGACTTCACCCAGACGTCGGATCCAATGTTGCGACTCCATGGAAAGCCCTTGCCTTGCATCATCACCAACAAATCTCTCGAGCCGCCAAAGCTAAAATCGCTTGTCTGGTTCTTCCGTTAATTGTTGTAAAATTTCCAAGACGTTTTCGTGTTTTTCCTCTGGGATGTAACAGGCAAGCAAGATGGAAAGGAAGCCTTTTTGTATCACACCGATCGAGCATAGCAGCGCAAACCCCAGAGTGAATTGATTTGAATTGAATGCCTAACAATTTTTACACGGTCCATGTTGGAACAACCATTCCTCGACCTGTTGTCCAAATCGATCGTACTGATGAATGATGAAGGATCGTTGCCAATCCGCATTTCGAAAGTAACCTTGTTCATCCGTCATTTCAAATTCCGGTGGCAACCAATTTCCTTGATTGTGTTGTTCGTGAGTAGTGTAGGGATGTTCCAATGCCTGTCGTATGGTCATGTTGAGTGCTTTTTTGTGTTCTCGTTTGGCGACATGAATGAGGTCAGCTTGAACCCCGACCGTATAGACCAATCCGTGTCCATTGGGTACTACTGTGGTAGTGTCAGCTGGAAATTTGTGTAGTCCATAATGTAGATAATTGTGAATGGCTTGATCATCACCACTGAGAGGACTGCAACAACATTGTGGTTTTTTCATCCATTGTGTCATTTCGTCTACCATGGTCTGTAGATAGTGCAGCATGGCCTCTCGTGTTCCCACCGTGGTGCCACTACAAAGCATGACCTCGTTGAATATTTTCTGTCCAGTGCAGTGTTCAATGGGTTGTTGTGTGAGCCAATGCGTGGTTCGTTGTCGTTTGGTTTCTTCAAAGAGTTGCAATCCTGTCACAGGGGGAGCATCGGGGCCAAATGGATCTCGTTGAAAGAATGTGTCTCGGACATCGGCAATCAGTACAGGCCCTGTACATTCTGTACACTCTGTTAGGTAGTCTCGTTGCAAGGCAAATCTTGCCCATCGTGCTTTCAAGTGGGGATACGGGTGGGCACAGGTTCTTCGTTCTACATCGTGTTCATTGGTGGGATTGCCGCTGTTAGCATTATTAATAGTATTGTCACCATCGACTCCATGTGTACAGGCCACCTTGATCAACGGGTAAGTGGTGACTTTTTGACTTTTCAAGTATTCTTCCACTCCTGGTTTGGGATCTTGGGAAACGATGAGAATAATGTGTCCCAAAAACCCAACGGCTCGTAGTGATCCCACAAAACGCTTGTAACTGTGGACGTCATAGTTCGTGGCCATGCCCATCACAGTGGCATCCTTGCTGCTAGTAACAGTAGTATTGGCACGGTCTGTCTTGATTAGTGTAGATGTAGATGACGATGAGGCCAACAGATTGATATTGCTGTAATCCACTATAGATGCAGCTGTGTCCCTATAGATAAAAACACAAATGCCAATGGCCAGCAACAGTGAAACCAAGTGTTTATAGCGAAAGCTGCCTTTGTTATAGTTGCTGCTGTCAACCTTCTGATGCACTTGAAGGCTGCTCTTGATTTGTCTTGGTCGACGGGGCATGATGGAAAGAAACTAGATCAACTGTATGGGAAAGGAAGAAGGAAGAATGAGGTTGTGAGTTGTGTGAAGAAAAGAGGAACGAAAATGGATCTTTTGGATCCTTGGTTGAGTGAGTCATCAAAGGTGCGTCACAAGGGACTGACTTGAGAGTTTGGTTATCATTCCACCAACAAAGATCTAGATCTACTGGGGGTTCACCTCGGCGGCGCGATCCACCGTGCTATTTGAACCGAATTCATGTATCTTCCAATGGCAATTGAAAACTAGCTGTAGCAAAAGTAAGAACAAGAGATTTGTCAGCAGCCCTATTCAAGGCTGATGGAATTGAAAGAATCAAGAAAGGAACGCTCCACATGATGTGCTCACCAATTGGGTGAAACAGGCCTAAAACCATGTATTCAAGTTCTAAAGGTTATTCAACATTTGCTCATCATCATCATTTTGCTGTAAGGTATGGACTCCAAAATACCCACCAGCCCATCCAAGTCGTACAGTACATATGTTTTAGCTGGCCGGCCTGCCTTTTCTTCCGAGACCAGTGAAATTGGAGTTGGCTTATTGCAGTATACCGAGCCTAAGTAAAACAAACCTTGCTTTCCCCCTGTGACCAGACTCTGTCAAAGCAAACAACGAATTGAATTGCCAGGGACCTGGAGGTTCCCAAGGGCGGCGCAAAGGTCTCTCCCAGGGATCCAATCAATGTTGCATTCTACTGAGATAATCAAAGCTGGGTATCAAGAAGCATGGCTGACTTATTTGATCCAACCGCGAATGAAAGACTTTGCTGGTCTCCACGCTCTCCACACTCCACAAGAGTTTCGAGCATCCTCGAACTGTAAACTCTGGAGCGTTCCTCAATCGTGCATGAAACCGACCCTAAAATAGGGTCGGATTTAGGGTCGGATTCCCTTTAGGGTCGGGTTTCGAAACCGACCCTAAAAATAGGGACGTTTTCTGAAAAATAGGGACGGTTTCTGAAAAACCGTCCCTAATTTAGGGTCGGGTTTCGTTTTAGGGTCGGGTTTTGAAACCGTCCCTATATTTAAGGACGTATTCCCCCAAACCGACCCTAAATTAAGGTCGGATTTAAAGTCATGCACGATTGAGGAACGCTCCTGTGCACCCATTAAGCCTTTCAATTGCGAGCGCCTCTGTTCGGTAGTTCGGTACAGTACAAGCAAAATTACTCTTTGACTCGACTGACTCGACTCGACTCTAGCTAGCTAGTACATGTACAGGTAATAATATTTACTTGAGTACTCTAAACCCTTTAACTCCAGATGGTCACTTTTCCTCCCAAGCATCCCATCAAGGGCAATGAACGTCTAAATCTCGAAGCCCCCCAACTGGTCCCACTTCCCGCCAGTTATCATTCTCTCCTCCACGATCAAGTAGCTCTACACTCTCTTCCAATTGTAAAGATTGCTGTCATCAAGATAGCTACCGGTAATTAGGTCGAGATTGGCAAAATGACATTCCTGCAGACCTCATTTTTTCGAGCTTCTAAAGTCAAACCATAATAAGATGATGTTCAGTCTCAAACCCCTACTTGCTGCTACCTTATTGCTCAGCACTTTGGTGAAGGAGACTTTAGGTTCTACTGTAGTGTGCTGCTCTTGTTGCCCCATCTCGGGTGATTGCCCTGGTGTTCCAGCTGGTACCGTACCCGCCATCTATTCAGATCCGCCCTACTGTCCGTACAGTGCACAAAGTACTTGCTATGGAAGTGGCTACCCATGGGAGATTAGCTCCAATCGGTGCTCGCCAACGTATCAAGCACCAGCCACCTATCGGTGCTGTTCGGATCCCAACTGCCAGAACTGTGTGGTAGGCAACCATGCAAGTCCCCATGACTGTGCACCTGCTGCATATCCCTTTGCTCGAAACAACGTGGATGTCAACGAGTGCCGGGCCGTAAGACTGAGTACTCCACCTCCACAGAATACAGGATATGACTATTGTTGTGCCAATGGCTCTGGGACAAGTCTCCAAAACGACTGTGATGCTTGCAATGATCCATCCTGTAGTCCTCGCTGGTATTGCGAAGCCATGGAGGGATACTGCAGTGTTGTTGGAGCCACTGTTTGTCCCAACAATCCCGGGGCATGCTGCAGTGACAACAACAATAGTGTGGTTCGCACGTGTGCCGAGAACTCTGGTAATTTTATTGAAAAGTTTTGTCCGGACCAGCCACCAACCGCTGTAACGCCACCCAACAATAAGAATGGAGGAGGTGGAGGTGATCCTCACTACAAGACTTGGGCTGGCAAGTGGTATGATTATCATGGAATTTGTGATCTGGTACTGGTCCATGCCCCCGACTTTGGCAATGGGCTTGGCCTTGACATTCATGTGCGCACCAAGGAGCAAGGTGGCAGTGGTTTCTCTTATATTGAAACGGCCGCTGTGAGCATTGGGGATACCGTGTTGGAAGTGTCTAGCTTTGGCAACTACATGATGGATTCCATCTCCCAAGCGGAGCTACCAATGCTCATCATGGAGGATCTCTACCAAGTGACTCACCAAATCAAGTCGCAGAAGGAGCATGTCTTTACCATCACGGCAGTGGGCAATGACAAGAATAAGGAAGAGGAGGAACAGATTGTGATCTCCACCTTCAAGCACATGGTTTCAGTCAAGATTGAGAATGCCAGCAGTGCCAACTTTGGAACCAGTGTTGGGTTGATGGGTGACTTTGAGGATGGTACTTTGCGGGCACGAGATGGTTCCTCTGTCTTGTCCAAGATGGAAGATAATGATTTCCACGTTGCCTTTGGCCAAGAGTGGCAAGTCTTGGAGTCGGAACCCAAGCTTTTTCAAACCATGCAAGACCCTCAGTCTCCTCAGCAAAAGTGTGCCATGCCCACCCCCAAGAAAGAAGGCAGAAGAAGACTGGGGGAAATGGGGATTGACATGGATGCTGCAGAAGAAGCATGTGCTCATTGGGATGAAGCCGTGAGAGATCTTTGTATCTTTGATGTCATGGCCATGGAAGACTTGGATGTGGCACAAGCGCATGGTGCTTTCTAACTACTAGTACCGTACATATAAACTACATGCAGACTGAGTCACTCATTCATTTGATTCACCCTAGCTAGCTAGCTAGCTAAAGCTTCTATTGGTAAACATGCAACTGGTAGTCGAGTCAGCTATACAGCTTTACGATTGTGATGGCTCTGCGGTGGTTTGGGAGTCAGGATGTTCTGGTACCAGGAGAGATCGCCCATGGCTTACATCATTGTTGCTCTGTCAGGCCTGCTGGATTACGAACTACGAAGGAGTTCCTTTCCTGATCTCTTCACTGATCTCTTCATGACTCTTTAGATCAAATTTCTGCTTCGGAACGCTGGGAACTGTGATCGACCTCCTTGATTGGCCACCCACGTCAGTCTTCGGGGCACTGGCTCGAGAACCATCAAATATTATTTTTGGAACGGTCTGTGCTGTGCTTCATCAAGATCGGACAGCTGGTACCACCGTAACTGTGCTGACTGTTGATGTGTGCTGATGGCAGTTCAGTTTCAAGTTGATTTTGATGGTCTACAGCTGAGCCACTTTCTCGCTGATCGCCTGGTTGTCTGTTCTATTTCACTTTCTACGTACAATCAACAACAACCAACAATCACCATGAACCTCACACGACAAGCTCTTCTAGTAGTATGCGCACTGGCGGGGGCTACTGCTTTCAGCCCAGCTTCTTATGGAGCATCACCGGTAAGTTACCCTAATCGAGTGTTCGGCGGGATCACTCACCTCTACTAGTCTTACTAGTGAGATATTAGTAGGACTAGTAGAGGGGACAGACAGGCCTAACTAAGACAGAGAGTAAAGCTGATCAAGTCAAGTCAAATCAGATTAAGAAGATCAGGAAAGTCCGACCATGGCCATCACCCGCTCCTTCAGGGGTTCCCCACCATGACGCTACCGTAGACACCGAATCTTCATGAGCTCCTCACTCAGCTCCACCGATCCTGAAATACGTCAGCCTTTTGACATCACGTAGACTTCCTACCAGACTCTACGTGATGGGTCTTGAGCCCTCCATCCTACCCAATCTCGGAATTCTTTCCCATCAACCCAACCTTCCTGAACTTGCACCCAACTGACAGACATACCTGAACCTACCCAACCGTACACTAGCTTGACAGTCATCTTCCAACATGAAGTACTCTCCACTGCACCCTCCTCTCTGTCTGCACCTGATCCCTTCTGAACCTGTTGTCTTTGGTTGCTAGCTAGACGGATACCCCTACCTATTTTATGCCTCCTCTCACCTTTTTCTTTTCTATCTATCTAGAGTCAAATGGACCGCATTGCCAAGGAACATGCTCGATTTTCTCCGGTTCCCATTGGCATGGTGGACGACGACGATGACATTCTCAATGGCGCAGACGAAGACATTGATTCTCCCCCGGAAGAAGATTATCTCGTCACGGCGGGGGAACTGGAAACGGAAGACGACGATGTTGGACTCGAAGATGACGGTGAACCTCCCGCATGGTACACGTCCCAGCAGCGAATGGAGGAACTCCGTATCAAGCACCGTCGCCACGACAAGGACACTGGATCACCTGAATTCCAGGTTGCCGGAATGACCGAACGCATCGCTTACTTGACCAAGCATTTGAAGCAACACCCCAAGGACTTTTCCACTCGACGTGGACTGGTCGCACTCGTCAACAAGCGTCGTCGTCTCTTGAATTATCTCGCCAGAGAAGATGAATCACGGTATGTCGAAGTTGTTGCCAGTTTGGGCATTCGTCACAAGGCACCTGGACGAGTTCCCGATCGAGCCGATGTATACTCCAGATTCCCAGGACAAAAGGCCGTCAAGAAACATCTTCAAAAGAAATAAATATAAACCTATTTGATTCGAGTGCATTCTTGACATGCATGCACGGGCAGAGAGATAAAACAGAGAGGCAGGAGATTTTAAAAAGAGGCGAATGACGACGACCACAAGAGCACGGTACCTCTTTTGCGGCGTTGTTCCCTTTTTTGTGATAGTATATTATGATTGTTGTTCCGCTACACACTTACTTGACTTACTCACACCTACCTACCAGTACTACATGTACATCACAAGCATTTGTTACATGTAGTTAGTTAGTCACGGTAACAACAATAACAAAACAATAGACTTTAAAAAAAGAAAACAGATAGTCGACGTGACGCCATATTAGAAACCTCCAGCAAGTTAGGCGACGTTGGAGGCCATTGCCACTGTAGGGATCGACTTTGGTTGAGGTCACGTTGGAAAGACAGCACCCAACTTGAACGGAGCGCAGGCAAAGATTGTGTTCAGCAGGTGGTGGATGGAAGCAAGCAGTCCAAACAAAGAGAAATGTCAACTGCTATTATTGGGCAGACCGGGGTTCTTCTTGCTCTCCGAAGACTACCGTAGGTGAGAAACGCTGGGGGCTCACACTACAGCTCAAGGAGGTTCTGCCGGGCAGCCAGTTCTCCTACAACCAATAGCACTGTATAGCAAAAAGTTCGTTTCCACTACCTCATCTATTGTATCATATTCTTAGAATCGAATCTAGACTATAGTTCCTGTTCTTGTTGCGTGGCATCCTCCGAAGAAGGTGGTGGAGTGTGTTTGCTGAAATATGTCTTGTCGTGTACCAAGTCGGGTGGCAGCAAAAAGTTGTTGACATCGGTGAAAGTGTTCAATAGAGAAGCTCCACCATCAATGGTTATAGTTTGTCCTGTAATGAAGCCTGCTTTTTTGGATAGAAGAAAGGCAATGACACTTCCCACTTCGTCGGGTTGTCCATTGCGTCCCAGGGCATGTCGCCAGGTAAAGTCCTGTAAAAGGGTATCCTTATAGTCTCCGACTACTTCAAACATGGGTGTTTCAATGCAAGCCGGTGCCACGGCATTGACTCGTACCCCATTGCTGGCTCCCCAAATGGCCAAGTCCTTGATAATTCGGTCCTGTGCCGTTTTGGCAAATCCATAGCTGAGGGAGCCAATGGTGGACGTAGAGCCCATGTAAGAACTGACACTGACTACGGCACCTTGAGACTGGTTTAGGTCGTCTTCAATCAGTTTGAAAGTGCGAATCAAATTGTATACATTGAGATCCAATTGATCTTGCATAGCTTTGATCAGATCTTCTGCCGGATTGGCCAAATTTCCAAAACTGGAAGACGTGGGAACCCACACCAAATGGGTAATCTTTTTATTATTGCCTTTGAATGCCTTGCGAGATTGCTCGACCAGTTTTTCAAGACTCTCGGCATTGCTGGCATCGGCGACAATGGCAAACGCCTTTTTATAAGCTTTGGCAACCTCATCGCACTTGCTTTGCGTACGGCTGGATATCACCACCTGGGCGCCACCCGCTAGTAAATGTTCAGCGGCAGACTTTCCAATCCCGCTGCTGCAACCGACACAAAGCACATTCATGCCTTCGTACTCATCCTTACTAGCAGTGGCAGCATAAGCTGGAGAAAGGACAAGAAGAATATTCCCAAGGATGGTAAGAAGAGCCACAAACAACTTCATCGTGGTCGATAATATCTATCTGTATACTGGCTGTGTTTGGCTACGGTAGCTGTGATGGGAAGACAAGGTACATGCAAGTAAGGATCCAATGAAGCTTGACAAACAATGCCGAGAACGCCGACAAAAGTGAAAGAGTGATTTGGCTTGATGGAACTGACGTCAGTGATGGATCTTTGAAGTCTTCTATTCTTTTCGAAGTGCTTCCAACGGGATCCTCGCGATCTTTGCATGTCGAACCTTGCTTACAAGATAAAGAACAAACCAAGTACCAAGACCTCAAAGCACCGTGGAAGAATCCAAGCTCAAGGTGGTGTGGAAAATGCATGTGATCCAATTGCACTTCATGCGCAGCCGATGGGATGAATTAGGGATCACCAGTTTCGAAGCCACAGAGAGTCTGTTGAGGATCAAGGAGACAGAAACAGACAAAAAGAAGCACATCCATCTCTTTCCTTTCTTCCATCTCGTCCAGAATTCTAGCTAGCTTCACCGTCACCACTACTCATCCCCTACGCAGTCTCCTTGAACGCAACCATCGATGCACGTGTGATTGATTCAAGTGTGGGCATCGACCTGCGGCCCGAGCATTCCAACACATTTCGAAGGCTTGGAGCAGGACGAGCTACCGCGAAGCCGGCTGATCTCCTCGTACCGGAAGCAACCGGCACATTAGAGCTGATGCATCGTTCCGACGCGGCCAGTCTTCGACTGACTGCTGGCAGGTACCGGTACCATGCATCCACGTCCAGGATTGTAACCCCCCATGCAGCCCGTGGCCGCCCCGTTGCCTCAATTTGTGTCTGTCACAATGGAAATCGTGTGTTGCCTTCATCTGAACGTGACCTTTTTAGGGTTGCGTTGCTTGGCACGCAATCGATAGTTGGCAAACGTGTATCCGCCCAAGAATCCCAAGAAGAGGCATGCGAATCGAATCGATTTCGCACTTGTGAGGCATCGCGAACAGTATCTTCCGGTAAGAAGGGTACAGCGACCTTCTGCTCCACCGCCGTTTCCTCATCGTTCCTTCCATGATCCAGCAAGGGTGCGCCTTTTCGAGCGGCTCCACAAAAACCGTGTGTGTTTCATTGGTGAAAAACGACGCCGCTGGTCTCGCATAAACCATGTCCACTTGTCAAAGCAATGATCCGTTGCGCAGCCCCTTTTGTTTCTGCAAACTGCTGATGGAGTTCCTGGACGACTGACTTATTCCAGTGGCTCACTCATGTTGTCCGAAGCTTCTACCATGAGAAACAAACTTGGATTTGCTATACATGGTCCACACAGGCCAGCTGATGCCCTTCAGTTGTTGGCTCCAACGTCCAATATTGCATTCGGCTGCCAATCCGGAAATGTCTGGTACCGTATATCACATCCAATGCTTGATGCTCCCCCGCCAGTGATTGGAGGGCCAAAACAACTTAAGCGTGATTGCGAGTACCGTACAGAAAGATGGGAAATCTTGGAAGGCATCTTTGTGCAATCTTTCTCTGGGTCCGGACGTACGGTAGAGTGTGGGATGTTTGATGTTTTGCCCGACTTAGTTAGTAATTAAGGATTCCAAAAGCATCCAGTTGTTGGCAGAAGGCTTTCACTTTTGGAGTTGTGCCTTCTTATGTAAAGATAGATAGAATCAATCCTCTGCTGCAATCGTGCATTCATTCAGGTCTCGCCACTCGGCCGTGGATCACTTCTCCTCGTGACCCCTCCGAATCGAATCTGAAGGATCGATCTTATTGCTCGAACTGGATGAGCCAAACAACGCACAAGCCTAATATCGTTCGGACTCGTGTTGGTGTTCGTTGATATAAGCAGCTCCGTGTGCCAATCCGACCATTGGACTTGGAGTCATCATGGGATCTTTGGCGCCAATGAGAAATGCCATTTCTCCCATCAAGGCCGCGTGTTTTTCGGGGGTCATGGGTCCATGCCTGGTGACTCCCTTTGGCAATCCGCAGTACTTGTCATTTTTGTTGGCTTGGAGATTGAGTGTAGCGCAAAGCCATTGTCTAGGAGTGTTTGAATAGCTTTCGTAAAAGCAGGTTCTCGAAAGAGAAAGGAACCTTTCCAACGATGAGTCCCTGTTTGTGTTGGTGTGGTTGCGGTGGTTGCCATTGTTGGTCAATCATCTCATGGACAAAGTATCCCATGAATGTGTTGAGATCGTCTTGATAGGGAGACAAAATCTGCCTATGATCCCAGCGTGGGTCAGGGCGAAAGTTTCCAAAAAAGTATAGTGCTCTGACTTTGCAGATGAGGATTTCTGCATGCCCATCGAAAGTAGGATTCAAAGGTTGAGCCTGACTACTCGACTTGGAATCCATTCTGTCTTAGAGCCCAATCCAGCGTTGCAAAGACGTACTCCTCCCCGCTCTTAGATGTTCCCTTTGTCTTGTGGACGTCCATGGTGGCCGCGTCGAAACTAAGTACTATGCATAGCCACGCAGGATTACCACAACTGTTACCTAATTGGAGTCAATAGCAGATAGTTTCAGAGTCCATTAGCCTTCCCTATGACTACCTGGAACGACTCAGGTTAGTCTAGTCGTACGCTACCAGGTACCGGTACCGTACACAGCTGATCTTGGATTCCTGCAAGAAAGGAAGCGGCAGGAGAGTCAAAAGACCTCCAAAGATCTGCCCTACCTGTAGTCAGACTGATTTTACTTCGACTTGCTTTTTCTATAGTATCCTTTTGCCTACTACGGTACCTATTAGATGCATGGAAGGCCAAAACATGGCAGTCGTGTTGGTGGCAACATTTTGATTGCAAACCAATGCAGAGTGCTCAATTAATTAAGTGTGTCCTTCCTGGTTTTCCTCCATGCACCCCCCTTCCCTGCCCCCCTTGTTTTGCCCTGCTCGCGTCCTCATTGCTCTCCCCGTATGCCCACCACACCAGCCACCCACCACCGCAGCCACTGCTTTGCCTAGCCTCGCCCCCCTCGCTCCTTAACGTATCTATTTAGTATTTATTTATTTCATTAAGTGTGAAACATAGGGATTGGTGCTGTTCATTCTGAGCTCTGCTGTTTTATTTTCCAGCCAAAATCACAAAATCACCCTATTTTGGGCCCAGCACCCTATCACTCATCTCTGCTACATGTACCGGTACATTGCTACATCATGCAGACCTCTCTAGCTACATAGTCTAGCAACCCGAATCCATTTGCTGGACCACTCGTTCCGTTTCAAAGATCGCGTCGCATCTTCTCAGACTCCGAATCAACTCGCTTCCGGGCCCGCCCGTGATCATTCATTCGCTTGCTTCCGGCCTGCATTGCCCAAGACCTCGCCAAGTCGGTAAGCGGAGGTGCAGGGGGGCGGAGAGGACCAAGAACGCAACAACAGACCCTCCAATAGAACACACACGCAGACTGTCATTCCCAAGCAGGCGCCTTGTGGGATTACTTCTTCAGTGCCAGCAGCTCGTAGGTTGTTTGCGTACCAGGTACATGTAGCTAACCGGAATCTAGCTAGCCACCCAGCTCCTGCAACCACACACACAGTACATTCAATTATTTCATAATCAGGAGCTGAAAGACCGTGACTCAAAGCAGGGCTGTTGAAGTCTATAGGCATCTCCCAAAGCAGCTAGCCAGACCCACCATTCGATGCACGCACCTATTGTACGTTTTGAGTGGCGGCAGCTGTGGCGGCACAGCACCGCTCGAGTAGTCCAGGTGAACAAAAGTAAATAATACTCGAATATTCGGCAACCCAAACGATTTGGCTGTAATATGAGCTAATAAGCCTTGTCTTCTCCACGTTCGCAAAAGAAGGCCGTTATCTCACCGTACTGTACACAACTCCACTGTTTGAAGTCAACCTAATCAGAACCCAGGAGTTCTGATGATCCAGCCAACTTAACTCACCCCATGACCTGACCGAAACAAATTGCCTGGCGCGTCTACCAAAGATAAAGAGAACTTCTCCTCTTCGGCAACTGGCGCGCCGCTGGGTACGTCTTGTTGTTTTTGGCTGCCAAAAGTACGACTCATACCGGTAGCTGACTCATGAGGTGAATAGCAAATCGGCGCTTGTAAGCACTACAGTAAATCCATTGTCGTCTGGTCCCAGCGTGCAGAATGGCTCAAAGTCACAACCTTGATGAGAAAGTGACTTCCACCTTCCAGAGGAGGTCCCAGTCCAGCCACCTACCTTACGTGCACGTGTTGCTGCAGAGGTCGTACAGCATGTTTTCAGAGGCATTGCATAGTTTGAGTGGCGAAAAGAGGGGGAAGGAGAGAAGTCTTGAATGATCATTCTGAAGGCGAGCTGTAGCCACTGAACATCACACTGTACACTGTACGACCGGTACTGTAGGCCTAATCGTGTCAGCTCAAGCAGCTCGGACCTAGACCGTTGCTTGAAGCTTGAAGAAACAATAATATGCTCACAGTCTCACAATTTCACAAACTTTCCACTTGGCTCACTTCCTTCACCACTCCATGATCAGCACTGACAGCACTGGTAGCCACAGCCATGAACCGCTCCAACTCGACCGCCTCCAACGAATCTTCTTCTGCTGGTGGGTCTAGTTACATGCTCGAGTTAGACAATGAACATCATGATGTAAGCAACTTGGCTCTGCCCAGAGTTGCCTCAAGAGTTCAGCTCTATCCTACCATTGAAACTTCCGATGCCAGCGGCTCATCTGGAGCGGCAGAGGCAGAAGCAGAGGAGTCTTCCGGTCTGCGGCATTCTCCTCGGCACCAAAGCAAGAACAGCAGAAAGAGAAACTCAGCTCCACTGTTGTCCTCGTCATTGCTGCTACCAGGAAGCTCCCACCACAGCACTACATTGGATGAACTTGCCAAGTCCATCTCGGGACTTCAGTTCAACAGTAGTAGTAGTAGCAGCAGTGATGGTGACTTTGCTTCTTCCGTACCAGCACTGAGAACAGCACAAAGCCAGCATTCTGTGAACTCTACGCCCAAGATTGGGTTTGGCTTGCCACAAGAAGAGAGGATAGACAGGTTGACGCCGGATGTGGTAGGGACAAATTCCTGCACTGACGTAGGAGCCACTCGCTCTTTGCATTCTACCAACAATGACGCTACAGCCGCTTCTCGAGAGGATGAACCAAACGACAAGCTCAAGGCCAACCAAACTATTATTGCTACTGCTACCCAAGAAGAAGAAAGTACAAGCTCCTTGGTCCAACAGCTGGAAGGCAACTTCAGACAAACGACGACTAGTACCAATGCTAGCGGTATTGCTGATTATCTTTGTGTCAAGATCAAGCCTGACGGTCGCCCCTACCTACAGATTGGTCCAGATTTCCGCGTGGACTACATTGGGACGGCTGCTGTGACCAAAAAGGCAATACGGAATCGAGAGCCCACATTGAATGTGGAGTGCATAACTTGCCAAGTCCAAATGACCTGTCTGGCCAAGGTGGACTACGTCTTGTGTGCCAGCTGTCAGACCATTTGCCCAACTTTAGGCATGTCATCGTCATCACCCTCCACTACTACCGGTACTACGAATAAACAAGCATCCGCAGGGATTGGACTACGCACAGAAGTTGTGGCTGCCTTGGTTCCCACAGAGGCAACCGCAGCCTGACAGTGAGTCTGATGGTTCCTTTCTTTTCAGACGTTTTCCTCCAAGCCACTTGCATTCTTATTTCAAAAACCAACTTTAAAGAAGCCAACACAGGACAAAAGAAGGGACAACACAACTTTTTAGATATATTGTCGAGGTCGCTTTCTTTTGGCCACGGGCTAGGGGAACGCTTATTTTCTAACAAGTACTTTAGAAAGTATAGAGAAGAGGGAGTCCAATACAGCTCCAATACAGTACAGAGCCCCCTGTAGTGGTCGTTACTTTGAGTTGCTATGCTCTCTGAATTGTCGAAACCGGTACCGGATCCAGCTCAGGATGCGGAAAGTGGATTGTGAGGAGAAAAGCGGTACCGGTACTGCTCAAATAAATTGTGTCCGGGGTGTTCTTATATTATGAAGATTTAGAAGGCCGACACCCATATCTTTGGTCATTAAATTTTTGAGCATGACTCTATCAGAGGCACAATGACTCATCCATCTTGCCTGCTGAGAGGTCGAACAGAGCGAAAGATCGAGAGACGAGCCAGAGTTGAAGGAACACACTTGACAACCATCCATGATAAGTCCTTCTATCTTTGGAGGTGTGAATTTAAAAAGGTATCTAAGACGCCATGGTTGGTACTACTAGTAGTAGAATAGCAGGTCGAACTCTGAGGCGAAAAGAGCGTCTTAGCAAAGCCCAGGGGAGATCAGATCACCAGGATGATGCTGCTACTAGTACCCATACCCATAGCCTCCCTGCTTCCACTGCTGGAGCGACAGTCTCCTTATCTTTGGGGCGCAGCCCGAGCACTGTGTTTCTACTTTTGGTTTGTGTGAGTTTGTCTCTGGCAGCGTTTTGCTCAGACAGAAGATTGGTTGTCACAGCTTGGACTTATGCAAGAGCCATTAATATTAATATGGATGCAAGCAATAGCAACAGCAACTCCGCCATTCAAGCCGTTGCAGAGGTACAAGTGCCTGCAAAACCTGGATCTGATCATGCCACTGCATCAGCACAAACAGCACTAGTACAAAAGAGCAGCAAGCATGCCACTGTCATGGGCATGGCCACGAACTATCCGCTCAAGACCTTTAGGCAATACGTGGGATCCCTGCGGAAAACGGGATTTGAAGGAAAAATCATTCTGGCAATCTCACAAGACCCCAAGGCGGGAGTGGAAGACTACTTGAAAATTCAAAATGTTACCATGAAGAGAATCCAAAAAATTAACTGCACCTATGATCTATTAGAAATTCGAGGGAGAGACAAGAAAAATCTCAATTCACACCAGATTGAGGTTGCTACCTGCGCTGATCCATATCCCAACTTGAAGATTCGATGGAGTCGATTTGCCCTTCTCAGAGATTATCTGGAAGAATGCAAAGAATGCACTGGGCCCATCCTTATCTCAGATGTCAGAGACACTTTCTTTCAACGAGATCCATTTGGTCCTGAAGCACCTCCTGTCACCGGACTACAAGTCTTTGAGGAATTCAAAGAACAACGAACCACTCACTGGCTGGTGCAGGGTCCTGTGGAAAAATGCAAAAATATCAAAATTTTCAATGAAACCATGCTCTGCTCTGGAACCACCATTGCCACCCGAAATGACATGCTCCGATATCTCAATGACATGGTGGCAGAAATGAGATTTTGGATGCAACATGAAAAGTGCTGTTGCAATGACATGAATGGTGACGACCAGTCCATCCACAATTGGCTCTTCTATGGGTCCAAACAACTAGCCACGTACGGGACGGCGCAACCGAATCGAATGGGGCTGGTACACACCGCAGGAGCCCAAGCATCAAGACTCTTCCAAGCCAAACGCAAAAAGGGAATGGAGGAACTGGGGCTCGAACAGAGAGCTGCTGTGGTTATGCCCTTTACTTCCAAGGAAGAGGAAGAACGGGGGAATTGGTTGGGGCCAGAGCATGGATTGACGGATCCTCAAGGGTACTTGCTCGATTTCAATGGGGAAAGATCCTTTGTGGTTCACCAAGCGGATCGATTTGGGTATCCCTTTGAAAAATGGTTGTGGAATCATGGACCTTGCAAGGGACTCTGAATCTTTTTGTTGGCTGTTCGAGGAAGTCGCACAATGTCAATCAATCAATTACAATGCGCGGGACAAGAATTCATTGCGGAAGAAATGGAGTTGCTACGACAATAATCCGAGTCCAGAAATTGTTCATTCGGATTCGATTCATGTGGACGAAATGATTGACGCGAGAACCGACTCGTCGTGGAAGCTGCTATTTGGAATAGCAAGCTATCCGACGATGGTACGATTGAAATCGTCTTCGTTCCTTACTTGGGCAAGGGAACGAAATCGCGTCGCGTGATTGCATTTTCCAATTTGCTTGCTTGTCCGATTTGACGATCTGTTCCACCAACTGGAAGGGTGGATACCGTAGATTTCTACAACCTGTGTGAGTAGCTAGGTTCCAAGATCTTGTTTCCGGTCTTGGCCTTACCAAGCATACCGTACCGATAGATGACCTCGCCCATGGAGTTTTGTCCCTGAAATTGATGGCCTTTACCGCTATTTCTAGTTTTACGGTACCAAACTTAGTCGAAGAATATATTATGCTTGACTTTCAACACACCAGCCTTGTACAGATTTCATTGCCGGTGCCATGCAGTTCAGGGATGCAGTGCTGGGGCCAACCGTGCGGGTACTCGAGTGCTAGGGACAACTATCAGTACCGGTATGTAGGGAATGAAGTGCTGAGACTAACCTTAATTGCGACATGTCCAGCGCCAGCGGTCGTGAGAGACGCAGAGTCATTGTGGGAAATACATACTCCCGCGTCTGGGTCGTCAAAGTATTCATGAACTATGAGACGATAGAGGTAGCTGCAAATTTACAGTATGGCTAATGCGGTCGATCCCCTTGTCATTAACTATACTGCAACAACTTTCGTCCCGGAGGGTGCTTCCTTTGGCATATCGTTGTCCAACTTCTCCGTGGAATTGGCCGCAGTTACAATGTCATCAGCTGCTTCGCTCGCTTGTTCGACTTCCATTGGAGCGCCGGTATCAAAACCGGTCGCGACAAGTGCAGGGATCTCGGCATCGCCGCCGCTGCCTTCCACCCCATTCTCGTCAGCGATGTTGTCAGCGTCATCGCCTTCGTCAAAGAGGGCTGTTTCGTCTTCATAAGCATAATCTTTCTTGCTGCAGTTTTCAAACGAAAAGTTCGTTTCTTCCTGGCCCAAAGATGACTTCCAAGCAACAGCGTCAGCACGTGCCAGCAAGAGCTCGTCAACCACGTCTTGGTCCCAGGGAGCAAACGATTCTTCAGTCCTAGAAGTCTTGATTCCAACAGTCTTGTCAGCGGCCGTGGCGCGAATCATGATGCTCACATTGTAACACAGCACCCCCACAATCATCCATTGGTTGCTCCAGGTGCTCTTTGTCTTCTTTTCGTCGTCTTTTGCCTCCGACGGAGCTTTGGCTTCAACGCGGTTGTTGTTATTGTTGTTGCAGATCTTGTTGTCGTTTTCATTTTCAGGCTGCATGTTGCCGCCGTCGTCGTCGGCTGCAGATTTTGCCTCTCGATGCATATTACATACACGTGCCACATAGGCGCAGAGGAAGGCCGCTTCGTACGGAAAGTATACAGCTTGGAAACAATCGGCGCGACCCAGAATCACCAGGGCCTCGTAAGGAAGACACTTTGACGGTTCAGGCAAGGGTTCTCGAAACAGGTCCACGCTGTTCCCTCGTTTGGTTCCGTGGCCAGCAAAAATGGCGGCCTGTTGTATGACAAGAAACGGATTCTCGCACGTGTTGTTGACCTGGGCCAAATCCAACAAGGCACAAGCCACCTGAAGACTGGCCTTTTCGACTGCTGTGTCTGTGTAACATACCCGCAGCTGTTCCATGGCATCGTGGACCTTCTTCATCTGCCTACCCCCAAATTGGGTAGGAATTTTGCGACTGAAGTCCGTTGGTATGCCCCAGAGTCGTTGCAGTTCGCTCGAAGGTATCGACACAGTGTTGGAAAGTGGATTGGCTCGATCCTCGCCCGGAAACCATTCGTCCAAAGGTTTTGCTGGTTCTTTAGGCGGCCTGCGTTTTCGAGTTCTAGAAGATGGGTCGCGCAATAGTCTTTTCCGGTACACTTGATTCATGAAGTTCGCAGCTACATCCATGGCTGTTGCCTTGCCAACATCGGAATCCCAGATGTGCTGGTTGAGGTAGAACTGAGTCTGACAAACGCAACGCAACGCAACGAGATTATGCTTGTGGTCAGGTCACAATCCAAAGGCCAACAACACATTTTCACTCGATCAGAAACTTACAATTGGAAGAAGCACACTCAAACTGCTCATGAGCAGTTCGTATCGTTCATGGGTTTCTTTCTGCCGCGCCAGCTCCAGGCACAGCATGGAATGCGCGAGAACGATATGCAGTCCTTCGTGTTCTGCGTAAACCGAAATAGGTTCGTCCTCGGTTGCTTCCTTGTGCTTCTCCAGACCTTCCTTATACCATGACGATTGCTTTGTCTGGGCTAAACGTATGTTGAATTTGAAATCTGCAGCCGCTGGAAGGAAGTCGCCTAGGCTCTTCCATTGCCGTTCCAGTTCCGTTTCAAGGTCTTCTGGAAGGAACCCAGCAACCCTTCCGTTGTTCACTTTTAAACCAAAGAATGTACAGCTAGCACTCTTCATGAGCCTCAATGAGAATTCATGAGGTTCCCATCCCGAGAAATGTGACACGTTGAAAGAGATGCACAAGTTGTAGCATCGAAGGGACATTGCTTTATGCTGAGATGCGGGGGAAAGCAATGAGTAAGCGAGCTGTTGTCATCACGACGACGTCGAGATGGGCCTGATACCAGATATTTCACTTACATGTACCGATTGCCACGTTGATGGGAGCGGGATGCTATCCCAAGCTGTGCTATCAAACAACGTGGAGCTCTGCCCACCAGAGCTCAAGAGGCCTGCTGTGTTCAAGGACATCCAGGACACGATTTGGTTCCCTTCATCGGCGAGCTCCTCCAACTTGGACTTGTCTAGGGGGAAGTCGTCATCGTGCACAATTACCGAATATCCTTCATCAAAGATCTTCAAAACCTGAAAGACGGAGAAACCCAACCGTTCAGCCAACATTCCCCAATTCGAGCATCTGAACAACATCTTTTGATTTGTGGAAAGGGAAGCATGCTCATACGACGAAACCAACCTACCTCGACAAAATCCTTCGAGATTGCGCCATTGGCATCGACCAAGAGCGTTTCCGCGCTCGAAATGCGCAAATGCCGTCTGAGCAGCTTGATGGATTGAAGGATGGATACCTTTGCATCGACGATATCTTGTTTTGAATATGATTTGATCGCGGCGAAATAAGCAGCATGGGCACTCTTTACTTGAAGCCGTCCCAAAGAAGTAATGCACTTGAGAATTTGCCGAATGCGGAACCTTGACGACATCGAATCAAAGCTGGTTGTTTCGACAGGGGCGCAAATCAACCCGTTATCTTCTAGATAATCCACCAGTTTCTGAAACATTGGTGCAAAATGTGATGCCCACTCCGTATCTTTTCCCGAGCCCGTGAGTGTCTCAGCCACCAACGAATAAGCAGCAATCCTTCCCAGAGAGTCCGTCGCAGAAGCGCGATACAGTTGCCAGTCTGCATCTTTGGACACAGCCTTGGTGGTTGCTGTATCAGATACCCAGCCCTTCCCTTCTGGTTCCAACTGGTCAATCATATCCATGCATTTCTTGGCGACATAATTCCTGCCACCTTCATGAATCAGACAAAGCGAAAACAGAACACTTACTTCTGGAGGAAGCGCTCCTCTTCGAAGTGACTGCAGTAGTCGTGGTCCAACCGTCTCAGATTCGAGATTTTCGTCATCTGAAAGATAGGTAGCTGCAGCTTCCTCTTCATCGCTAAAGTCAGCATCTTGCTGAACCTGGAAAATGAAGCGAGGTACGAGGGATTAGCTATGCATAGTTGCTTGAACAGATGTCAACACAAGATCGAGTCGAACGCTTACGTCGTCATAAGTTGGTGGCTGCGAGGAGAAGAGTCGGGCCAAAGGATCGGACTGCTGTTCCAAGATTCGTCGCTGCTCAACCTTCTTGTCGTGTATTCGCGCCCGTTCTCTCATATACAGCGACACTGCCTCCCCCGCTAGGCGCCCCCCACGGTACAGCTTCATTTCCAAGAGAAGCTTCATCAGTTCGGTCGCAATTTGGGTAACGACTCGGCAAGAAGCAGCCACAGGGCTTTCTTGGCCGTCAGAGGAAGCCATTGCGAGATCTTCGTTTTCACCGCCGCCTTCTTGCTCTTCATCCTTCTGTTGTTTCTCAGGCGTTTGATCATCTGCAGAGTCGTCCTTCTTTTGGTATTCGGTGGCAAGCTTCTTCACTTGCGCTCGATGATAGCGAGTCATTTTCCTCCGCGCTTCCTTTCGTTCCTTGATGGCTTCCTGGCTACCACTAGCACATTCACCATCTTCATCGTTACTTCCTTTCCCTAAGACCTCCATCATCTGCTCAGTGGTCTGGTCGAAGGCTGCTAGCTCCGATGCATTGCTCTCCAGTAGGAAGCGCTTTTCCTGGTCGTACTCGTCATCCACCTCGGCTGTGTCGGCAACTGCCTCCTTCGTAGAACGCCCCACGGGCACGTCATGGTCCTCAAGGGAAGCCCCGGTTTCCGCTTTGTCATTTGAATGGTCCTCTTCCCTTGCCATGCTAGTATCGGGCTCTAATCGCGTTTGCTGGTATTGTTCTTTGAGCTTCGCGATTGGCACAGAGTCATCACTGTCATCGTCGCTAGAATCGCCAGCGGTTGCCTGGGTCGGATTGTGCTCTTCCGCGGATTCTCCCTTTTCCCCAGCAGTGTCCAAAGCCGCTCGCGTCTCGCCTTTGTCATCTGTCGCGGCTGCCGTCTCAGTCTCTGCTTCGTCCTTCATTTCCGTAGATTGGTTGGTTGTAGAATCGACCTCGTTTTCTCCTTCCTTACTGCTATCATCCGCGCTGCTACCAGAGTTGTTCGTGGCTTCAGCGGCTTCCGTGGTCCTTGTGTCCCCGTTCGTCTCCTCGTCACCGCCATCTTCCATGCGATCCTTTTCATCCGTGTTGTCGGTTTTGTCAGTCGTTTCATCCAACCCACTTGCGTCTTTGCTATTGTCGTTTTCATCCTTTTCATCTTCTTCGTCGTCGTCATCGCCTTGGACCAACGCAAGGGCAAAATCCACTGCGGCCTGTTCCTTGGCCATAGTTGCCATTTTCTGCAAATGCCGCTGCAGAGCTCGTTGTCGCATCCACTCCATGAGCGCCCCCGTGGCTTTGGTTCCCGCCGCCGCCGCCAGTGCCAAGACGAGCCCTTGCAATCGTCGTTCTTGCCAATCAAACTTGTGTGAGAATTTTCGCAACCATCGTCGAAACATGTAATTTTGTTGTCGCTCTTGTCCTCGTCCCGTATTCCATTCCTGACATTCGTATCCGATTCGTAGCATGCAATCGGCATATAACATCCATGCATTGTGTCGAAATTCCTTTTTTTGTCGTTGTCGTTGGAGTAAATCCATCCATAGCGTAATGGCTTCGGAGAGGCATCCCAATTCTACGTAGAGTCGTGCCAATTTGATGGGTACGTCGAGTGTGGGTGGTTTGAGATTGTCTGCTGTTTGTAGATCTCCCTTGGCTTCTGTGAACCATCGTTCTTGTTCCTTTCGTGTGAGATCATCAATGAGTTGATTATTGTTGTATGTGGCAGCCAGTTGGTAGAGATCGGCAATATCTACGGCGGTATCGGCAGCTCGTACCCATAGTGAATAGTCCTTTTTGCATAGAATGGCGGCAATGTGATAGGATCCATATGCCTTTTGCGCCAAATCAATGGCTTCCCGCAGTTCTTCCGGATACGCCGTCGTCGATTCGTTGTCGTGGTCTTGTGCAGATTGTGATTGCTGCTGCTCCGATGATGACGTTTCTTGGTCCAGAGCGAAATGTACCTTTTTGGACGCGGGCTTATTGTTTGGCTGATCTTTTGGCGGTTGTTCTTGTGTTGGTGTTGTTTCCTCATCTTGCGTTGCTTCAGTGTCTGGCTTGTCTTGTGGTTGCGTTGGTGTTGATTGGTTACTGTCTTGTTTGATGTTGTTGTTTAGTGGATTGAATTTCTTCCAACAAGTTTGGTACATGTCAGTGTATACCATTCCTAGTGAACTGTATACTTGTGGCGCCGAGGGAGCATCCTTTGCAATTTGTTGTAACCTGGCAATTGCGAGCTTTGGCAATCCCCTGGCATGTGCCCCCAATGCTTGTCCATGTCGTTGTGCCATTTTGTATGACTTGAAATTTTTGAGACGAAAGAGTCGTCTTCGTGCCTTTTGACTGTTGGCATTTTGCTGTCTAGGTTTCTTGTTGGTTTTGGCTCGTTTCTTGTAGGGTCCTCGTTTTTTCTTTTGGACCTTATTGGTGGTGTCTGATGATGGATTGGTGGTTGTAGTTGTAGTTGTACTTGATTCTTGTGTCGTGTGGGAGTTGGTGTCAGGTAGTGTCTTGTCCATTGGTTGAGGTTCAGTGTCATTTTCTTCCTCCTCTTCTTCAGCATCCTCATCATCATCATCCTCATCATTTTCGTCCTCTTCTACTGGGTCTTCCTGATCATCATTGTCATTGTCATTGGCCTGGTCCTGATCATTGTCTGGTTCCTCAGGCTCTTCATTTTGCTCCTCTTGCTCATCTTCTTCTTCTTCCAATGGTAAATCTTTTTCATCATTCTGATCTTTTTGTGTTTGTTTTTGCTGCTCATGAATTTTTTGAATCTGATTGTACTTGGCATTGGCTTTGGCCACCATAAGGTTAGTGATTGGCATGGAAGCCTCCACTACTTCATCTTCTAGAGCCAGTCTGCTTCCTCTCAGTCTCTTCCTCTTATTGTCACTTGCACTACTAGCTAGTATAGAATTGCCTGTAGCACTTGCACCATCTCCTCCTTCCTTGCCCATAAGATCAGTGGAGTGATCATCATTGGTGTTTTTACCGTGTGTTTGTGTTTCTTCTAAGTCTTCTAAGTCTGGCAATGGCTCTGCCATTTCGTGATCTTCTCGTTCCAACAATTTTCGTTTTCTGGTTTTCCCTTTACTGAGATTCTTGGGTGTCACTCGACGGTACTGACCTTTGGCTGTCTTGGAGTACGAAGCCACGTCCATTTCACGGTGAAGAGAGTCTAGCACGCGTTTCATGCTGCTCTTCTTCTTCTCTTCTTCTTCTCCTTCTTCTCCTATACTTCGATCATCATCATCATCAGCTTCATCCTCTTCATGGTCATCAGTGTCTCTATTACTACCACCAGCAGCAGCAGCACAAGATCTCGTGGACGATGACATGGTCTAGCTATAGACTAGTATGTGCATGCAATAGCATTGTTGGTTAATTGCAATCGATGCAATGGCCGTGGATCTTTTGGTCCAATTAGGGGTTCCGCTGGAGTTTCGAGTATTGGGGGTGAATTGGAGGATCCCTTTTTCAATCTGTTATTTATTGTTTGCACCCCTTCTCTCCTTCATTATTTGAAGTTGATTATGGATAAGGCTATGCATACATTGATGTCGACGAAGCGAAGAAGTCATAGTGGTCGCTCCTGAATTGTCCTCTGGTATACTACCGGTAGCTAGCACGTTGCTTACGTAGGATTGCTGCTTTGCGGTTGGGTACTGTAGTACCACTAAAACATTTGAAACCTCACGCACGACCCAACACAATCACAGTGGTATTACTGAAGACAGCAGACGGAAGATGGATGCAGATACCAGCTAGCTAGCTAGACTGAGTGGTCGAGTCGAGTCGAGTCCATCGAGGGAGACTACTGTACTAGCTAGTAGAAGAATGTACTGTAATAAAGTCTTGTGGAGGCTTCTTTGCCGTCGAGAGTCCCTGAAAGAAGTCATTGCATTGTACTAGCTAGTATAGAATAGTGTCATGCTTCATGATCGTGGAGTCGCTCCTGCATAGCTCCCAAAATTTTAATCACCGAATTACTATAGTACTTGCTCTTTCGCCGCTGCTAGCTAGACGAGAGCTGGCCATTATAATATTGTTTGTTCTCCTCGACATCTCCATTCAGTTTCCATCATTATCAACCATGGTTCCCTATCGTTTCGACTCGAAAGGTTTTCTTGCTTTCCTGGCTCTGGCTTCTGGCTCTGCTGTTTGCCAATGTCAAGTGGGTGAATGGAGATGTTACAGGATTGGCCACCGGCCGAGAATGCATGGAGATGCCAACGAGAACAGCTGCACGCTGACCTTACAAGACTGGTCCACTTTTGTTGGTACCAGTACATCCATGTAATGAAATCAACAATGTGATTTGTGTGACCTGTTCCACAGCTGGCACTCTCACTTGCCAAGCAGTGTCCCTATTTAACCCGGGTCCTTGCCAACATGCCACAATCTCTACTATAACTGCCTCAGTGTGGTCCGCGAAAGCCATGCTTGCCAAAATGCTGATCTTTCCACGGGTGTTGACGCCATGCAATGCCAAGACGACAATGCCAGTGGTGGCAGTGATACCGGTACGTACCGTACGAGGTACCACTTGCGGTGATCACTGATGTCCACATAAATATGCAGACTATTTTACCGCTGTACCGTACTAGCTACGTATAGTAGCTACTACTAGTAGTAGCTACTAGCTACCGGTAGCCAGTAGACTAGTACCAGGTAGCAACTCAGACTAGATAATAGCCAGTTATTGTATTATTTTAAAATACATTACCGCGATCGTGAAGTCGTGAAGAACAACCATGCAAATAGCATATCTGTAACGGTTACCGGTACTCTGGTACTACTGTAGAGAGTACAGTAGCTAGCAACCTAGTACGTACTTAAGTACCCAATTACTGCGTAGTAGTGGACTCGAGTACAGTACCTACTGAGAAATTGGTGTTAACGAAACACAGTACTATTAAATAAAATAAGAGATAACAACCGGAACAACCAAAGCAGTCATTGCACCGATCCGGAACCAGTAAGTCCAATGACAGTCGCTCCTGCATACAATAAATTTAAAACAAGAATCATTCAATCCTACAAAGAAAGCCGCGACTTCTTTTTATTTCCCTTCAGGGCTGGTTTGTTGCTGCAGTACCTCTCTCTCTTATAAAAACAGTTTCTCCTCTGCAGCTCCGGCTCCAGCTCCAGCCATAATAATTATAGTCAGCCATGGTTCCTTATCGTCGTCCTTTCAACTTGAAAAATCTTCTTGGTCTGATCCAACAGGCATTGATCGTCGCCTTTCTGTGTGCCAACGTCAAGCCAGCGAATGGACAGAATGGAAACGGTGGATCCAGTGGACCAAACTACGACTGCTCGTTGACCTTACAAGACGGATCTACTTTGATCGGTAATGACATCAACAATGTGGATGGCGTGACGTTTTCTACAGCAGGCACTCTTACCTGCAACGCAGTGTCACCAGCTCGAATTGGTCCTTGTCATGGTGCCACAATTTCTTTCTGCCTCAGTGTGGTTTGCAATAGCAACGCTTGCCAAAATGCTGATCTTTCCAGGGGCGTTGAAGCAGTGGAATGCAAAGACATCGCTGCCTGCTATGGCGCTAAGCTTCCTGCTATCTCCACAATGACCTTACAAAATGACTCCTCTTTGCTTGGTAATGCCATCAACAGTGTAACTGGTGTTACCATTTCCACAGCAGGCACTCTTACCTGCGAAGCGACGTCGCGAAACAACCCTGGCCCTTGCAATGGTGCCACAATCTCTAACTGCCTCATTGTGGTTTGCGAAAGTAACGCCTGTCGAAATGCTGATCTTTCCACCATCGATGCGGTGCTATGCCAAGGCGTCGGTGCCTGCGATAGTGCTTATCTTCCAGCTCTCTGTACCGTTACCTACCCAGATGGAGCAACATCTATCGGTGCAGCAATCGGAGAGTCTGATGCCCTTGTTTATGATGCCAGCACCAACTCCTTAACCTGCCGTGATTGTGATGGGTTGACTATATCTGGATGCTCAAGAGTGGTTTCCCCCAGTGTCTGTACTTTGTTTCGGCCAGATGGTATTGCCTATTCCGGGGCGGCTCTTTCCACCCTTGCCGACGTAGAGTTTCATGCAAATACAAACAGTCTGACGTGCAAGGAACATAATGGTCTTTTTACTGGGCTCTGCAAATATGACATTTCCTACAATTCACCCACAATTTCTGGCTGCAGCCAGCTCATCTGTGAAAAGAATGCTTGTTGGGGAGCAGAAATTACTGGGATTCCTTCCATTGAGTGTACCGGTTTTTCTGCCTGTGACGAGGCCACAATCAAAGAGCTGCCAAATGATGCGCTTGTCAAATGCGAAGGAAATAAAGCGTGTCTCAACACAGAGATCACTGCAGCAGTCAGCTCTAGTGGTTCTCGGGTTATTTGTGATGGTCAGAATGCTTGCACTGCCAGTAGCCCATTCGAGACAATCATCAACGTTGATTGCCTTGAATGCAAATCATCTGATGCATGCCTTAAAAATCCAAGTACTGGCTGTGAATTCCATGGAGCGCTTTGCCAGGATGGTCCTCAAGGAAGCTGCCCATGCAGCTTGACCATGTCCACGGGAGAAGTCTATTTGGAGCAGGACATCAACACCCTTACTGATGTCTCCTATGACTCTAATGCCAACAGCATCCTTTGCGAAGGCCAATTGCAGGGTCAATGCCGGGATGGAACAATCATGGCATGCCCTACAGTTGAGTGCAGCACGCGGGCCTGTAAGGGAACCACAGTCTGGAAACCAAATGACTTGGACTGTGTTGGCCTATGGGCTTGCAAAGAGGCTGTCCTCAAGGAACTCCCTTCTGGTGCTACAGCCGCCTGCAATGGGGATAGAGCATGTGTGGACGCTGAATTCACCACAGAAGAAGGACAAGGAGGTGTCACTGTGGATTGCATTGACATTGGAAGCCAGGCGTGTCTACGAGCCACCCTCGATGGCAGTTCCTTGTAAATTACATGTAGCTAGTGAGCTTGAGTTGGTGTTGTCGAGTTGTTTTGCATTTTGAATGGCTCTTGCTCTGGTCTTGGCATGTTTCTAGGAGAAAAGCATGTTGTATCTCAGGAGTAGCTTTGCATTTTAACTGATTCTTATAGCTTTTAGTTGTTGAGAGGTTTGTTTGTCTTGGTCCAGGAACTTGTCATGGTGCTCCATGGAAATGAAGGTAAGACCTCCACCGATCCTTGCATCATCTCGTTTTGATTGGAGTCACCCTCCGTTGCCCATGCAAGCAGCAGCAAGGTCCGGAAACAGGACTCAAAGCAAGTTTCACAGAAATGTTAGTTTCTTGGTTTTTTGTTTGCACTGGCTTTATGGTTTCAGCAGCTGTTTCAGCCGTGTTTACGTTCATTTACTATGGCTGGATTGTACTTTGTTGCACCAATAGTTTCACGGAATCGAATCGCGTTATCGTTTCCCGGAAATTGGTTTCGTGACAACCACCCATGCACTCGAAGCCCATCCGGGCTACATAGGGACGCCTGGCCAGACCGCGGGGATGCCAGTTCCAATAATTTAGCAGCTGCCAAGCAGGAAATTTAAGGAGGATCCATCTGTTTGCATTCATGCATTGATGTGATTTTATTAGGAGGCCAAGGACACCTTGAATCTCAGGTGAAGTAACAGGAGGCAAGCAGTAGCAAATATATCTAGCTAGAGTAAGCAACGGCCGCCCTCTTTCTAGAGCAACGCAGCCATCCCTCTGTTTTGTATGAATGATTACTAAGTGGTAGAGGGGACTACTCGAACGAAGCACACGCTGCTCTCGTTGGGAAAGTTGTCGATGGAAAAGTTGTTGACGTTGATGGATTTTTAGGATGGTTTGATAAATTTGATCAGAGCCCTTTCAAGGGACCATCGTGCCACAACCAATAGTCAAATCTAGGGCCAAACCTGTCGGCCTGGTGCACCGCAAACGACCTTTGTCCGTCACTATTAATAAAAAAGCCCTGGCGATCCGTCAAGTCGTACTCCGTACCCAACCAGTCTCCTCTCGATTCCTCCGTCGGGCTCGTGTTACGATTTTTGTCCTCGTGCTTGTTGTTGTTCAATGCCTTGCTGATAATCCCACCCATCTTGCCCGCCGTGTGCACCAAACCCATACGGTTCGGTTGAGCCGTGGCATAGGGCATCTTACCAGTGTAAAAGAGGTATTAGTTGTGGATTGATTGGTCGTCACCATTCATCTCATTGCAGCATCAGTCTTTGTGTTTCATCCATTCCTTCATTTCTTCCACCATGTCATGGAGATAACGCAGCATAGATTGTCTGGTCCCAATAGTCGTTCCAGAACAAAGCATGGTCTCATTAAAGATCGGAATCTTCTTGCACTGTTCAATAGGAAATTGAGTCAGCCAATGAGTAGTTCTTTGAGACTTGTGCTCCTCAAACACCTGCAATCCAGCAACAGGAGGTGCTTCTGGCCCAAATGGATCTCGCTGGAAGAAAGTATCTCGGACATCTGTGACAAGCACAGGTCCAGTACACTTGTCACACTCCTCCAAGTAGTCCCTTAGTAGCGCAAAGCGGCTCCATCGAATCTTCAAATCAGGATATGGGTGGGCACAGGTCCCAACTTCCCGTGTATGGCTATTAAGTTTGTTCTTGTTGACACCCTTGATGGTCAAGATATCATAGGTGCAGTTGATGACATTGATTCTCTTCAAGGTAACATTCTGGCTTTTCAAGTAGGCTTCCACTCCCTCCTTGGGGTCTTGTGAGATTGCCAGAATAATGTTGCCCTTGAAACCGGTGGCCCGCAATGACCCCACAAACTGTTTGTAGATTCTTAAACTATATCCCTTGCCATGGCCATTCCCATGACTGTAGCATGGGAACTGTCTTGCTGTTGGTCGGAAGCAGCATCAGCACCGTCTCCCGAAAAAGACAGCAATAAGTCACGCTTGACCGGGTCAAGATTTTGGTTCGATCCGTGCAACAAGAGGACCGCCGATAGGAACAACACGGCGGCGACCATCCTGTGCTGACTGGCCAGCTTTCCCATTGTTCTCCTGTTCACCGTGTCACATAAAATTGTTTGAGCCAAATAGACGTTCAGTTGCCAGGGTCCAAAGAAGGTCTTTATTTTCGACTGACAAGGAGTTCTCACCTTGGTTTCGCCATTGAAGCCTGCATCGTTTAAACTGGGATAGAATGAGAAATCACAGAGAGGAAGGTTGCGTGATATACATGTAGAATGTAGCACTGGATATTCTTGCTATCGTGGTCAGATGGCAGGGATGAGATGAACCAAGCACCCTCTGAGGTCATTACAGAAGATTCAGAAGATCGCAAAACATTTGGGACAGGTCAAGGTTCCTGCAGAGACTCGTCACTCACATACTGTATGCCATGGCGGAAAGATCTCGAGATGGACGCGAAAAGATCTTCCAGCTTTCGGGGAGAGGAAAACACGCAAGTCTGCAAGGCTGTCATTCATGGTTTGACGTCCTTTGGGTCATGCTTCCTTTTAAAAGCTACCCTTCCGCACACCACACCGCTATGCAGACCTGTACTGTACAGGTACCAAAGCCAAAACCACACGTTGTTCGTGATGGGGCATCATGCAAACAAGCGACAGACCGGCTGGCCTCACTTCAACAAAAGCGATTACTGCTTGCAATGGCAACAGACTGAATAGAACAAATATACTGTACATCTAGTGCAGCAGTACTAGGTTCCGGTTCAGTATCACGATCGCACTTGTTTGAGACGACTTTGCTTGGATTGGATGGTTGATACGAAGATTAGATCCTTTCTGATTGAATCAATCGAATCATTCATTCTGGCTCCGTAGAAACGTCGAAGCATTCACGCTTCCATTTGTTGCAATTAGCATTGCGGCCCCAAACTCTCAGCCACAGCCGGCAACATCATGTTTTACCGTACCAGGTACGTTGTTTGCTCAGGCCCTGCAGATTGAATGTTCAATCTTGCATTTTGTGTTTTCCCTCAAGTCGCCTCCCTGAGTGCCCTCTAATCAATCTTTGAATTCTCACGCTTCCATTACGCATATGATAGCTGCCAGCTGGGAAGCCGCCCGTTTTGAACGATTGAATCATTCAACGCAAACCAATATGAAAGGCAGCACACAGAAAGCCTTGTGGTGGTGCTCGCAAGCACCTCAAAATCATTTTGTTTGAATTGATTCAATCGTTCGATTCGTCATTCGGCTCAACTCGATTCTGAAGCGGAAATCTTTCTCAGCCACGACAACGACACCGTGGCCAGCTTGCCATGACGATAAGACTCACCCTCTGGCGCCGGCGATAAGAGCTCTTCCGAGTCGAGCTACTCTCGAAAAAAAGGCTCTACGACCAAAATCAACTCACCACGCAATTTGTGGATACAAGCCCAGCAGCGCACCATGGCCGCAACACATGCACACTCAACTCATTATATCCATCGACACAAAGCACACGACAGTACCAGTATGCCACCCAACGTCATGACTACATCACAAGACCAAGCCTCCAGGGAAGCCCGACGCATGCGCAAATACTTTTGGGAGATTGCTATGGAGACAAATCAAGCAGATGGGATCCGCATCGTCAAGCCGCAACAATCCGTGAGGTCTCCGCCAACTCATGCACCGAAACAATGCAACGCTTCTGCAACTACCAGATCCGTCCGTCGAAGAATTGTGGGAACGAATAGCAAAAAAGGCCTGAATAGGTGCCTGAACAAATCCGGAACCTGGGAGCTCCCGTCAAGATCTGCGAGCTTCAAGCCACTTTATTGACGGGTGGAAGGGAGAGATATGCGTTAACATGATAGATATCTATCAAGCAATAGAATGAACCATGCGATCAGCAGTACGACCTGGAAATCAAGGACGAGGCGATATGAGAGATGGCCTTGCTAAAGAACTAAAGAATAGAGACTAGCTTGAATCTCTCAAATGCCATTTCCGAGAGCAACACAGAACTTCATTATGTTGTCGGACAGGGAAGCTACTATGGGTTAGAGGGGACTATGGTGAGGATGGGTTGCTGAGGGGGACGACAGGGTGCAAGAACACAAGCTTAACAACCGAGGGAGCAGAGCAACCTCAAAACCAAAGAAGGAGAAGGGGTCAATGGAGGAGAGCGGGGAGGAGCAAGGGAGTGAGAGCGACTAGCGGAAGAGTCCAAGAGCGCCTTGACCATCCCAATGCTTGGAGAGCTTGAGAGCTGGAACACGACTGCCTCTCAAGCACATTGTAGCAGCACGAGTGAGGGCAATGCTCAGCCGGGCAGAAACAAAGGAGCGAACCACAGAGTAGGGCTTGGACCACTTGTGAAAAGCTGGGAGAGCCATTGGAGAACAGTGATAGCTTGGGCAGCAAACAGGCCATCAGCAGAAACAACAAAAGGGGGTGAAGTGTCGGCGTTGTGCAGTGCACGGAGCCTGATACTTCGTCGTCTTCGTCTTCTTCTGCCTCTCCCGTGGAGAAAGGGCCACCAACACCAGTTACTATATATGGACCGGTACCGCCTAACCAAATTTCCCGTTTTTGTCGCCTTCTTCAGTCACACAAGGCTCGCGCATGCCAGTCAAGTGTGACTGATCGAGTTGAAAGCTAGAAGCCCCGCCACACAACAGATTTTTGACAAACGTTCGAAGGGTTAGAAAGAGTACCAGTAGCTTCATAGATTGCTTCGACTAGCTAGCTACTGGCTGGGTTGTAGTCTTTGGCTTTGGTTTGAGGCTTCGCCTTCTACAGATACACTGATCCTTCTCTCAAGAAACGTGAGTGACGTCCTCTGGCTGATTGAGCCTGAGGTTGCATCGATTCATAGCCTCCCCATGCATCGGCAAGCAGCCAGCGAGGTTTTCTCAACTCCAAGTTTGACGCGCTGGAACCTGGAACAGACAATTGTCGGAAAAGAGATTTAGCCGAGGTTCATAAATGTGACTATCCGACCAGGCTGCCTGCAGCTGAGCAACCAAGATCACTCAAGTGCATTGCTTAGCTAGCATGAAAGAATGTCACTCACTGCTTGAGCTTCCGGGACAAAGGCGGAGGTACTGTGAGAAGCTGGAAACAAGCGCTGGGACTAATGAGAAAACAATCAAGCCTTTTCGGTCTTCGTCCTAGCAAGCTACTCAGTAGCTGGAATACATTAATTAAGCAGAGAAATTAAGAAAGCATTACAGTAGATAGAGGGACGAGGCAACAGCCATCCATTTGAGAAAAAGTGCGTTCTGGGTGAGCAACAAAGAAGCTGCTGTTTCGTAAGAAGTAGACTTTTGGCCTCTCCTGCCTCTCCTGTATCTGCAAATGCCGAGGCTCGTAATAGACACAGTACCAACTGTGGGCAGTTCTCTCGTCATCCAACGCCCATGCATGTGTCCCGGTTGATGAGATCCCGGCGCCCTTCTTGGCTGCCTTCTCTGGGAGCCGCCAAGGTTCCAATGTCCAACTCGAAGCAGAATCCAAATTCTTTGGGCGCTAAAAACCACTAGCTAGGCATGTAGAACGAGCTAGACTTTCCAAGCAAACAAGAAAGGCAAGATCGTTGCTTGTTCGTAGGTAGTTCTTGGATTACATCTGCGTCATTCACCTCAGCTGGCTTGGTTTGCCAGTTTGAACTTTGGCTGGAAGCAAGTGCATCAAGCAGCCAACCGCCCGCAGTATTCAAAGTGAATCTTGCAAAGTTTCTACCTGGGCGACTTCAAGTTCTGGCAGCGTGCTTGTGGCCTGACCGCCAAGGACGCAACAAGAATTCAAGAATTTGAACAGCCCTACTTTCACCAAGTCACTGTCCCGTTTTTGCCAGGATGTGAACGGACCCTCCTCGAACATTTGTGATCTGTTGAAAATGTCTGCTGATAACAGGAGGACCCTGCCCCTGGTGCTGAAAGGTGTGCTTTTGGATGGGCGTCTCTTTTCTTTCGACCAAAATAAAAAATAAAGAGAAGCTTCAAATGGAACATGTTCTCACCAGTGGCCGTAAAGGCCAAAAAGGGCAAATTGTCGTCCGATCTTCCGGGATGGCTTCGCCGAGCCAAATACCCCCTTCAAATGGCTAGCTACTTTCTCTCCTTCGGACATCTACTAGCTAGCTAGTACCTACCGACTCCGCTGATCTCCAAATCACAGCCCAGGAACGCAGCCGTGAGCTACATGTAACATGTAACATGTAACAACATGTACCGGTAGCCCATGCTGCCCGTACTATGTTTCTTGGATGGCAAGTACGGCAGCGGTCTCGAGAAAACGAAAAAGGGCAACTGCCCCCTCTATTTCAAGAGGAGTCACCAGTTCTGAATAGTAATTGTTCCTTTCCCTAAACATGAGCAATGAGATGCACAAAGTACGTATGGACGGCCTGAGAGCTGCCCGAGTCAGCGCAAGATTTAGTAGACGAACTCCGTCCAAAGAAAAGAAGAACAGAAGTCACAGGAGCTCTTACGTATAAACCGCCAGAGTCACCGAAATATTTATCAGACGAACCCTGTAAAAATGAAAGAAGAGCGACGAGAAGTTAGAGGATGCGTTGACATTTTGCTTTCTTGAGAAGGCAATTGCATCAAATAATTGCGAAGTGCGGTAGAAGAACCGCTACTAGTAATAAAGAATGCAAGGACACTGACCCTTCTCTCTCAGAAGCATTCCAATGTCCTCTTGACAACTACCCAAGACTTAGGAAGTATCTTCGTGGTGGGGTTATAATGACCGTCTATCACTGGAACAGCCACAAAACCTAAGAAAGTGATTTAGAGTTTCCGTTCCAAGGGGTCAGAGGAAGCCTCAACGGATTGATACGAATGCAGTTTCAGTATCTCGGAGTAGTTTCAATGAAAATTTGGATTGGCCAAAAGCTCCTGAAGCTTATCGGAAGATCTATGCAGGACTGCAGACTCAAGTAACCGTGCTTCCAGTTTCCCATCCACCACCCATCAACCTCCCATCATCAGCACCATTTCTGGGGCACTCACAATTTGATTGATTTGCATTCTGCGATCATTCACAAGCAATCTGCAGACTCTACTTTTTCTTTTTCACTTCAAGACAATGACCAACGGCAACTGCAGATCCAACCATTCCAACGGTTCCGGTGGAGCCATGGACAATACCATGTTGTGCATGAGGCGATCCGCCATGCAACGAGAGAGCTTTACAACTGTGCCAACCACTCTGAGTGGGCATCCTCTATCGGCACCTCCATTGACCACCAAGGCAGAACGAGATGAGCAACACCGAAGATTCCTTGTCAATGTCTTGGAACAAGCACTGGCGCTTTTGGATGATGAAGATGATCAGTTCTGAGATTGCACTGCATGACTAATCAGAAGCTTGCCTAAGCAAAAATGGATGTGAAGGACATAGTATGTACATACTGAAATACAAATATATGTATGTGAGAGTCTGAAAGTATGTGGGGGTATGGAAATACATGTAGCATTGGTCAATCTCTGGGACCATACTATGCTGCATCGGTCACTTGCATTGTACTACTAAGGTTTTTATCTAACTACTGCTGGTAGATTTCCTAAATCTTCTCCCCTTTCTCAATCTGTGTCAAGAAATGGATGCTGCTGTGTTTGGATTTTCTAGTAACTGGGTAATGAGTGCGATTTGCCTTCACCTACACGCGTCGAGCCAAACGCTCGACATCGAAGCTCGACCTCGACGAGCTACATCGGAACAATACATGTTGAAATACATGGGCGAAATATATGTATATCAGCCAAAACAGGTATGTACATTATGTATGTAGAGATGCTAGTGGTATGCCCATACATATGTGGGGGCTGAGGAGGTATGGCATAGTTGCTGCATACTATGTTGAGCAGGTAAGATCAGAAGAGAAGGGAGACAGAATGGGCCAACGACCTATCTTGAATGGTATTTTGAAAGCTGCAAGGGTGGGACTGCAACGACTGATATTGCTTCCTGCCCGCTTGCCACGGTTTTGCTACCCAAACAAAAAGATCACAATGAACTATTAATAATGGAACCACTCTTTCATACATACTGCACTGTTTTTAGATTGTCTTTTGTCTGTCTACAACTATCACAAAGGTTAAGCTTACCTAAGGCAAACCTAATGATAACCTGATTGCATATTAGTAAGAAAGTGTTTGATGGCCGCCACCGGCACTTAAATGCTCTACCAGGTAGCTACCAAGTATCCCTTGGCTTCGGGGATTTGCAGTTCCGGCCTCGATCGAGAGTTGAGGCCTCCCGATACATAATCTACGGTGCCCCACTATCGAATCCATCGAATTGCACCCGACGTCTTACATTCGTTTCATTGTCACTGCACCTCCTCGAGTTCCCGAGTCGAGTCCGAAAAACCTCTACACAAGCAACGAACTCGAGTGTGGCCTTCGGGACATTACGATACCTGAACCCAACCACCTGATGATGGGCCTTCGGTACAGTACGATACCTGAACCAACCACCTGATGATGATGATGATGATGGCATTACCTGCACTAGTTCCGGAGGCCAGCCAAGAATAGGTTGCCTGGCTAGCTAGAAGATACATTCGATGGTAAGCTATAGTACGCTCCTCGGAGCTAAACGGAGCTACGGTGACGGTACAGAGGACGAGCGAAGAGCAAAACTGAGCTACTGCAGTTGATGGCTACGGGTACATCGTTCGTAAGAACCCACCCGCTTTCTAGCCCTCCAAGTACCGTACTGGTATGCATAAGTGCGGTGCAAGGTACCGTGTGGCTTGCCCTGACTCAAAGGACACTTACTAACGGTGCCGTCTTTTGCACGTGAACGCGAATGAATCGAGAGACCATGCGCCGGCCCATCGTGCTGCATTGCGTCAGCTTTATTGAGACGAGTGACGGTGAGCTACGGTGGTTGATGGTTCCACGGGTACGTATGACAAAGAACCCACCCGCTTTCGAGCCCTCCGAGTGCCGTGCAAGGTACCGTACCGTACCGAATGCCTGCCTCGAGCGAAAATGTGCCGGTCCATGGTGCTGCACGAGCTTGAACTTTCTTTAGAGATTCTAGGACTGGTGACGGGTTGCTTCCTGTCTTGGAAACTCATAAAGATGATTTCCAACGACGTACCACGTCTTGTATGCTAGGCATGTCATGTATTATTGATTTCAGTTCTTCCGTGTGGAATTGTACATGCATGTAGCTGCTATAGTTTTTGTTTGTTTGTTTTTGTTATGTACGTACTTGTCGTCGTCGTCATGGCATACTGTACGTATCAATCAGTGCCCACCCAATGACATTGTGTATTGTGTAATGCAAAAGATGGAAACGATTCCACACATGAGTGCCGCAAACTTTTTCCATTTGTGTTCGGAGTCTTCCCATTCTTCTGGAATAACTTCAGTGGCTCCTACATAAACGAACGTTCCTGCAACAATGGCCAACATGGCAGCATCGACAATGGGCGCGGCAAATTCATTGACAGCAATCCCTAGTGCGACTCCAATGGGTCCCATGGCTGAAAAAATGGATAAGAATTGAATGATTTGATTTTTTGGCATTCCCGATTTGAGGAATGCCACCAAGAGGGCAATCGATTCGGCGGGCTGTGAATGTACCGAGTGTACGACAAAGAAAAACGTAAAGCGTGTCAGGCAAATGTTGAAACGAAATGTACACGTAACAACGGCATCAACATTAGTTGTCAAACGCACCTGATGCAGCGCAATGGAAAGTGTCAAAATGGCACAATCTCCAAAAGAATCTGCCAATCCCAATGCCATCATTTCTAGAATGCTGTGGACCGCCAGTGCCCCCAACAAAATGACGGCACTTCGACCGGTGTTGGGGGCAGCAGTGGTGGTTTCGGTCGCAACAGCTCCATTTACTTTGGTATCAGTGCCGTGTTCGTGTGAATGTTCCATTTCGTGTAGAATATCGTGTGCATCAAAGGCAACCTTTTCGACAAAAAAGATGAGAAGATATCCTCCTAGCACTAGCATATACGGGAGTGCTTCTTGTTGCTTGTAGACGGAATCTTGAAATCCGTGGACACATTCCGGAATCAAATGTCCAAATGCGAGTGACAAGAATACACCCCCGGAAAAAGCATTGGCTAAGGAAAGTCCCAACTTGTTTTCCGTCACCTTTTTGCTTCTTAGAGGCAACAGCCAACAGGCAACATTGATACTGGTCAAAATGGCTTGGAATATTATTTTCCACAAATGCAGGGGAATGCCGTAGGGAGTTGTAGTTGTGGCAATGGCTGCTTCAGCAAGGGTTTCCGCATGGCTATGTCCTCCTCGTGGAATACCCGTGGCACAAGTATCGGTGGACAATGCCACACAGTGAGAGCACTGGCGACTGCAACAATCCAGGGTATCCTTCGCCTTGGCTCTGGCTTTGGGAGAAAACAAGCGCGGCAAAAACCTCAGAGGCGAAGTTTTGGGACTGGCTGATGAGCACTCCAAATTGGACGCAGAAGTAGCACTGCAAGCTGTAGCAGTGGGTCTTCCAGTCGCTGAGGCGGTAGAGGTCGAATCCAGTAGAGACTCGTAGGAACTCCAGAGCTTGACCGCATTGGAAAGAGTCACGCTTTCCGACAACAAAATCAAAAACAGCAGAGCCACGCCTTTGCGTTGCAGGCTAGACAGCGATAGCCTTATCATGGTACTGCTACTATTAATAGTAACACTTCCTCGTCGTATTGACATCCTTAAGCTTGACTCAAGTCCACTTAGGTTGACTTAAGCTCTCTTCAGTTGGCTTAAGTTGGCTTGACTTGAGCTGAAGAAGAAAACTTGAGACTGATCTCCTCCTTTCTTCCTCTCCTTGCTACGGCTGGTAAAGGGTACTGGCTAGCTACTAGCTCTATGGTACCGATAGCTGGATGCCAATCAAATTCTATTTGAATGAATGAGGCGAAGGAGCGACAACTGTTGCTTTAGCTTTGGCTTTGGTGAAGCAAGTCATTGTGTCATCGTCATAGAAGCACAATCGCCGTTTCCTGTTGCTTGGCATCGTCGCTGATGTCAGTCCGTGACCAAAATGTGGGAATCAAAGATACGCTGACGCGTGGAAGATATTAAAAGATACCCGCTGGCAGAGCTGGAATAGAATTGAGTCCCACAAAAGCGACAGCATTTTAAAAATGCATTCTATTTTTACAATTTTAAAATTAATCACCCGTTTCATTTAAATCGAGTCCCACAAAGCGACGCAGCGTCGCGACGCAGTGACGCTGCGACGGCGCAGCGTCACTTTTGCGGGACTCGATTTAAATGAAACGGGTGATTAATTTTAAAATTGTAAAAATAGAATGCATTTTTAATTAATGCTGAAAGATCAGCGCACATCTTGATCTTTATAAAACAGCACACAAACTCTTTAAATCCCTATATACCGCATGACACGGAGGCTGAGCTCTTGGTAACTTCTGGTTGTTTGGCTTCACTGGACTCATTCCTCTCCTCGTGTCTCAATGATTGTGCTACCTACTTCTAGCTAGAACAAATGTGGATGAAGTTGTCGCTCCATAGATTACTATAATACGCTGGGAAAAGGGACACACTCTACTAGCTAGCTACCATACCGGTACGGTAGCGGGCAAGTTACCGGTAGTCTAGCTACAGTAGTACTAGTAGCTTGCGCACAGCCTTGATCGGGTGAGCCCTGTCTGTCGCTTCGGCCTTTGCGCTCAATGTCATGTCTGTGTCATACGAGCAGCTCCCACTGACTTATATCTTTTGTTTGGGATCTGCAGGATCCGTTCATCACACAATTTTTTCTCATACCACAAATTACTTGATAACGATGCGACGCCGAGTCCTCAATGGCAATGGAAGTGCCGGTAGTATTACTAGCAGGGCTAGAGATAAAGACGAGACTGAGGACATCACCAGTAATACCACTGCTCGTTCATCAGGCCCAAGCTCATTAGTTGGACGCGAGATTGTCATTCGGAAGGATCCAATCCCGCGCAATGCAACGAAAAACAATGCTTCGTTTCAAGTGACTCGTTGGGCGATTTTTCGGTTGTTGGGTTTTGTGTACTGGGTCGCCTTTATGAGTGCTTGGAATCAGAATTTGGGATTAATGGGATCAGACGGTCTGGAACCAGCCCATGATTACTGGCGTCGCTTTCAGGAACACTTGGAGTTTCCCACGGCTTGGCAAGGGTTCCTGGAAGCTCCATCTTTGTTTTGGTGGATTCCATTGAATGACTTACATCTCAATGGAGTGGCCATGGTGGGAGCTCTCTTATCCACTCTGATTTGGACAGGAATTCATGTCAGTTGGCTTTCGTGGCTTTTACTCTGGCTCCTGCAGTTCACACTCGTCACCACAGCACGCCATACATCCTTTTATCAATACGGATGGGAATCACAACTCTTGGAAACTGGATTTCTGGCCATTTTTCTATGTGATTTACCCAAGCTTCAATTACAACTGGTACCAAACTGTCGTTTACGCTTCCATTTGGGATTGTTTTCCACCAACGACACACAGCAAGCCAATCCTCCTTCCCCCATTATTCTCTTCCTCTTTCGATGGCTCTCTTTCCGCATTTCCTTGGGGGCCGGATTGATCAAGATACGAGGAGCTTCCTGTTGGACCAACAAGACATGTCTCTACTATCACTTTGAAACACAACCCATTCCATCCCCACTTTCCTTTGTCTTTCACTTTTTGCCAAAAGCCATGCTCAGCAGTGCCGTCGACTTGGATCTCTTTGTACAACTCTACACCAGTTGGATGGTACTCATTATTCCCTTATTTGGGTATGGACGCAATCTGCTGCGTGCCGCTGGATTGGTCCAAGCCGGGTTCATGATCAATATCATCCTATCGGGAAATTTTTCATTCTTGAATCATTTGACCATTGTCCCGGCATTGGCATGTCTCGACGATGCCTGTTGGCCCACATGGATGGCACAACGCTGGATTGTACCACCCGCCAGTGTTACTATTCGAACAACCGAATTATCATCATCGACACAAGCACGACAATACTCGTTTCCACCACGATGGATCGGCGACACGTGCCTGTTCCTTCTCATTGCGTACTTGTCCCAACCCGTCATTTCCAATTTGCTGGGTACGCAGGGTCATCAAGTCATGAATGCATCGTTTGACAAATTTCATCTCGTCAATACGTACGGCGCCTTTGGCAGTGTCGGACAACAACGCTTCGAACCCATTGTTTCCGTCAGTCAAAATGGACATGACTGGCACGAACTCGAGTTTCCCTGCAAACCGGGACGCGTGACGCGACCTCCCTGCTTTTGTGCGCCCTATCATTACCGTCTCGATTGGAATATTTGGTTCTTGGGATTCCCGCCGCATGCTAGCATGTTGCAAAATCGAGAACGATGGATGTATCGGTTGCTGGAAAAGTTGTTGGAGCCATCTTCTACAAAATCTTTGAGTAGTAGGAAGAATGATCGGCTGAATCAACCGGCCTGGTGGAATTTACTGGATTCGACTTCTGTCGAATTTCTGAGGAATCAACAATCACAATCATCATTGCGGTATGCCAAGGTGGACATGTATCATTACGAAATGGCGGCACCATTGTGGACCATTTTGCAAGACTACTACGAGAATTTCTGCCGGTCATTGGACACGACTACTAGTAGAAACGACAAGCCGAAAGCAGTGTACTGGTGGAAACGAACGTACAAGGAACCTTTGATTGATTCTGTGAAATGGGACCCCTCCCAAAATGGTTTGGTCTGGGCTCGAGGACGTACTTAGCTATTATTGCTATCTGACGAATGTTTGAGATTGGACGACAACGTCAAATCGTACGCACACAATACATGTACATAGTGTATTTGGAATATCGCAATGTTGCAACTTCAGTGAACACGTTGCAGTGAGCCGTATCGTAAAAAAGGTTGTCATGGGTACGCCGCTTTAAATGCTCAGGTTCTGGTTCGCCGTTTGCAGGGCTGTTTTCCGTAGCCGAAACAATGGCCGAATCACAATCAGGAAATCCTCCCGGTCTCCGCACATTGCATCCAACTGCGTGCCGCCCTTTGTTTCAATATTGGGGGCGCGCTTCGTCTATACTATGTTCGTCATCTTCCACTGCATCCAACAGCCTGCCATCTTCGTCGCGTCCTCTCCGGTTCACAACCAATTCAGTGATGGCGGACATGAACCCCTCGGTTTCGTGAAATCGTTTTCGCGTTCACCAAGTCGAGACAACTGAAATGAAACAAAACCAATGCGTACAAGGGCGCCATAATGGTTCCGAAGAATCTCCGTGAAACCCATGCATGCACCGTCTCATTCCAAGGGCAACTCCCAAGAGCCAGCGCTTGGATGCCCCAATATCCAATCAATAATCATCCCAACAAAGGTATATTCGGAATGGCGCCGGATTGTCGGACACACTCTGCATGCAAGATACATGTATGGATCTCATGCCAGGTGGCTCTCACAACACCCTTTACATGGCTGTTCCACCGCCAACACACCTGCAGCCACGAAACACAGTGTCCAGTCGCTTCCATCGCAACAAACTAATGACAACTTCAATAGAACGAACCTTGCAACAGCTCCAGCAACTCGTATAGAGACACCAATTCCGTGCTTGAAAGTATACATAGTATGATGGAGTTGCGTGGATGTCATCAAATCCTCCAGATATATTTGGGCTTTGTCGGCAGCCACACCTTGTTTCAGTCAGCTCGACCGGCTTGATTGGGACGTCTGAACACGTCACGTGTCATGACGTGGCTTCGCGACTTGTGACTCGCATTAGCGACTAATACCGTGCTTGTGATTCGCATGACAGACTCACAACAAGGATGTGAAACGCATAGTTGACTCACAAATACTTTGTGAAACGCAAACAGAATTATCAACGTGCTTGTGATTCACGAAGAATGATGTACGGCGAGTGGTGGCTGTTATCCTACGTGGACAGAGTTTAAGCGACGTGACTAATGCCTTGCGATGAACGACGATGACGGGCTTACGTTCATGACACATCCTTTGCACACATCCCTGGTCTTCTTCGAGAGTAACATGACACCTAATCTCTGTCTCGTTCAGCGTGAACAAATCTGCCACGCTAGATGCAGAGCATATTCTCGATTACTCTTTCATTGGCGACTAGTCTCTGTTCTTCGTAGAATTGTTGCTACGTTCTATCAAATCGCAGTCTTTCATGCCCAGTGGACTACTAGTACTGCTCTACGGCGACGTATTGTGTTCGTTCAAGTGGCAAAACCGACCAATCGGTCGCACTGTGCATTCGTCACCGTCGATGGCATTGTACATGTACGGTACATGTACGTCCGCGCGTAGCAAGAGTGGCGCAAGCAAAACATCTTTGTAGATGACAACGATGGTTACTTGCCTTGAGTCTGGAAAATTGAGAAATGCTACAGAGGTGCGCACCACTCCGGTACGGTACCGTAGAGGTACCTGGACCTTCCGATACCGGTACCTGGTGGTACTAGCTAGCTAGGTACCGGTAGCACCTATTTAATAGTTTACTGTTGACCAGCTAGTACCGGTACACGCACAATCGACCTGCTAGTGCCTTACCGGTATGACCATACCGGCACCACATGCACACTAGATACCGGTAGGCAACGCTGTCCGCACAACATTGGAGTGTAATTACGATCGACGGCCCCAATCAAGAGGTCTTGGATCGGTGATCATGATTGATCGTTCCAGCTCACTTTTACCTCCTCCTATGTCTTTGTATTCAAGGCAATAAGTCCTGCCACGCCGTCTCCTTGCATTCAAGGCAACTGAGTCACTGCGATGTTATGTCTTACCGGTACCATGAAATGACCGTAATAGAACTGCTCGGGCGAAAAGAGCAGAGACCCACCAAATCTTACAGCATTCCTCCAGCATTACTGTACATACTCATTCCAACAACAGCAACATCGATCTTTCGTCTCCCCAAGCTCTCGAGATCTCGATCATCAAATACTGTTTCCATATTAGTATATCCTTCTTCCAAACCTCGGACTTGTCTATTTGATCAGGTCTTACTGCACTATAAGATTGAGCATATACACAGATAGATGCTGCTTTGTCGAGGCAGTACCGGCAGAATGAAAGGACTGAGATTCATACGCACACTACCGGTATCTATCTTGCTATATACAGCATGTCTCGTATGTTTCCTTCCTGAGGTTCAATGCCAAGCCGTTCCTTGCATTTATGATGAAGGCAATGAAGTGTGCGTGTCTCGCGTAGGTCGAGGATCTGTCTGTCGCCAAGAAGATGGGCTTTGCAGCAATCCGTTGGAACGTGGTTGTCTCTACGCCATGCTGCACGAACAAGGCCGTTGGAATCGCACTCGAGTTTGCAACAGTGATGATCAGGATGTCATTGGTACGGATACTAGTGCTAGTGCTAGTGGTACTAATAAGTGTATACAGCCCAGTGTACCCACGCCAGAGATTCGAATTTGGGGAGGAACGTGGGAAGCCATCAACATGCAAGCGTGGTTGCTGCAGATCATTCTCAGTGAACTCGTGGGAGTTCCCACGTCCATTGAAACGGGATCTCAAGACCGAAATTTCAACTTTTACTCCTCCACCAATCGATTTGAATACGGAGATGACACACAAGTCATTCCTTCCGTGCAAGTGGCGTACAAACTGGAAGGAGATTGCAGTCGAGCCAATGACAATGCTACCTCTGAAGCCTACCAAGCATGCGCCCACGTGGTCCCGGAAATATGGAATGATCTCGTCAGTATCAAGGAGGGAAAGGCACTTCTGGACAATGGACTCGTAGAACCACCCCAAGCCAATGGAATCAAGGGAAAAGAAGGATGGTTCATTACCAAACACACCGTACAGGACGACCCAACACTCGTGTCTTATTTTGGACTACAGGGGTTGGACCATGACAATCGCAGACGATTGGCTCAAATCTTCAAACGACCCACCACCTGGCAATTCTATTGTACCCACATTTCCAATAACCATTGCACCAACACGTCCGACACGGTCGCTGTTCGGGCGCCACAAGACGAGACCGAATACGATCGCATGTTTGTCCCTGGACTCTACACGGGATACTTTCGTCCCAATGAAGGATGTGATAATGACATTCCAATAATAAACAATGCCACAAACAACAATACTACAGGCATGGATCTGTCCAATTGTACAGGACACATTGCCGATTATCCATGGTAAGTCATGCAACGATCAAGCAAACAACACAACACAGCACAATCTACAAATTCCTTCTAGTCTAACGCACGTATACTGGCTTGTCCCTGATCTCGATCGTGTGATTCAGCCTCTGGACATCTTCCATTGCAGCTCAGGTACGACCGACACACTCCTCAATCAATTGTTGGAATGCTGCTACAGTATTTGATGAAAGGTTTCTCTGCTTCATTTTCTCAATTTGCCAGTCATTTATTTACTTTTTCTCTTGTTTGAAAATAGACCCACTGGCTCCAGATTCCACTCCAATCCAAAGGAGACGAACCAGGATCGCGAGGATACACATATACACAATTGCAAGAAATTTGGAGAGCCGCCAATGCCACACGCAGCAATCTCATTATGCATTGGTGGTCACCCCATGCACTCATGCAGGAATTTGTAGGAACTGATGCAGAATTTCAAAATGTGCTTTTGCCCACGCCCACGCAAGAATGCATCGAAGCAAGACACAATGACAATATACAACGATGTTCCAACAATTTAACCGATCGCATTGGATCGCCGGCGGCGGCTTGTGACGAACAGGCACGATCGCTCCTCAAAGTGATTTCCACCACTGTATACAATCATCTCAGCAACAAAAATCATCCCGATCTGCCACCGGCATTGGCCAGCCCGGCACATGATGTACTGGATCGATTCACACTCTCCACAGAAAAAGTACATCAAATATTTCAATACTGGAGACAGGAAGCATCGTTGCGACAAGGAGTTTGTCGATGGGCCGCTGATAATCTCGATTATTTGGAACGATTCGTCACACCCACGTATCCACGAGTGCTCGTCGAAGGAGGCAATAATAACAATACGGGACTCTACTATGCCGCTCTGACATTGGCAATAGTGGCAGTGGTACTGTCGCTGGTCACGGCGTGGCAGGTACACGTGCGTCGACACGAACGGGCGATTCTCTATTCGCAACGGGAATTTCTCTATTTGCTCTTGTCGGGGTTGCTCCTCGTGTCGATTGGGGCCATTCTTGATGCCGTTCCACCCACCAATGGAACGTGTCTGGCCAGTGTCTGGCTCGTCAATCTCGGAATGGCCTTGCAGTTGGTGCCGCACATTATCAAAATCGCCGCCATTAACACATTGACCAAAGCCGCAAGACGACTTCGACGGGTCGTGCTCAAACAAGAGGCACTCTTCAAAGCGGTCGCGGCCATGTGTGGTCTGGTCGTCGTATTTCTCATCCTCTGGACCGTCTTGATCCCGCCACAAAAGGTGGCCCAATACGAATTGACATCCGATCTTGCCGACGACGGCTTTAGTACCATTGTCAATGTGGTGTACTTTTGTGAATCGAGCAAGGATGTCTTTCAATACATTGCCATTTGTGGAACCCTACTGTTGCTACTCTGGGCATCCGTCCTGGCCGTGCAGAATCGAAACGTTCGACAGGACTTTAACGAGTCACAAGTGCTCTCCATCTTGGTGTACTCTCATCTCATCTTTACCATTCTACGATTGGTGACCTTCTTGGTGCCTCGAGGAACGGATGCACTCAGTGGAGACACGTTGGACAAGGTTCGAAGCATCATCTTTAGTACGGACACGATTGCCACAATCATCATTTACTTTCCATCCAAACTCTTTGCGTCTTCCATATTCGCAAGCCAGGAAAACGTGAACAGCCGCGCATCGTCCGAGTTTCTTCGAAGTTCAACAGGGTTCCAAAGACGGCAATCCACTTTCTTTGCTCGCACGGACCATGGTGCCGAGGGAAGACACGAGTCCTGCAACACGAACGATCCAACATCATCGGCACAACGATGCGAGTGTCCCAACTGCGGATATGTCGGCGAAATGCGTCCATTGGTTATTACCTCGCAGGCAGAAGTTTCCACTGTTGCGCCTTTTGTCGACAGCGTGGCCAGTGCTTCCGCAGCAGCACGCAATTTAGCCATGCCTTCGTCGCAGCAATCGTTACCCAGCGTTTCGTTTCGTAATGCCGAGCCAGAGTCGGCAATGGAGAGCGTGGACGAAGAAAACGCTGAGACCAATGACGCGAAGAAATGCGAGCCAGAGATTGCCGACGAGAGCAAATGCAAGGCAGAGGAGACGCAAGCCTAAATGGGGGTGGGGGGGAGAGAGAAGGGGGCTGCAGTGTCGTTGGCAGTGCATTTGATCAATTCGGGAGGGGAAGGGACTATCAAAAGTTGGAAGCGCTCTGTCCGGGGGAAAGAAGAAAATAAAGCAATACTATAACGCTTGCCAATGCCTCATCCCCTGTTCCCTCTGCGGGAAGCAACTGGGAAGAGCGGGTGAATCAGGGTTCGGAGCCCCAGTCATGCACTGCAGTGGATCCCAAGTATACTTCTTTGTCAAGATTGACAAAACTCTTCAATGTTGCCCCGCTTTCATTGCCAGTCAGCTCCTGTTGCCATCGCAGGAACCGTCCGCTTGGCGATCGATCGAGGATCGTTGGATTTGCTTCTGTCCGATCGAGTGCAAGATCCACCCCGTCTTCCCCTAGAATGACTCCTGACATGCTACGGCAGGAGAAGCAATTGCCAAATCTTGCAGCAATGCAATGCAATGCAATGCAAGGCAAGGCAATGCAAATGCAACGCAAAACAAGCAATCAATGAAAGGGCGCGCCAAGTACAACCCTCAGAAAGACAAGTCCGAGCTACAACATGTTTTTCAAGCTTTCAACTTTCAAACGCTCGCTAGCTACCGCCGCGCCATGATTGGGCGACGACGGTATGTTTGCCATCAGAGAAGAGATGTGTACGCCCATACCTGGGGCTTAACCAACGAACTACTACAAGACACGCAACCCCTCATCGCCACAGCGCTCAACTAAAAATCCAGCCACAGAATCGTCGAAGGCTCAAAGATACAGTATCTAGATGGATCTCATGGAAACGCAGCACAGTGGAGATTCATGTGTCACGAGTAGGAGACGGCCTTCGAAACGTTCCTTGAAACGTGGATACATGTACGACACGGAAATCTACAATACAACAGACGGGAATCATTGTCTGTCCCCACGGGCAACCGTGGCGAATCGAGCCACCAGATGGATCTCGTGTGTTTTGGACAGGGGTATACGGTACCCTTGAGTCTACCGAGAGCTTCACGACATCTGTTGCAGTTTCGGCACAATCAAAGGAGAAACCAGGAAGTCTTGGCATTTGGGTGGACTCTTCCAACTCCAGTCTCTGTCAGTGAAAAGTCTTTCCAACGTCGTTGCGTCCACAGGGCAAAAAGATCGTTCGTACCAGACTCTATCTACACGTCATTGCATTACGATGGCGAAAAGTTGTCTGCTGCCTGCTGTACAATTATTGAGCCAGCTAGATTTCAAATATGTTTGGATTCATGGTGGATGTGTTTGAATGGATGGATCCGTGGGGCATCAAAACGTCACAGAGCAAAAAGGCAACGGCATCGACGCGGGCAACGTTCTGGAATGTGGCGAAGGGATCCTGGAACATCAAGAGGAAAGATGCGTCATGGCAGGGCCAGAGAGTTCCGAGCGAGCGAATGATTCCGCCTGTGGAAGGCCTGTCATGCCCAGGTTGGAGGTTTCAAATCAATCCGGAGGGAACTGAATCAAATCCAAGTATACTTCTTTGTCTTGACCAAACTCTTTAAGGGTCAAGAATCGACTGTGTGATAGAGACGAAAATGCTGCGTGGACAATCCAACACATTCTCGAGGATTTCCTTGCTGCATGCTGCGTGCCTTTTGTCCTATTTGTCCTTCTTTACGCACCATATTTCGTTGACGGTGTATGATGAGAGCTGTGGTACCCGGTACCGTAGGTCGACGCATTTGCTTCCATCGCAAAGACAGGCAGCGACAGGGCCGTTCGCGTTGACGTCCTCTATCGAGGCGTTCAATGCCTACGCTTGACAGGCCAAGAAGGAACAGGGCATATCCTTGCAGGCGGAAACGGAAGGGCTGATTCAATCTCCATTCCCAACAGCTTCAACGACGTTTGCTACTACTGGTATGCACAAACTTCGCCGGAACTATAGGATAATGACTAATAAAGTGCCCTGTATGTATGTACAAAGTTCTTGTGATGATGCCTAGCTGGCTAGTCAAGAGTGACTCAGTCAAGCAGACTGTATCCTCTAGCTAGATTGCCTACAGGTAGCTACACAAGTACAGTAGTTATAGTAGAATGTGTGGATAATTACCTACCTTTCGGTTGTTTACTTTCAGGCTGACTCCTTGGGATCGTGTGTGGTATCCTGCTGTGCCACATCTTGGTGGTATTGACCCAGCAGCATTGCCTCTGTCGTCATGCAAGGAGAGGAAAAGACGGCAGCAGCATGTGTCACAGTCACGGTGTTCGAGGCATCAGTTCTTTGGACCTCTTGACCAGATCCACTGACCAGATCCACTGGCCCCCATTCTTTCTCCTGCAGATGAAACATCACTATGCCTCTTTCTCCGTCAGCTTCGGTCTGTTCCTGGCCAACAGCAAAGCAACAGCCAAAGAACAGAATGGAGACATACAGGAATATTTTGATTGCAGCATTGGTAACCAGAGCTGTGTCATAGAACAATATGAGTCGAAGGATTTCCACCACAACACTTGCAAGCAAGAACCCCATCAAGACAGCCCAATCCAGCAACAAGTTGGCCCGAGGGGTTTGGTTTGCTTGACTTGAGCTGGAACCCATGTTCCGTACAATCAAGAGGGCATTGACAATGCAGAGTCGAAGGCCTATGGCTGCAATCAAAACAAAATATAATCCGCTGCATAGTTGTTGAATCTTTGCTGGTTCTACCCCCCACTTGTTCCATTGTGCTTCTTGGACACCCACACCGATGGAGCACAACTGGATGCATAGTCCCAACAAAATGCCGCAAAGCACAGCTTTCTGTTTCTGGTTTGCCAGGGTCATCATAGTTCGCTTCTTGCCTTGCCTTGCCTTGCCCTGCCCTGCCTTGATTTGCTTCCCGTTGGTTTTTCTATGCTCTTGTTGCTTCTTGCCAGGAAGGAAGAATGCATTAATATTCAAACTTACTTGCTGACCCTGGCTACCGGTAGCAAGGATCTTTAGGAGCCTCCCCATACCGGTTGTGCTAAATGTACCAGTAGCCACCGCGCCGAGAGGTAAACTACTCACGAAATGGGGTTACTATGGGTTAGAGAGGGAACTAGGCATAGCTACTAGCTTGAGGATTTAAATTGGCTTGGGATAAGGTTGAAATAGATTGGAGTACATGCATTGGAAGACTAGACCGTCTGACGCTTTTCACTCAGGCTTTAAAACGGCCAGGACTGGTTCTCATTCTAAGGGGAGGCTTTGAAATGGCAGATTTATTTAAGGGCATTTGTAATGGCATGTTGCAGATTTAAAGGATTGTTTTAAGGGCATGCTTATTTATTTAAATAAGGGCATGTTCATTCGTGATCAGGGCTATGGTGTTTCAATGAAGGCTTAAGGGCATGTTTCGAGGCATTAGGGGATTGTTTTAAAGGCATGTTCATATTTGAAGATTTAAGGGAATGCTTAAGGGCTTGTTACAAACGGTCATCAGTCGTAGACATTTTTATTTTTGTTTTAAAGCCTGAGTGAAAACCGTCGGACGGTGACTCGACGCTGCGCTGGGCTAGCTATGGTCCAATGAGAGCAATAGACAGGCATATCCTTGCAGACGGAAACGGAGGGAATCTACATGTACATTCCCATGAGTTTTTCTCCGTTTGCTTGTATGCACAAACTTCGTCGGAACTAGGATAATGACTAGTAAAGGTGTCTTATGTATGTACAAATTTCTTGTGATGATGCCTAGCTGGCTATAGTCTAGAGTGACTCGACTCAGTCAAGCAGAGTGTATCAATCCTCTAGCTAGATTGCATCTATATGAGATAGCTACACAAGTACATCAGCTATAGTAGAATGCGAGGATAATTAATTTCCTTTTGGTTGTTTATTTTCAGGCTGACTCCTTGGTATCTTGTGTGGTATCCTGCTGTGCTACATCTTGGTGGTATTGACCCAGCAGCATTGCCTCTGTCATCATGCAGGGCGAGGAAAAGACGGCAGCACAAGCAGTAGGTGTCGCCGTCTTGGTGTTCGAGGCATCAGTTCTTCGGACCTCTTGACCAGATCCACTGGCCCCCTTTCTTTCTCCTGCAGATGAAACATCACTATGTATACTGGACGCCTCTTTCTCCGATCCTTCTTTGGGGTGATCGCTCATCGTTGACATCGTTGACATCCATGGCCGCATGGAATTATTGTTGTCGATCATGTGCTGCATCCAAGGATCCAGCACCGAAGCCCTAAACCAAGGATGAAAATTGTTAGGGTTTTCGGATCAACCAGATTTCAAAAAGAACTAGTATCCACGTCTCACTGGCCTACCGTACCTTTGCTTTGGTCCTGGAATGCAAATTGGGGAGACAGTTTTCTTAACAAAGAGGTGATAAAATTGTAAATTTCTTTTCATCAGTCCATGCCCAAATACATGAACTATGGACTGATGAAAAGCTATTTTGAATTTGGACCTTCCCCAGTCTCCTACAGGCCTCCCCATGGTTGCGCTTTGCTGTGCCATCCCAAGCCGCCATATCTAGGCAACCGTATCTCAGCCAAAACTCAACCTTTTTCGAAATTTTTTGCTTGGAATGATATCTACTCTTTTTGGAGAACTCAGAACTGTCTATTATCTTGAAGATAATAGGATTCCTAGAACACCCATATTCTAGGTGGGTAGCTTTACAGGGGCATATCTACCTGAAATATGGTGGGGCAAATCAATTTTGAGGTTTTTTTCATTTTTCTCATTTATTAATCTAAACATCTAAAATTAAAAAATTTGAAATTTTTTCCTACATGACACCACTTAACCAAAGGTACGGTATTATTTGACGGAGACACGACAAAAGAAAACGCGGCTTCGATCTCTAGCATACCGTAGTCTAGTCTACTGTAAGTGCTCAACTGTTCAACATCTAGCACGAGAATAACGCACCGCAGAATCTGAATCTTTCCACACAGAAGGCACCATGTTGAGCTGTCTGCGGTTGTCGCCACCAAAGAAGGAGTCGGCGGCTTTGCGTGCTGCGAAGAAATCCAGAACGTCACGAGAGAATGCCGCTCCCTTGGTGGACCGCGCCGTCTTCGCGGTATCTGGCGTCGATGTGTTGTGTTCCTTTGGTTGGCGCTGCTATTTTTGGTCGCATTGCGCGAATATCTTCGAGAGCGGACTTATTGTCAAGAACGTCGAACGATAGTAATTTCTTCACCTTGTGCTTTCTTGGGAGACATGCTCGGCGCGGTCGCAATTCTTGGCATTGGTCTCGTGATTCCCCTGTGCTTCGTTTGGCATATTGGCAACGGCAACATCCGATTATGGGTTCTAGCTCAGTCAACGGGAACAGGATTACCAGCAGGTGCCGCAGGCAGAAGAGGGAGGAGCGTCACAAGTCGATCGTGATGGCGCTGGGGTGGAGTTGGTGTGCCTTGGCCATTGGTGCATATACATGTAATACCAGGTACTGTGCTAGCTAGAAAGACTGTATATTGGATTGCCCTTTTCTCGGTCATCGGCTCCGGCAGCACGACAGGAAGGAGGTTCGGGCTAATATATTTTATGTCGGATCCCTGGCCACGCCTAAATGCTTTTGAGTTGCTTTTACGATGGCCAGCTAGCCCAAGCAATGAATTTCTTCCTCAGTGCGTACCTGCGCTGCAATCCCGATCACGGTTGGCCCCAGAGCTGGAGCTCTCACAACTATTAACTATTAGCCTCACCACTTGATTCGCTATATGCTATGCGATGATTCGATTCTTGGCCCCGGCACCAGATTTTCTTCCACCAGCCACTGGCTGCAGACAGCACATCAGGAATCCGTTGTTTATCTGGCCCAGCACTAGATTGATTATTTGCTCGATCGCAGCAAAGGAAAGTGTGCAGTATATGGTAGGTCGATTGTGTGGCGATTGAAGATTCCTATGATTTGAATGATGATCATCGTCAACAGACCAAGATGATCACCGAAGATCCAGGTTTTGCACCGGATGCGGTGTGAACTATAACTGTGAGCAGTTGAATGTTAAGGTTAAGGACTATTGAAAAGAAGCACAGTGCCCCCAAAGCACCTCTCACAATGGCCGCCGTGCACCACTCCACAATCCCAACAGCAGAAAAGCACAACCGAAGAAGTGGACTATTAATACTGTACTGTAAGTAAGTAAGTAAGAGAAGATGACGACTGAAGCTACGGCCATGGACGTGGATCCACCAGCTACTACTACTACTACTGCTAGTACCGGTACTGTAGTGGCTGCTGCCCCAACAGCAGCTCCAACCCCAGCAGACCCTGAATCGTTGAATGGCTGTTGGATTTTAGACAAATCAAAAGGCGAATGGTCGATGCGTGGATATTTGGAAACGATGAATGTGAACGAATTGGCGATCAAAGCGCACGAAAAAGGCGAACAAGAGTACGACACGTTTCACACCATTCAGCTCACTACGGATCGCATCAAAATCACCAAGCGATCACGAGTCAACGCGGATTTGGTCGTAGAGCTGCGCTTGGGAATCGAAGAAAAGGAGTTGTTGCCACCGGGAGATCGACTCAAGGCATCACTCGCCGTGTCGCATAATCCTCGTCATTTGAAAATTGAGTCCTCGATGCATACCGTAAATGGAATTGCCAAAGTCACCGATGTCAAGGAAATGCAGCCGAATGACACGGGGGGTGGTGGTGTCGTGCTGGTGCAGACACTCACCGTTCTCAATGAACAAACGGGAAATTCTCACACTACGACTCGATATTTCATTCCCTATCGAGGAACTCCTCCTCATGAGGTTGTTTGATTACCGTATGGCTTGTGACTGCATGGTACAAGGATGTCAAAATGGATCCAATTATCGTCTCCCATCGTCTCTGGCTAGCTTGATTTATTTGGGTTGGGCTCTGTCAGATTATACAGTAATCAAAAAATAGGAGGTGGTTTTTGTGAACTATCGTGTATATATTCAGTCGAATGAAACGAGAGCTCATCCACACTCTGAAGGAACTGATCTGATGCCCCCGACAAACTCTCCAAATTTCTTAGGCCTTCGTATCTAGCTAGCAAGAGCTTGTGGGAGATTATTTGTTGGTGACAATGTTTTGGTTGGTTCAAAATTCTGCTCTGTGATGTTTGGGATGCCAAAGAAGGAACCATTCTTCGCCGCTACGGTACAGCGGGACAAGCGGAATGTTGATTGCACCCGTAATGCCCAGACCAAGGCGGGGCTCGCTTGTTTTGTTTGCAGACCATGTATACGTGAGCCGTGTTCAAAGCATGGCCGTCAGTCTTGCCAACAGAGAAGCAAGGCTTCAGAACACTCGCAACTGCAGCGTCTGGTACGTAAGGAGGCAATACCAACACATAGCATACCGGTATGGTCAACACGGTAGGGTTGCGTTTTGGAAGTACATGTATAGTATAATGTAGGCAGTTGGAACGCTGCGTTCAAGAAACTCTCGTGTTGTATGTGAAAACGAGCGAGGAAAGGGAAGCATTGCCTCGGTGCTTATATAACGACTATGGCTAGTCATCGCTGTAATGTCCCAGATTGGATACAACGTATGAGTATTTTGCCAAAGGACCAATCGCTCCTGTGTCGCAGCCAAAGCCTTGGGCAATCCCCCCAATCAGAAGCAAGGGCTGATCTCACTGTGGGATGCAGCCAATCACTGACAACACGTGCACGCTCACAAAGGAAGTGGTGCATTCATGAAACTCTACAGTAATCTACATCAATTGGCAGATCCCGCAGGGACATGCTGAGCATCAAAGGTTGAAACGTTGAAGGGATCGGTGAATGGGATGGGCGTACTGGAAGGGGGAAGGAGGGGTTTGGAGGGAGGAGGAGCCCTTCTCCAGTCTCAAGGCGAGCGGTGTACCCGTAACTCGTTTGCAGGAAAGAATCCCCTTGCAAGTACCAAGTACATTCATCCATGCATTGCCGAATTGAAGCTGTTGGCAATTGGGCTCTGGTATGAAAGGGGTCTGGAGTACGATGTAGCCATGTGTGCTCATGGAGCAGTAGGTCAGGTTGAGTTTGTGGATTGTGCTGTCCATTGTCTGCTTGGGATTGAGTTTGGGCATTCCAATGTAGGAGTATCGTGACTGCGGCTCCAAACTAAAGAAAAACAGGTTCAGCCGATTCCATTCTACGAGTTTGTCCAAAACCGGGCCAATTCTTACCATCCGAGCAGTACGGTCTCTTCCCTTCCCTTTACCTCTGCAAGAAGTGTGTACCCTGCGAAACTGAGCCCATAGATGATGGCCAACCCCAGCACTCACAAGCAAGGTGTCTCGTTCCGTCAAGAACCAGCTTTTCTTGAAGTCACTCCCTTGCCAAAAAGATCCAACACGACACTTTCTTTTTAGCCGCTCTGCTGCTCTGTTTCATTGAACGCTCTTGAATGCTGGAGGGGCCGGACCAACAGGACGTCGGATCTCGACGTGCTGGGACCTCGTCCAGCCGCAAGCGGCATTCTATCCCTTTGAGCAATCAAAAGGACCATGCGGAAATAAGTCAAAGTGCCCTGATCCAAGAGAACTTGCAGTCTCACGATTGGAGAGCGCAAAGTTATGGAGATTATCTACTCCACGCCGCCCCAATCTCAGTTTGGATTCGACATTGAGCGAGTGGAGTCCTGGGGAGAGATCGATTCGATCAAGCCGTGCGGCGATACCAGGCATTACGGGACCAGGAAGAAGCCATCTGCGCTCCCGTGGCACCGTGCTCGCCAAGGGGCCAGTTACAAAACCGCAAAATCCAAACAGCATTGCTACAAACATGATTTGGGATGCGGCTACCCTTGTATTGATGAGCTCATCGCGAATTTCTCGGATTCGTATTCGACAAGTGACGGGTGATCCCTAAGTAATATAATAAGCCACGAACCTATCCAGGATAGATGATTCCTGCCAGCATTATTTATAGGGTTATTTTTTCAATGTCTTGGACTGCAGTGCACCCAATGTATCGCAGGTCAGGATTCTACAATGCTCGATTCGATTCCTGTTTCCAATGCAAGAATGCACACACAAACCATACTAGCTAGGCGACAATGGAAGGAGCGTTCATGGCAACGGGGACAACCTCACCAGATGCCAAATCCAAGGGGAAGTTGTGCGCATTGCGCTCGTGCATGACTTCGGTTCCAAGATTGGCACGGTTGATAATGTCGGCCCAGGTGTTAACAACACGACCCTCTGAGTCCACAATGGACTGGTTAAAGTTGAGACCATTCAAGTTAAAGGCAACCATGGAGATGAGCATGGAGGCCATCCACACGCCAACCACAGGCCAGGCCGCCAAGAAAAAGTGGAGGGCACGGGAGTTGTTGAAGGAAGCAAACTGGAACAGGAGACGACCAAAGTAGCCATGGGCCGCCACAATATTGTAGGTTTCTTCTTCTTGGCCAAATTTGTATCCATTGTTCACGGATTCTCCCTCGGAGGTCTCACGGATCAAGGAAGAGGTCACCAATGAGCCATGCATGGCAGAGAACAAGGCGCCGCCAAAAATACCAGCCACACCCAACATGTGGAAAGGGTGCATAACAATGTTGTGTTCAGCCTGGAGGACCATCATAAAGTTGAAGGTACCGCTGATTCCCAAGGGAAGTCCATCCGAGAAAGATCCTTGTCCCATGGAATAGATCAACGTGACAGCTGTTGCAGCTGCCACAGGAGCACTAAAGGCAACAAAGATCCATGGACGCATGCCGAGACGGTAACTGAGCTCCCATTCGCGGCCCATGTAAGAGGCAATGCCAATGAGGAAGTGGTAAACAATTAGCTGGTATTCACCACCATTATAGAGCCATTCATCGAGGGAAGCAGCTTCCCAGATGGGGTAAAAGTGCATACCAATGGCGTTCGAGCTGGGCACAATGGAGGCAGAGATGATGTTGTTTCCGTACAGCAAGGATCCCGCAACAGGTTCACGGATTCCATCAATGTCCACTATCCGGATAGGCGAGGAAAAGGTGAAAGTGAAAGACAAGCAATTGAGTCAGTTTGGATAACAGCTAGGATGGACGTGATATACAATCCATACAAACTCTCTTCAGTGTGTACGGTACCTGGAGGGGCGGCGACCATACCCGCAACAAAGCAGGTTGCAGCAGCCAGCAAGGTCGGGAACATGAGAGTTCCAAACCAGCCGATGTAGAGTCGGTTCTCAGTGCTGGTAATCCAGTTGCTAAACTTGTTCCAAACGACGGCAGGGTCTTTCTCGCTTAGCTTCTCGGGATCCATGGTGGTGGCAGCTAACTCAGTGTCGAAGTTGAAGGGGTTGAACTCCTTGCCAGTGTCGAACGAGGTCAAGTCGCTGTTGGTGGTCGAAACTCCTTTGGGCGCAAAGCGGAGGGGAGACGAGGAACGAAAGTTGCTCTTGGTAGGAAAGAGATGGACCGGGACCGTAAAGGCATCCGACATTGAGGCAAAAAGGGAAACAACGATGACAGGAGAGAACTTCATGTTGGCAGTTTGTTGATTGGCTCGATCGTCAGTTTGTTTTAGCTTTTGGATATGTTGAGATTGTGAGACCATCGTGTTTGTTTTTCTTCTCTCTCACAATGGATCCAGGTCGAGATGAATGTTCGAATTTTGGCCTCCTCCTGACGTGGTCCATGGTGGCGTCTCGATTAAGTTGCCATACCATGGACATCCCAACATAGAGATGCTTTGGAAGTTCTAACAGATGGCTGAAAGACGTTTTATGTCAATTTAATTGCCGTAGCAAGAATTGAGTCGTTACGTTGTTCTCTCGAGCTTCCTTGAGTTGCCATCACGAAGATCCGATGCTGACAACAAGGGCAGGAGCAGCAACTGAAACTTAATTATCGCTATTTCCATTTCGGAAAGATTTTTTCTATTCCCGAGATCGAGAGGTAGCTCAGTTTGTGTGGGAGTTGTATTGTGCACGACTCGACTCGATTCATTCGTCACTCGACTCGGCAAGCCATGATGTCGCATGCTCCCCCAAAAGATCCAACCCTCATGAACGACGACCACACTGCCTTTTTTAACAGCTCTGCTGTTCTGTTTCATTGGACGCTAGTGAAGGGGTGCGACACACATATTCTTTTCATTGGTATTTAGAGGAATGGCTCGATACATTTTTCCAGAGTGGAACGTCAGCAAGGTTGAAGACTGCTGTTCCCTCCAGAATTTGTCGAAGGCATCGAATGCATGAGACTTGCTCGTTATTGTAGCTGTTGCTGAATGACCTTTTAAAACCAAGACAAAACACAATCACAGCCTTCGAATTCCTGTTGCTACAGTTTAGAAGTTGGACCGTGTGAAAGAGTACTAGTAGCTGTTCAACGAAGAAGATGCCTGAAGAAGATATTGTAACGATGAAAGACTTGGAGAATCCCGGAAAGACGGGAGAAGAGACGGAAGATCCTTCGGTGGTCGTCACTGCGGATGACAGCAGCACCAGTGGGAGCCTGGATGAAGCTGCTACTAGTAGTAGTACCAACGGGAAGGCTGTTGGAAAGAAGAAGAAATTTGGCTGGATGGGAGGAGTCTTGGCCTTGTTGGTGTTGACTGTCGTTATCGTGTCGGTGGCTGTTTCCAGTTCTAAGGATAAGGGTAGCTCCACCTCTAGCCTTTCTGGTTTCTGGAAGGACGGAGAAGATTCTGCTTCTGGCAATCACAAGGACAAGCCTGGCTGCAACAAGACCCACTACAATCATGGTCACCATGCCCATGGTGGAAATCACAACCATTACCATGGCCACCATGGCAGGGATCCTCTTGACCCTAATCAAGAAGAAGAAGAAAATCCATTTTCTGTGGCTGCTGTCCAGGAATCCTCTCCAGCTGATTCTGAAGAAGAAGAAGTGGAACTGCCTACAGAGCTCCCCTTTGGTGATGTCCCCATCCAAGGCTTCTCCTCTGATATCCTTCAGGGGTATTCTACCGAAGAAGAGCTTCAGGACGATTTGACAAAGACCGGAAAGCACATTCTCAATCAGGTCATTCTACAAAATGTGGCTCGTCATCAGTACTATGCACAGACGGTATGGGGATCTGCCGCCAATGGTGGAGACACTCCTCCTAGAGAACGTCCCTCTACTACCAGTAGTGCAGCCCAACAAGCGGGACAAGAAATTGCCTCGGCGGCATCCGTATTGACCACCACGGAGGCTTCCAAGACCAACAACCAAGAAGAAGATGTCGATGAAGCCGATATCATCAAGAACGACCAGAACTATGTCTATGCCGTCCTGGGAGATTTCCTCGTCGTTTGGGATATCCACACAGGAGCACAAGTCACACAAGTACAGATGCCCTCGCTCTACGGAGAAGATCACATTGGCAGAAACTGGAACTGGAATCCAGTCACTCGTATTAATGGACTCCTATTGACGCCCGACCATGTCATTCTCATGGTCGATGCCCACAACCACCAAAATGACGAACAACAACAAGAACCAGGACAGCCAGAATTGATTTCCAAGTACCAGGCCACACAGCTCCGAGTCTACTCCAAACCCACTCCCACCAAGACAGAAATGACACTCCTTGCTACACAAAAATTGCAGGGCATCTATCGCGATGGACGATGGTTGGAAGATTCCCAAACCATTCATTTGGTAATGTCGGGAGATATCAATGCCTACTCTTACCTGGTCGAACCACTCTCCTACCGTCACTTCCGTGACGAGGATGAGAACTCACCCCTTTCACCCATGGAATATGTTGCCGCTGCCACGGAATTGGCCACCAACACTCTCTTGCCGGAATTCGTCACGGCGGTCACCAATGCTCTCAAAATCAACGGTCAGTTGCCAGAAATGTTGCAGATCAACGGTTGGGCGGCCTCTACCGTCATGTCACCATCCGCCGAAGAGACACTCGCACGATTGGGAGGCGTTGGCCTGGGTGTTTTCCACAACGACGAAGCCTCCAATGATTTGCCACTCCGTGCGTTCATTCAAGTCGTTTCCCTTCACGTCGATGATTTGCCACCTGCCAATGCCATGTCCATTATTGCGCAAGATGCCTTGCCCGTCACCAGTTCGCTCTTGATGGGACCCACCACTCGATGCGACTTTTATGCCACTGGAAATCACTTGGTTGTGGCTTTGGAGCATGTCCAATATAACGAAACCACCCGTGCTGTCAACGAAAATGTCTTTGTCGTCCACCTTGGAGTCGAAGAAGCCAGTGAACGCGAAATTTTGTCGACGGCCAGAGTCCATGCCAATTTCCATTCGGTAGTGTCGGTTCCAGGACATCTCAACAACGGTGCCTACAGTCTCGATATTCAAGGCAACGATTTGCGATTGGCCACCACCGTGCAGAAATGGAGCGCCCTCGAACGGGTCGGACAAGTCTGCGGAGAGCGACTTGAAATGTTGAACAGTAATGGTGCTTCCAATAATAATGAGGATGAGTGTCAAACCCACGACAGCTGGAAGCAATGCTTTGATTTGGCCATTGATGGATGTACCCAGATTGAAACCACGGGATGTCCCTACACCTACACGTGTGCCCAATCACACCAGGAATCGTCCACCGATAACTACATCATGGTCTTTGATCTGGCATCCAACGACATGATGATGGAACGTGGACGCATCCGTATTGGAGAGGACCATGAAATCATTACATCTGTGAGATTTGGTGAGACTTTTTCCTATGCCACCACATTTGATCAACGTGATCCTTTCTATGTGCTCCGTCTTGAACCAGAACAGCCACCAGCCATTTTGGGTGAACTCAAGTTGGATGGATTTTCCCGATACTTGCATCCCTTGGAGGACTTTGAAGACAACAAATTGTTGGTTGGAATTGGTCAGAACTCCACCGGCACTGGTTTTGACCAACGCAACACTGGTGTCATGATTACTGTCTTTGATGTCACTGATCCTGCCGCTCCTGTGGCAGTGGCCAGTCACATGCTAGAAAATGATGACAAGATTGAGTCCTACACCCATGCTGCATGGGATGCCAAGGCTGTGCAGTATGCCAATGGAAAATTGGTGTTGCCTGTAACGATGTATCATAATGGTGAGTGGGATGCTGCTGACGAAGACGATTCGTTGCAAGGTGGTGACGTGAACATGGACGATTTCGTCGACGAAGAAGACCAAGATCTTGCTGTAGAGCGTACGCACGAAGACGACAAGTCAATGGGTGGCAACTTTAATGGATTCTTTGTCTTCAATGTTGGTCCTGGTGGCATTAGTGAAGCTCTCCGCATCGATAATGCCATGGTGGCTGGTGCTTGTCACTACTGTGATGGTGGATTGACCGACTCCCGCAGTATTGTAATGGATGATGGCAGTTTGATGACCATGTTTGATGATTCCGTCCAGAGTACCAACATGACAACTGGTGAGACCTTGTGGAGCATGTCGGTGGAACTTGAAGGTGTTTCCAAGGATTGCTGCTGGTAGGGCAAGACCCAACTTGAGATTTTCTACAAGGAACGGAGGACCAACATGATTCATTGTTATGTATTTAGGGAAAACAAAAGCCTAACTTTTGGTTGAGTGTCTCAGTGCCTGCTGAAATGCTGCAGTGTCCTGGACGACGAAGAGTGGCATTGAATGAAACGATAGGAGAGTGTCTGCTGCATCGTTCCGCCATGCTTAACTCATAAATAAAAACTTGTGTGTTCATTTTGGAAGCGTTGCAGCAGCGCCCCTTTTGCAATTGAGATTGGCTAGAGCTTGAGGAGACCGCCTACCGAATGCGTGTGGCTGCGGTCCCGTTCGTGCCGGAGGGGTTGCCTTGCTCTGGTTCTGGATCGAGCTTGAGCCGTGCTGCTGCTTCCGCACCGGAGTACCCCGTCCATCTACATCCCTTTTTGCTTCAGACTAGTTACTACTCGCTCTCCTCAATAACGAAATCATGCATTAAATCGATGCAGGAGTGGCTCGATCAGTCACTTCGACGAATGGTTGTCGCCTATCTAAGAAGATGTACGACATGTATTCAACCGTCCACCACATCCAAGTTCGGGTTGACGGGGAGGACACTTCATCGGGTCAGCCGCAAGATGCATTCTGACATATCTTTGCTATCTCCATCATACCATCTTCGTATTTCTGAGACCACCTTTGCGGCGTCCTGAAAATTGAAGACTTGTTCAATCCCATCCATGATGGGAATGTGGACTCGGAAGATTTTGCTTCCTATTTCTTGCGCCACTCCTCTCTCTCAATCATCTGACCCCTCCCGAGAACCTGAGGACCGCCCGCTGTTTCGGCTTCTACGACCTGAATCATGAACCCTCCCCCGAGTTTTTGGCTCGCACTAGTTGGTATCGAAAGGAGTATCGCCAGCAGCATTCATCTGTAGGATGACCAACCTTCAGCAATTCTTTCATTGGCATGTTTCCATGGTTCCTCTGCACGTGTGGCAAATGTTGGTGTACACACCCATGGGATCGCATGTTGCTTTGTCGAAAGCATTCGGTGAATACATGACAAAGTTGCCGGTGCGAATGAAATCCTCATTCTTGATCAAGGACGTGAAATCGGTGGCTTGAAATCTACTTTGCGGTTTCAATGCGAACCTCGTGGAGAGCGCGATGGAAATTGAATCAGTTTTTGAGGCCGCGTCTGATTGTCGGACTCCGTGGTGCTCATCCCAAACACCGGCGGCAATGAGGCAGTCTTTGTCTCTTCTCAAGTTGCCGAGGGCATACTTGAGAGCATCGGGTCTGGAGCTGACTGCCGCGAGGACGATCTCCTTGTCCCTGCGTAACGCCTCTGATGCATGCCGCAGAGACAGGCCATTCTTACGAACTGCAGCAAGAACGACGTCTTTGTCGTCTCGCACCATGGGCTCTGCTGCGTATTCCAGCGCAGATAGATTACCACGGGATTGGACGGCCTGGCTGGAGAACGACCTGTTTGTCATTTTTCAACTCGTCTGAGGCATGTCGCAGCATGCACCCGTTCTGCTTTACCGCCGCCATGACAAGACGTTCGTCAGCCCGCAAAGCCTCTGGAGCATTAGCAAGCGACATCCCATTCTTGCGGACTCTTGACAGCCATTTCAGATATTCGAAAGTGCCGACTGCTCTCGGCCGAACCGTATCGGCGTGGATTTCTTCTTCGGATGGCATGGACATGCAAATTCCCATTTGACTGGAGCAAGGGAAGAAGAAGTTTGCACTTTGCCGCCTTCAGCTTCATGTTGGTCCAACCACTGTGGTGGAGTTCTGTCGTGGAATTTGTCGTGGACATGAGCATTGCTTGGCCACTAATAAGTCCATGGCATGACCGAATGAAGGAGTGTTTTCCATTCTTGCTTCTTCTTTCAACCGCGCAACGTAAAAGACTTGAAGGCCGTTGGCACTTGGTGTGTGGAGCCAATCAAAGTGGTTGCTGTCTTTCCAGGGTGCCGACACCACAAGCACAATTATTGGCCGCAGTGTGCCGAGTACCGGTGCACCAGGGTAGCGTTTTAGAATCAACAGCTACAGAGCTTTTTGGAACAATCGAAGGCAGAAGAGCAAGGAAGAGGCAGAGACACAGGAGCGAAAGTTGAACGTTTTGTAATGAACTGTTTTGAGACCAACAGAGCGCCTGTGGAATTTTTCCTTCCAAGCCAGTGTTGCCTTCATTTTCATTTCAATAAGCCAAGAACCGAACTTCTTGGACAGAACTCCAAATGGAAATGATACCGAGGGTTGATGGGCTATTTCGTAGATTTTTTGGGTGCCGCAGCTCTGAGGTGACCTAAGGTGACCTCCCAGGTGTATCAACTCGATCATCCCGGGATCTGTGGGATAAAGCCTGAGAGACTGCAGTTGTCCAGCCAACACCGAGCCAGCTGTGTCAAAAGAAAGCCAAGTTGAGTCCTAGTAGGAAGGTGCCCATCAAAAGCAAGAGTTGCTTCCCAGATTGATTGAATCATTCCTTTCAGTCAGCCTGACCTTTGATCGGGAAGAAACTTATGCCCATGCCGTACATTCTAAAGGCTGCCAAAAGAAACTTTGGCATACATGTAGCTGTGTGTTTAGCAGACTGCTGTGTTGGGGTCGTAAGATACGAAAGGGTTAACATCTCAGTAGCTTTCTCGATACAGCTCAGCTGTTTCTCCAAGAACTCGAAGTCGGTGTCCCTAACTCATCTCTCGCAAGGCGAACTCCTTGGAAACAGCTCATCCTGTCATGCAGGGATCCCAACATCCCAACACCTCCCAGCACCCGCCACCACAACTTACAGTTCCACACACCACCCAATTGCACCCACCACGCAACCCACGGTCCACGAGGCACGAGGGCCCATCGAATAGTGCTGAGCTGTTTCTTGAACGAGCCAATGAGCCCGTACCATGGCACCACCATCCTACCGGTACCAAAACTACAGAAGCTTTGACTACAGAATCTGATTACTGTATGTTAACGGTACCAGAACTCAGATGACATTCCAGGCAGCCCAGCTGTTTCCGGAGTTTGACTGGTGTTGCCAGTGCACCAAGTTTCAACCTTTACTATAAGATTATTTCCTCACGCCGTGGTATCCTTTTTGTTGGAAGGTATAAAGTTTCTAATGTGATTATCATTTAATGATAGTAAAGGCAGCCACTATGCATACAAATGCTTTCTGGTTTACTATGGTGGTAGAGGCGTAGCGGGTTGGATGCACAAGGAGTTGCTTTTCAGAGCATTTCCTAACACATTCTGATGCTGGTTTTTAAAAAAATAGTTAAACCTGTTGTATATCTCCTGTCATTGACTTGATATTCATCAGTATCTTATCAGCTACTCAGCACTGACTATCTTATTGCATGTGGGAATCTACCGGTAGTCCTCGTATGACACAAGGTACCGAGCCAGGATCTAATGGCAAGGGTAGAAGGGTACATATTGTATGTTAATAATGTTTCCTCGTCAGCTTATTCTGGGAGTCATTCTCTATCAGATTACTTAGTAGTTAAAGTGAGTAGCCCAGTGAAGCAGAACTCAAGAGAGATAAGGTGGCTAAGGATTGTCCGTGTGTGCCGATGACTGCAGTCGCAAATGAGGAGCGATCACAGATACCGGACTCTCATCATCCACTTTTTGCCCGATCTGGAACTTCTCACAATTTCTACTTTAGAACAACCATCTGCGACATCAATCTACAACCATGTCAACAGAACTACGAACATCCACCAGTACAAGCAGCACCAGCAGCACTACAACATGTAGTGTGCGCACATCGTTCATGCTGAAAGAGCCTGGTGATCGTCGTATGTCTCCTCGCAAGTCTCTATTTCAACTCATGGGGTTCCGAGATCAAATGCAAAAGCAGCATTCCTTCACACCGCGCATGAGTCGTCTGAGTACTTTGTCTTTCGGGGGAATGGCCGATTTTGCGGATTTGGACCTGTCGAAATCGCAGCAACAATGCGAGAATGTAGTAGAGCATCACGACTATGATCATGGAGATTATGTGGTAGATTCCGAAGAAGCATTTTGGTGCCAACGAAACGATAGCAGAAGGTCATTGGGCAGCACGGACAGCAACAGCAGTGGAAATCTCCTGACAGATTTTGCTCAGGCAAGAGTGAGAACCTTTGCCAACAACATGCATGCCATTGCCGATATTCTAGTTCATCCATTTGTGGAAGGAGCCGAGTATGATGCAGACAGCGAGATGGACGGTGGCAGTGATTATTTGACAACTTGAACCAAAAGCAAGCACAACGCTGTTATTACGAGTGAACTGATCAATGCATTCAAATTAGTATCATTTTTAGCTTAAGAGGAGAGCTGACAACTCAGCTTCACAAAAGGGAACCTAACTAAAAACTACTAGTAGACAAGATATAAAGGAGATGAAGAGGGGATATCTCTAGCTGATACCCTGTGCCAAGATCGTAGGTAGCCGCGAAGACTTGAAAAAGGGCTTGTCAAGAAGAGAGCCAATATCCTAGCCAGAGCCACCTGAGCATGGCTAACCTCGGATCATCCAGTGTCATCATTCGATTGAATCATTCATCACCTTCTGGCTGGTGAGGAGATTGTTGCTTTTGCTACTGTACTACAGCGTTGAACCCAGCCACAACGACAGCTACTGTACGTGCATGGTTGCAGGGGCTCACTGGATATCAATGAGCAAGTGGTAGCCAAAGGTTTACGCCGGTTTCGCTTACCTGGCTGGGATTCTTGAGAGCACTAGATTATGTATGTGAGGTTCCAGCATTGCAGCAACTTCTTGCATCAGCCAAACAAATAAATGAGCTATGGGCATATAATAGGGGTCTTCAATGTTGCTCTTTCAGATCACTTTTTTGCCGTCTTTTCTGGCCCTTGTGGGGGAGCCAGAAGAGGGGAAGGAATGGGGTCTGAGGAGAAGCGGAGAGGTGCCTTTGTAAACATGTTAGGTCGTGCTTTCCGTTGAATACGTCACAAGCAAAATGAGGCTTCTGTCAGTGCAACAATGACTCCTTTCATTAATTCCTTAGGTGACTAGCCTGTTCTTCGAGACTCCTACCTCTAAATAATACATATTTTGCGAGCTCTCAAAATGACCGAAAGAGTGAAAAAAGAAAAATTGTGAGCGAAAGAACACCTAAAAAGGTGTTCTTTCAAAGAAGTTTTTTCCCTTTCTTTTTGACTTCTCCGCCCCTTCTTTTCAGAACCTTCCACGCTCCCCCACAAGGGACAGAAAAGACGGCAAAAAAGTGATCTGAAAGAGCAACATTGAAGACCCCTAAAATAATATGTGCTTGACATTCGTCGCTTCATCAAGAGCTGCCTGCTTCCTACTTCAGCTAGCTAGCTACAGTTGTATCGCAGGGGCTTTGGATTTTCCAGCCAACTCGATGGCCAGGCCTTCCATAGTACCAGGTACTGTACAGAACACCAAAACTCGTGAGTTCCCATTGGGACAAGACAAAGTACGGTGGCCACATGCGCGCATGACCCGCCCAAGATGGAAAGCAAGAAAGAGCTCCACCAAAGCGGCAACATGTAACTTGCGTTGGTGGGGCTACTGTAATAGCTGGCTGCTGATTCATCTTATGATAGAGCTAGCTACGGTAGCTAGCTCACTGCTGATGAATGGATATGGCTGGTAAAATGAATGCTGCAAACGACGACTGTTCTAGCCGGAGCCAATACGCTGCCACGGTTTCAGCTAGAACAACAACAGTCGAGCTGCATAAACGACTAGCCCCCACCGTAGTAAACATATTTGTTGCAACACAGTCAGCCTGAGTAATAGGCTAGAAGCGATGCGCGCATGACCATCGGTGGGGTGTGGGCCGCAAGCTTGAGGCAATGGATCCGCGCGAAAGGGTCAGCAGCCAGGAAGGTCGACCATCCATGCGAGCGACCTGGTTTAAATGCCACATTGTAATCCCAGGTCAAACCATCCCGTAGCAACAGCAGCTCTAGCAACAGTAGCTGGCTAGGAGCGACATGATCTGATCAAAGGACAAGCAGGACCTTGTGTGGTATAAGTCTCAGCACACGGCATCGCTCGGAAAGAACAGACAAGAGTGGAAACTGTAGCTATTTGCTGCTTGGGATGGTCGCTTCGGCTTCGAGCATCATGCACGGACACAAGTGGTGGAGCAGATCCTTCGTTATCGGTTGTCTCCAACATACATCTCCTCGTAATAGCTTGAGACATAAAACTGGCTAAACATATCTCAGCCAACTTCGCAGTAGCGGTATCCTGACCATGATGAGCTCCATCGTGTTTTCCCCTCGTGATTTCCTTCAAAACCCAAAAGAGTATGTTCAAAACATCAGAGAGTACCGCAAATCAAGGCTAGACATGAAACCCTACGATGAGGTCTTCTTGGACTCCGACAGCTACTTCAATAAGGTTGCCCAAGTCCTCAAAAGACAACGCTCAAAGGGACTGGTAGTAGTGATTAATCCTTATGAGTCTGCTTGTAACGACACCGTGACTTCTTTGAGAAAGGCCTGCACTTCCAATCAATCTATCACCCACTTGACCATCCAGATTGGAAGCAGGGAGCTAGCATCCTTTGAGTTTCGCAACTATGAAGCTTCTGATGTTGCTTGGAAGAAGAGCCAGATCCATAAGTTGAGCAGCTCTCTACTAAGCCTGCCCTGCTTGACCCACCTCAAGATTGACTTTTCACATTTAGTTGTGGATGAAGAGGGCGGTGAGCCCTTTCTGGAAGTGTTTCAGGCATTGCCGAAGGCAAAGAGTCTAAAGAATCTTACGGTCAACGAGTACGAGCTTCACTTGTCCGATGACAACTACAACCTTGTTACCTCCAAAGTAGGACCGCTTGCAAAGCTTTGTCAGCCTCTGCAACACAACCTCTCGCTTGAGCAAATTACTCTGAACTTGCAAAGTGATAACCTTCCAAGAGAATCACCGGCGGCGCTAATTGTGATGTCCTTTCAGTCTCTTCCCAAGCTCAAGAGTCTGGAGATCACAGACCAAGCTCGATTTGCATCTGGCCAGGCTCATTTGACCTGTGGTGGCAAAGACCTGCAAGAAATCCTTCAAGCCAACACAGGACTTGAGAGTCTCAAGTTGTGGTTGGCGTACTATGCCAACAACAACACGTGTTGGAAGGACGAAGAAAATCTCCTGCATGTTGGCCGCGGATTGGAGGCCAACACTTCTTTGCAAACACTAAAAGTGGGCACAGATCCAACTGCTTGCGCAATTTCGGGGCATGCAGCCAAGCAGCTGGATGAAACAGAGCATACAGAAGACACAGAGGAAATGATATCAAATGAGTTCTCCTTTCCTGATTATGCCAGCGAGATCCAAGAGCGAGATGACGAGTTCCTTAATCCCGCTTGGGGCAGAATAAAATGCCAGCCCAAGCCACAGCAAGAACTCCTCCGTGTCTTTGAGCGAGGACAGAACTATGAGCTTAGGGAACTTTCCCTGTTTGATATTGTTCTTCCTGCCAAAGTAGCTGTCTATCTTCAACTGAATGGCACAGGAAGGAAGCACCTTTTGGACAGCAATGCTGGCCCGGAACAATGGATGTCACACATTGTGTCGAAGCAGTCACAACTCAGTTTGGATGCAACCTTTGAGTTGCTGCGAATGAACCCAGCAGCCTTGCTCAGTACAGAGGCAAAGCGGCCAAAAAAGAAAGCAAAGACTTGGAGAAAGAGGGTGGCCAAGGCAATGTGGAGACAAAAAGGAAACTCGTTGGCAGCTGGGCTGTAGAGGGGCTGTCGGCTGCCACCGCAGTGCTGATGCAACAACCACCGCTACAAGGCATGCTTCAAATAATGATGTCCACCGTCTACGAACATATAACGAACAGTCCCACAGTTTCAGGTAAAGCGCGCTCGTTACTAATCTGCACCCACGAACAGTCCCACAGTTTCAGTCCCGGATGGAGCACTAATGAGCGCTCGGAGCACTAATGAGAGCTCGGAGCACTAATGAGCGCTGGAGTGAGTAGGCATCCTCTAAGAATACGAAAGTATATCGATCCCGCATGAATAATCTGACAGAACAACTGTGTCAAGCAGAGCTATAAAGGACGTGTATCTTCTCGATGCATACTCACAAATTCATCAATGCGTCAGAGAAGTCACAGAACACGTCATATGAGTGCCTATTTCAGTCCTTACGTATTTTACAAATGAGTCATAAGAGATCCTTCTTCGTGTCCATGGTACAAGTGCATCACTAAACGACTCAATTTCGCGTACATCGTTATTGAAGCTACGTGACAATGCTTTCCTTCTTCGTGTACATCATGTAGGCATCTCCTGATGCGTCATCGCCACGCTCCCCACACTAGAAGCACCCCAGTTTTCAGGCACATCTCGAGGCGATGTAGAGGCCAATAGGCTATCCATGAAGGCCCCAAGAACAGTATACTACAGGATGTGCAGCATTGCAAGTGATCTAAAGGCAGTTCTGGCGTCAGTCGTCGCCGAAAATGGCTGCAAAAATCTACGTCCGCTTGGCCGTCCTCATCTCTGGACTTTGAAGTACTTTGAGAATTGAGTATTGGGTAGTCTTTTTCCTTGGTCCATTGACTGCTGGCCAGACGCGCCGCGCAAGAGGTCCATTGGCTGGAGCCACCCAAAGGAAGGCACTCCTGGTCGGACTCTCCACCGCGGAAAAGTTCAAAGCAGATCATGATTTGGGTGAAACGACCGCGGTCCATTGCGGTTGCAATGCATTGAGGTTGCAATGCATTGAGGCAAAAGTTTCTTGCAGGTCTCGTCGGTTCAGTTGGTGTCTGAACGTTTGAGTTGAGAGTTGGATTGCGACCGAAGCCGTATTGGATGATCGGCACGGCGGAGAAGCCATATCTTTTTCGCGCAATGCAGGCTTTCGTGCCGTTCTTGGATCTGGCCGGGGGCAAATGATGCCTGTGTCGGTTGAAGTATCAACGAGTTGCCTTGTGCCGGGGGTGCCTTCTTCAAGATAATTGCGGGGACAAGTGCGCTGCTGCGTTGTTAACGCAACAATCGACCAAGATCCGCATGCAGAGAAGCGACCGAGACCAACAAAGCTAACGTGTAACGTTCCTGTGCAGCTGGAAGTCTCTACTAGTACGAGAGTTCTCGTGCCTCCAGGAGGGCCCTCAAGATGCATGCATGCTGCCTCTGCTGTCCGTGTCCACATCAGAGTCGAGTCTGTATCGCGACGGATGACACCGCACTCTTGGTCTCAAGCTATTGGTTTCGCTCAAAAATCTAACTACTAAGCAATAGCACTCGAACGCTCCTCTCCCACATCGATTCGATTCCTTACTATTTTTTGTGGCTGTCCAGGTCAACATGGGTCATTTTTAGATCTCTCTGTTTGTAATACATGTACTGCCCGAGTCTTGCCCGTGCGTAACTCTTGGTTTGCAAACCAACGAGGCGTGCTAGGGCTCGAGCGAACGGTCGCAAGATTGGCTCTAGACTACTCCAAAGTAATAAGAAGCAACTAAAGTGTCGATAGCATGACGGTGGCGTCCCTTGTACAGACGATTCGTGAATGCACCGTCAGCCATTCACAATAAAGCCATCACTTTGGACAAAACTTGAAGGGTCCGTGTGAATGCAACGTCAGCCACGAGGCCACAAAGACGGAACTTGATTTCAGAGTGGCTGGTTAGGACTTTCATCTAGCTACTGCACCTTGGGGTAAAAGATTGATTCTTGGAAAAAAGCTGTAAATAGTTTTGTTAAAATTTACAATATGAACAGCTGTCTTAAAGTATCAGACGATGACTCTGTCTTAAGACGGCTGTCTTATAGAAAATAACACTGTCTTAAACATAAGACAGTCATTGTCTTAAGACAGTCATTGTCTTATACATAAGATGGCGTCTGAAACATTCAGGGGGATGAGGAGATTTTGTGGTTAGTAAATTCATAATCTACTTCAACCTCCTCTCTCAGAAAAGACATCGTCTTAAGCATAAGACAATGACTTCTTTAAGACGGTCATCGTCTTAAGTTTAAGACGGCCGTCTTAAGACAGAGTCATCGTCTTATGCTTTAAGACAGCTGTCTGATGGGACTCAACTTCAAAGAGTGATTTTCTTTTTTCCCAAAAAGAGTTTTTTCAATACCACTGTTTTACCTGGAGGTGCTGGTAGCTAGAGAGAGCAAAGTGGGTGGGCCTGCCATTGACGCTTATACTCCGTGTGTCACTCAGGGAAGCATAATATCTCTGGCAAGCTAGCATGGTACATGTACACTCTACTGTACTAGATATTGCAGTGCTACGGAAGAAGGCGCGTTGATACGAACGCACAGTACGGTACCGGTGCGGTAGCACCCACCAAGCTTGGACAGTCAGGCCAGGCCATCAGCAAAGGAGCCACGAAAGCCACGACGAATGTAAGGATCCGGTAGGCAAAGATCGCTGTTGTCCAAGAGGTAATCACTGACTTGCTGCTCTTTGGGTTTAGTAAGTTGTTAGACAGCAATATAGTAAACGAAAGCAAAGCAAGTGAAACCAATGTTTCCAGGGCTGCAGCAACGCAATGAACCTACCAGAAATGCATCCCGGTATCCCTTGCCCGACAACTGACAATCATAGCAAGATCCAGACAGCTCTATTGCTGCTCTGTTATGTTCCATGTTGCATGCACGCAAGAAGAAGCCTCGATATCTTTCTTTGTTGGCACCCACATGTACGATTGATTGTATTCGCTTCGTACTTGTACCTGGTACCGTTCATGCCTTTTACTGCGTACTCTGAGCTCTGAGTACGTCGTTGATGTCTTGCAAGGTTAATTGCTGATAAACAATGTGGTCGTGATGACAGTGTCTGAGTACCAATAAACCTAACTCTTTTTGAATCCCTTCTGAGAACTGTAAGCATCTTTATCTAATTACCATCATTGGGTTTGAGTCGATAAGTGCTGCATGTAAACTTAGTGGTACAGAGTGTGACCTTGAGAAAACTTCAGATTTAGGTATCCGAGGTGGCCTGCACCCAAAAAAACCCGAAGCTACCCCTCCACAGTGACCTCCGCAAACCACCAAACTAGAGCAACCACCACAACCCATTCTTACCAAAAACAACTCAACTCATTCTCTCTAGTAGTATTTATTTTGTAAGGATCGACGATGAGCACCACTACTATGAATAGTACAAGGAAGGCTCACTACCAACGCCAAGGCCAACCCTCCCTGGGATCCCTGCCAGAAGACGCGAGTGCCAGCGCTGGTTTATCTTACCATCAAAGTCAAGCTATTAAATCTCCTATCAAGTTGACTCTTAGCTCTACTAGTACAACTTCTACTTCTACGTGCAGTTTTGGAAGTCGACTCCGTCAATCAATCCGTCTGTCTTTCTTTGGTACTGGTAGTAACCATTCTAGTGAGGGGAGAAAACCGTTGACCTTTTCGGATCAAGTGGACAAATGCCGCAGTGCGCCCAACAAGGGATTCTCGCATCGTCAAAGTGAACTCCATTATCTATTTGATTTGGATTTCTCCTCTTCTTTGCACAATCAGAATACTGAAGAAGAAGAAAAGCTACACAAGCAAGAGGAAGAAAAAGAAGATCCATTCACTATTGGTATTAACACTGTTGGTATTGGAGAATTCTGGAATGCGCGTGTCGAAACGTTTTTGTCGAACATTGCCTTTCTCATGGGAAATTCCGAATGGCAAGACCAAGATGACGATGATTTCTACGACGATGATGACTACCACACTCCACGTAAAGATCGACGACAATCATCCCACACGTCCACCACCGATATTTCTGTCCAGAGTGGCAATAACCATTTACAACAAATGATGTCCGATGACTCGTTTCACATGGAACAAAAAATTGCTGCCTACAGTCAGAGTCTACAACAAGATACTAGTACCCAATCCACACATACACATACCAGCAATTATGAGGAGGATGATCCAAGACACATGAGTAACATGATGTTGCAGGATGAATTCACCGAAGATTATGGAGAGCAACCACCACAACCAGAAAAACGAAAAGACTCCTTTGCGTCCTTGGCATTCTAAAAAGTACGCAACCAACAATTCACACCACTGTATATACGGTACACTGCATTGCATTCACAGAAACAAGCTGCCGGAAGATGACAACTATCCATTCCGAAACAGACACTAATACATACATAGACAACATTGCATTGCATTCCCTTGTTACTACCAGTCATTCATCTACTGGCTCAAGCCGCTGCTTCCCGGGAAGGTCCTAGAGTCGATTGGATTGGATTCATTCATTCGATTCTGAGGTCTACACTTCCAGCCAGCTCTTTCAGTGTGGATGTTGGTGTTGCAAAAGAGCCATGTACAATAGACGAGACTATGATAGCATTTGCAGCGTCCACGCTTTCGGCCGACGTTCCAAATACATCGTATCGAGTTGAATCGAATCTCCAAGTGACAGTCTTCGTCCGGTCCAACTATTATTATTGAGACTCACTCGGGGATACCGTGCGATCGATATGGAACGTAATCGCTGGAACTCGCATCGCTGCATGCCTAAGCGTCATCCCAGTTCTCATGCTACCGTATGTATGCAAGCTAGTAGGACGGCAGTAGAAAGAAGCTGGGGGGAGGCAGGAACAAAGGAGGACGGGAACGTTGCAGACGGTACGAACCATGACTTCTGTGAGAATACTCCATTGCAGGACAGAGATACCGTCATCGAGGCGGTGCATCGGTGGTGGTGGCCGAAACATTCTTCCACGTGGCTGATATCGTACTACGATGAGGCCACCACTGAGCATGGCAGCACTGGAACCAAGATCGGACAAAGGGACCACCAGAAGGCCAGCAGTCGTTACGAATTCAATCGAATCGAGGGGCACCAAGGATCCACTCCACCAACCCAAAAGCCAGCCATACCGACGGATGGAAGGACGGCAATCTTGTATTATGCAAGCAGCTGTAGCATGAGAAATGAAAGAGGGTAAGAAGAGGAAGAACTGGGTTGAGGGGCGACATTGTCAACATGACTACGAGGAGTAAGAGAGGAGAGACAGCGCGAGACTTGAGCTCTCTAAGAGCGACCGACCACGACAAATGGATTCATTCCTCAAGCATGGACACACACTGCAGCAAGTCCTGAGCCCGACCAGCCCAAGAGACAATGAACAACTCTTGAACCTTGGCTTCGGCAGGTCAAGAGAGAGAAGAAGTGTGAGACTTAAAGCTATCTAACCGCCACAGGGACCAACAAAGCACAGGAACCACCAGCAATGGAGCTCTAGGCAACCAACCAAACCACAGGAACCGCCAACAGTAGCAGGAACCACCACAGGAACCTCCAGAGGGACCACCACAGGGGGGTTGTAGTACTCTTGGATCATCATGTCGAAATTGGAACCTCCTAAGAGACTTTCGATCAAATCCAAGGGCCATAGAGCACTAGCCAATGGAGCACTAGGCGACCAACCGACCAAACCACAGGAACCACCAACAGCAGCAGGAACCACCACAGGCACCGCCACAGGGACCAACAAACCACAGGACCACCAACAGCAGCAGGAACCACCAACAGCAGGAGAACCACCACAGGCACCGCCACAGGGACCAACAAACCACAGGAACCACCAACAGCAGCAGGAACCACCAACAGCAGAGAACCACACAGGCACCGCCACAGGAACTCCAGAGGGACCACCACAGGGACCACCAAAGGAAGGTTGTAGTATCTTGGATCATCATGTCGAAATTGGAACCTCCTAAGAGACTTTCGATCAATCCAAGGGCCATAGAGCACTAGCAATGGAGCACTAGCGACCAACCGACCAAACCACAGGAACCACCAACAGCAGCAGGAACCACCACAGGCAGCACCACCACAGGAACCAACAACCACAGGAACCACCAACAGCAGCAGGAACCACCACAGACCGCCACAGGGACCGCACAGGGACCACCACAGGAACCACCCAAAGCACAGGCAACCAACCAAACCAACCAACCAAACCACAGGAACCACCAACAGCAGCAGGAACCTGAGTGAACAGGAGCTCGAATCGACGCCACAACCAGCCAAGAGATGCTTGCGGCTCGACTTGAATGGAACAAAGAAGACTTAGGCGATGGAGCAACGGCTGATCGACTGGTTCTCTTGGACTGAGATGATTCGAAGCAGGTTTGCTTGGTTCCACGCCAAAGGGACGGGCATGAATGCGGCTGGACTTGAACTTGAACATCGGCTTGTGTTGCCTAATGAAACGGCAGAATGGAACTAGAAAGAGGCTGACGGGGACACTCGCTGGGGCCTCCCTTGGTTCCACGCCAAAGGGACGGGCATGAATGCGGCTGGACTTGAATCGAAGACTTGAACATGCCGACAAAGATAGATCGGCTTGTGTTGCCTAATGAAAAGGCAGAATGGAACTAGAAAGAGGCTGACGGGGACACTGGGGCCTCCGCGAGAGGAAAAAATAAAAGTAGAAGAGGCGAGAAGGTTTGTAAGACTTGTCTCAGGAATGATAAAGGAATGAAAGATCGAGGTGCCATCTTGCAGTGTATATTGACCGGGGCGAAGCCAGCGGGCCTCAACCACGGGGCTCCAAAGGAACCACAGGCCCTTTCGGGCGGCTCCATTAAGGAGCACTGGAGATGGCACCAAATTTACGAACTTGTGAGACGTGTGTATGAACTGACCTTTTGATTCATGCGTGCATGCATGCCACTTTCGTTCAGCGAAGGCGGTGAGGATCAGCCTCGGAAAGCTGACCCCAGCACCCTCTCAAGGTTCAAACGAACTCCGAACTACGGTGACATGCATGCATGCTGTTCATTAGCTAGCGGACCGTACATGTGTGATGATGGAGTGGGTCTTCTTCGTCTTCGTCTTCAACCAAACGACCGACCGACCAAACCGACACCCGCGAACCAAACGTCCACTGGGCTCTCCTTGAAGATCGCCCAGCTTCCATATGGTCGCAGGTTTCCCATCTTCACTGAACACATGACCACTCCCACAAAGGACTCGGAGCACCAAAAAGGCATCATCATTGTCGTCGATGAATTGTGAATTGAGGAGGGCGCAACGACCAGTTGGTAGAAGAGTGCGAAACAAGCAAAAGCAACGGCAACGATTCTCATTCAATCATTCGAAACGACTAGTTAGGCCAAAACCAAAATCAGTTTCAAAATGAAATCGAACTTGAACGAAACCATTCTGCATGGTATCTGCTACGACTGTACTGGCAGCGCACCGTGATGAATTTTTCCAAGGTTGTTTTTGAAAGTGACACGTCGAACGGGAGTCAAATCAAAAATAACGCGTCATTTGAAATGACGTCAGCCGTGATGGGAGTTGAAGTTTTAGGCTACTCTGAGGAGATAGCCAGTCTACCAGCTGGTAGCTAGCTAGCTGGGGGCGAGGTTCGAGGTTCAGTCACGGGTCATTTTCGGTCCACGACTGCATTGGAACGGGACCGAGGATGCTTGGAACGGGACCGAGGATGCTTGGAACGGGACCGAGGATGCTTGGAACACGACTGATTCTGGGTTCAGTATGATAGCTGCGGCTTACCGTATGCCAGCCAGCTGCTTGGCTTCCAGATTTGCAGACACCGGAGGGCTAGCAGCATGCTCTCAATTGTGTTCGTCTGAATAGATCAACCCAATAGTAGCTCCATATGATGAAGTGAGTGCCGTGTAGTCGAAGAGTGTGGCAGTGTGGCAGATTCTGTGTGTTTGTAGTCCAAGCGAAGCAACAAAACGTGGGTCGTCTTCCTGATCCCGCATGAATTCTTTCGCTGCTGAGGCTGCTGCCCTTAGTGCCAGTAATATGCTAAACCATATCGGCACTGACACAATCAAGTCCAACCATCCCAGCGGTACGGATCGTCATCTTCCTTGGAGCTAAAACATCTTATGATACGTGAACCTGCTGTCAAGTAAGTGTCAATGAATCTAGATCGATTGCATCAATATTGGAGTGATGATACCGTATAAGCCAAGTTAGTTAGTTACTAGTACTCGCTGCTGCAACGACACATGGGTTCCAGAGCAAAAAGGGTCCCACAAAATCCGCAAAGGAAGTCATTCCCACCCATTCGGGTCCGACCACCAGGAGAGCCACTGGCAGTGCTTGTGTCAACAAGGTTTCTACGAGGACCTTGACTTCCCCCATTGTAAGAAGTGGCTCGCTGCTGACTTTTTGTGTTGCTGTCGTTTCATTGTAATCGTCGTTTTTCTTCTGCTTGTCCTCTTGTTGTTTGCTGCTTGCGGCGGCAGCACTAAGATCCGCATCGAAAATCGATTGTGACATGGTAAAGAATCCTGCCGACATGATGAGCGTCAAGTAGAGAGACAAGACGACAAAATAGAGTTCTTGTGCCCGGCCAATCGTAGTCCGCTGGGTTGCCACTCCTGCCACGGTTTCTGTCAAGAATCCTACGGCTTGTACACTGGCGAGTACCCCGACGGCTCCAAAAATGCAAAACATGACGACTTGTGCCGCTCGTTTCTTGGGAGTGTCGGCATTGATAAAGGCGGCTGTCAATTTGGATTTTTGTTTCAAGCCGTGGCCCATACAGTGTGTCAAGATGGGACGGGCCCAAAATTGATGTTCCCATTGAAACTGAGACGAGTATAGTTCCGAGGCACAAATGAGGACCGTCCACCAATAGAGGAGGGGCGTCATAATGGCCGCCACCAGGGGCACTGCGGCATCTACCATGTCATTGTTGGTAGTATTGCGTGCCAAGAATATGAGACAGGACAAGGGCATGGCCGTAAACTGGAGACCCGCGACATACATAATGGCCAATCCTCGGACAAATGCCCGTTGGTCCACCCCGTAAGACTGGTAGCGACTGGGATGAGGGACAATCCAAAAGACAACGGTGGAGTTGACAACGATCAAGGCGGTCGACAGAAACTTTAAAAAACCAACGGCAAAGCCATTCACAGCGCTTCCGTTGTCAACATTATCCATCAGTACTCCTGGAACCATCAGGTAAGCCAGATAGGGCGCCGTCAACACGAGAGGAAGTCCCGTCAGGACATGGATTGCAAATGCCTTACTGCTACTGTTGCTCGTCTTATTGTTGGAGTCAGTGGAGAACAAAGCATTCTTCAAGTGATGCTTCAACGCTTTGTGCTGCCGCCATAAGCTCTCTGCAAACCGTAGAAACAGCCACAACAAAGAAGGTGCAGTTAGTGCTAACACCAAGGAGGCTGATTCTGATGCCGGTAACTCCATTGTCCTGTCTTATTGTTTGCCTTGGGTGTATGATAGCAACTACCTTATTTGCTTGTTTATGTTGGAGGTGGATGTTGTTCTGGTGGCTTTGTTTTCTGCGATGAGCTTGGTATATGTACAGTACGATTGCGGTGACGTCAGACAGCAAGTTACGTCACATTCTCAAAAGCTTGACTGGACCTAGACGTCCACGTGACTGGGTGTCTGGACAAACCTGTGAAGAAGTGGCGCCGGGTGACAGCAAGGTGTGTTACTGTACCAGTACGACTGTACCGATACACTTGTATTGAAGGGATCTCTGCCTCGCTACCATAGTAGCTATTCTGGAGTACTCGATTAGCTCTCTTGTGGACCTGCTTTTGTACGTATAGCGGAAGGTACCGGTGTGCATCTGGTGCACCCGGTCAGATCGAAACGCTTTGAAAGAAGCAATGCTGCGCTGTTTCATTGCTGGCTGGCTGGCTGCTGCTTTTTCACCGTACAGTGTATCCCTTTGTGGGTCGCTCGATCTCTGATGCCACCAGCTAGGTTGATTGAACCCGCAAACGAACGAGATAGTCTTGCAAAAAGGTGTCATCCTCTCGGGAGCTCCAATGATGCAATAAGAAAAACCCGCAAGAAATGGGATTCAACTCAGCCACCGACTTTGTCATTAGACTCGACTCCTGAGCAGATGAGATGCTTAATTAAAACCAGCAATCTATTGCTCTATAGTAGTCCTCAGGATACATCCGAGCTGCTTCGTTTGCAGTCCACAGATGTGGACCCTCGGTTGCCAACTCACAGCTGTCTGAGGGGAGTCGTGCGGTTTGCTGGCTGGGATACTAATTGTGCTACCGGTAGTAGTCGCGGTAGCGCCTCCATGCTAATAGAGCCCACCACCAGGGAATCTAATCTCTTCCACATCTTTCCTTCGGTTGCCATCTTCGCAGCGGAGAGCAACCTGTAGCCCAAATAACCAGCACGGTCGAATAAGGTGTACTAGTATCGGTAATCGGTTCGTAGGCATGGCACCGGTAGACTAGGAACAGTCGAGAACAGATCTTTGGCTTGTTTGCTATGCCTTTTTCACTCACACTTCTGAGAATACACGAATACACTACAACATGTACAGTCCTTTTAACCCTCACCACAACCCCCAAAACAGCAAAGACAATTGAGGGAAAAGGAAGGAGCCGTTCAATCGTGTCGTACTGCTGTCGACATGTCATTGGACTGAACCAGCTCAGGACTTGATTTGCCGGGCTTCGAGCTCACAATTTGGATTGAAAGCACAACACCGGGTAGCTCGATCTAGCTAACAGAACACAAATCACAACAGCAAGACATAAAATAAGAATGAACCAAAACAGTGAAACTAATTATAATAGCCCGATGATGCCTGCCATCATTGAGGAATCTGATTCTTCATGCTACAGTGAATTCGAGAATGATGTTTCTCTCTCCTCGTCTGGACGGTCGTTCCGGTCTCTCTGTCGATCAGATCCAACGGAAAGCTTCACCAACAATGATTTGCGAGATCTGATTGACCTAGACATTACCGTTCATGGAAAACGACAAGAAGAGCAAGAATCATCTGAAACCACTGAGACTGGGCGCATCTCCATACAGGATGTGGCAGCGGGGTTCCTACAAGACCGAGTCACCACCTTTTGCAAGAACATTGAAACCATCAAAAAGCTAGGAAGTGAGACCACCTGCAGTATTCTTAGATAGCGGGGCTAATAGTATGCACATTGGGGGCATCAATGTACATACCAGCACTATACAGGTACCTACGAGAATGCAACAAATAACACCAGGGATTTAGGCTAGTAGAAAACATTAGAAGACCATTACTGGAACTAAGAAAGCAATATAGAAAGGACATTTCGCCTCGCATTGGAATCGAATCTGATACAAATGGAATAGTTTCAGCTTTGCATGGACAACATGATGTCGGAAAAAGGGCAAGAGTTCCTCGGCGGATGGTTACTTGCTTGTTGCTTAGAAGTAGAGCATGGTGACAGCTTGAGCGGTTTCCTGTCTACGGTGTTGTCGTCTGTCACTGCCACTGCTGGGACCATGGCGCAGGTCGTTTGATTTGTTCTTTCCTGGTTGTTGCCACATGAGACCACGAGTGGTTCCGAGAAGCGTGGGGCTACACAGAATGGTACCTGTCCAACCACCAATACCGATAATGATGGCCCTTATGATGATGTCGCTAAAGAAGCTCCCGTCAATGGTTGTCGAATACAACGAAGTCACCAAGTAGGCACCAGGCACAAGTACATACAGCCCAGCTACCGTGTTGCCAACAGCTTGACGCCCCGTGAATCGAGAGACCAAACCAGCACTGAATGAAACCAGCGAAGCCGAGACAAAGTTGTTGAGTTCGTTGCTGGCACCGACTTTGGAGAGACCATAGTTGGTTCCATAAGCCAACACTCCGTGTAGTGCCATGGGCAACAGATCCCGAGGAAGTGGATTGAAGAGGCCAGACCACGAGAGCGCAGCCAAGGGGACAAAGAGCAAGTACCACAACTGGTCAATCCCATGTGTGCAAGCTTCAAACTTGATATTCTCCGGGTCGCCCATGATGGAGGCTGCCATGTACTGACCAAACCGAAGAAAGTAGGCAATCAGACCTGAAACAGCAACATGTGAGTGGCAGCTGGAGCGGTGTTGGACGTAATGCGCAGTGTCCTTTGCTTACCGGTGAAGAGAATTCCCTCGAGCAAATCAGCACCACCAGCCACAGTGTGCTTGCTCATAAGCTCAATGATACTAAAGATGACTCGAAAGCCCTGCAGAAGGTCCAAGACACCAGCGACTGCCATGGATGCAAAGCAGGTGTGGTCTGGCCATATCAAGGCAATCAAACCAGCCGACAAGCCCACTACGAAACTGGCAATGACCTCGTAGATGAGACGCTCCTGTTTGGATAACACGGACGAAGTACCAATGGATGCCACCAACACGGCCAGAAATCCAGCCACCATCATGTCAAACCAAGAGCCATTGAACCAAAAGGCGCACGCGCCAGCTGACGCAAAGACTCTGTAGGCAACAATCAACCAAGGATTCGTCTTGTTGGAGGGATCTTCCTCTTCCTTGTCAATGACATCCATTTTTCTCATTGCCTCCATGCACGCCAAGCGCGAGAAGAGCTCTCGCTCTTCCTCCGTCACGACCCAAAAGTCTTTCAACATATTCGGGCGCTGTGGCGCTGCAGCCAAGCCATCGTCATCTTCGTCTAGACTGATTTGGTTGTTTCCTCCATACTCTCGAGAGTTGACATAGTAGAACAGTCCTTGATTCTTGCTGGCAAGGCGTAGAATCTTCCTGGCCAGGACCAAGGGGTCTTCAGTCAATCCAAATGACCGAACGCTCTCACCTCGAGCTGCCCGGAGAAACTGACGGGGGTGAGGGAAACGAGCTGGGACGTTGCTCACGGCTTCCACGTTACTAGCAAAGGTAGCCAGTCTCACAGCGACCTTCTCCATGGCATCTTTCGGTTTATAAAAAGCAAGCGTGTGAGTGAGTGAGCAGGGATGTGCAGCTACTAGCAAAGCAAGCTGTGTCAGGACAAAAGTAGCTCGAGCGTACCCATTTTGCGAATGTTGAAGCCACGGTCAATCTGGAACATGCTGGTAGTTCCAGCAGCTGGACTGTACACAAAAGCTTTCCGTGGAAAGAGCATCCAGTTCACATGTGGCTGGCCCTAGTAACATGATGGGAGACCGGATGGGTTCAAAGCATGAGCCAAGTCAAATAGTTTCAATGACATCCTCTGACGCCGTCCCCGTTTACCCAACGTACCGTAAGCCCTTCCGCTGTTTTCTGCATTACCGGAGCCAAAGACCATAGTGGAGCTCCACCGGCATACAAGTCTCTGACAATCTCTCGCAAGACAAACTCCTGATCGCGAATTCCTCCCTTCTCGGGCATGCCAAAGATTTCCAAATATCGACGCAATAGAATAAGACATCGTGCTAGTCCGGCCAAGGACTCATTCATGTCCTCGTCTGACTGAGGATCGGCAAAGAAGGATCCTCCCACCACGAGCCAACGGAGATAGTGCCACAAGTTCTTGGTAGCAGGAAAGTACAGCCTCCAATTGTAGAAACGTCCCTCCTTGGACGACTCAGATCGATCCGAAGAACAGCCCACAGAGGCAGTTTCATGTAGTTCAGCTTCCGCGTCACTGCTGTTCTTTGTCGCTTCGATGGGCACTTCGCCATTGAAGTAGACTTGGTTCTTTTGAGACTTCTCTTCCTCGTACCCGGTCGGTCTAAGCTCGCAGCTCTGATATGATGGCGGCGTGTTCAACAAGGATGCCATGGTTTCACTGCTATGCTGCTATGCTGCTATGCTGCTATGCTAGTATTGGTACTGGTAGTCTCGGGTTGGAGCTTTTCGCGGTGCTCTGGATTGTTTTGTGAGCAGTCGACATTGGATCTTTCTTCTAATGTATGTATGTGTGAAGATCCTCTTTTGCGGAAGGGAAAGAAAGTTGCCAGCACGACTGTTCCGTGAAAATGATGCTCCTTCTTGCATTTTCCGTGCCCGTGCACGGATCCACTCCCATCCACTTACTTACTCCAAACCTGAGTGGTGCAAACAAGCTTGGGAAGGCGAACAGGTTGTTGAAGCCCAGGCAGCAGGAGAAGGGTACCTCCCGCTGGCAGCAGTGAAGCAGAGGAGAAGGGCTGGGCGATGACGAGCAGTTGGAAGCGTTATTAGGCGCTTGGTCTACAGTCTTCATCCTTTTGAAATTGCAGCCATTTGATAAAATGATACCTAATAGGTACTAGCTAGTAGTAGGAATCTGTTTGCTTGCTTGTTCCCTGTGGCGGCTTGGCTGAAGCAAGACTGCCCACCTTTGAAAGCAGTGTCACTACGTATGGTGATAGCCAAGAACGAGTGGTTCGCTGCCTTCCGAACTTGGCCAAATGCAAGAACAAAAAAAACTGAACGTCTAATAACGGATTCAGACGAGATGTGCTTGAGGACTACCCACGAGCTAGGGCTCGGGTATTTCCCACAGTCAAGTCTGCTCACCGGCCAAATGCAAGAACAGATGCTCCGGGGGGTGGACTTATACTACACTGTCCGTACAGGACCGACATCGTCGACACACGAGCGGGTGCTATCGCTGGAATAGCTTCTAAGACTTAGATGTTGATTTTAATTAAGATTCTTATTCCTGAGTCTTTAGTAGAAGACTGCGAAGCTTACCGGTACCAGTTAGAGTGTCTGGAGTTTAGTTGGCGGGTTGCTTGGTTGGTTGGGTTTGGCATTTGTCTCTTTGAACCTGCTTCCCACTTAGCCCTACCCTAATCAGCAGCAGCAACCTAGTAGAGCTAGTGATGGTGGAATAAACATGCTGCGTGTGAGTTGTTGTAGTCGGGAAGGCGGCTCTGATGTTGTGGATCTGGCCTGTCTCTGCTGCTAGCTAGCTGGCCACATGCATATACAGGTAGCACCCTCGCTTGTCTTGTGGGAGTGGAATGGTGCTGAAAACACGAAAGGATCCGATTCGATTCGATTCGTTCGACTCGATTGTAATCATGATCGCGCTCGGGCAGGCAAGCAATCGCGGATGCTTGGGCAGTCGAGAATCGAATCCTGCTTGGATCTTTTTCAGTTCACACAAAGCCTTCTCACAATCTCCAAGAGAAAGAACCATAAAAACAAACAACAAATCCAATCAACACCAATAAAGAAACATCAACAGCAACCATGGGCAACAGCGGCAACCAAAAGACGTTCCCTCCTCCCTGTGTTATGGGCACTGAGGAAATCATGTCCAAGAAAGCACATGGAACTTCCGCCGTGTAAGAAAGATGATGATATTGATCGAAACGCTCGATACTACTAGCTATACTAGCTTGTACCCTTTTCTCACCACATAAAATTCTTTGTCCTTCTCTTAGTCCTATTCAAGAGAACCTCCGTTGGGGATGTGACAAGGAAACTGCCAGTCGAATCTGCAACTACAACAGGCACTATGCGGAGCACAGGTAGGATACTGGACCATATTTTTATTTATTTGTGCGTGGTTTTTTGGAAATTCTCACTTGTTTTGTCATTTTTATTACATGTACTGTATTTTTTAACAATTAGTGGATATTTCGAGAAGAAGCCCCTCTTTTTGGAGGAATGCAAGACTGCCAACGGTGGTGAAATCAACTTTTACGACTCCAACACAGGCAAGGTCCTCTTTTCGGCTCCTCGAGGACGTACCATGGACGAATTCTTGGTGGAAAGCCGTGCCCATGGATGGCCCAGCTTTCGTGATGCCGAGGTCAACTGGGAATCGGTCCGTTGTCTCCCGGATGGTGAAACTGTCAGTGTCGATGGTGAGTGCATGTCTGATGTCTGAGTGTCTGAGTACCTTCCTGTATTGCCTTTGTTCCTGCATTGCCAATCTGACTGTCACTCCTCATTCTTGTCCCCAAACAACCCATTCAACAATCTACTTTTTCTAATTTTGAATAAAAAAGGAACACATTTGGGACACAATTTGCCGGATCGTTCTGGTTCCAGATACTGCATCAACCTCGTTTCCGTTGCTGGAAACCCTGTGAATTGAATTGAAGCCAATGATGGATCGAGAGGACCCAGATTGTAAAAGACACTGGAAGCAAACAATATTGTGCAAGTGCAAGGAAACGAATCAAAAAAGCTTGTGGCCAGAAAGGGACGCTGATGGCGCGAGAAAATACGAATTAATCGACTAGTAGCAACCGACTTTTGCAGCAATGCGATATCTGTCTTTCTCAGTGCGTGTTCCCGCTAGGAGTGCGTCGGCATTCCTTGGCGACTCAGCAATAGAACAAACGCCTCTGCCTGCCTGCCTCAGAGCCACCCTTTCGATAAAGCTGCACTGCTTTGGCAGAAAGCAGAGCGAGGTCATTCAACCAACCTATCTGATGACCTATCTCTCTCTCTCTCTCTGAAGTTTGGGCGTCATCATGTTTGGAGCCGATCGGCTTGATGCAAACATGATCAGCGCGGAAACGAAGGCGCCAATAGCACGGGGAAGAAGTGGCGGCGAGAGATTTGCTCGATTTTGGCCATCTCATCGCCGCTGTCCGGTCCAACAAGGACACTGATACTAGCTAGTACCGGTAGTCGCTAGAGTATCAATACATCTGTACCAGATGACTTTTGATTGCTACCGGTACCATCCTTTCAACTCCAGCAGTTGATTCTTTGCGAACAAACCACAATACCTATGAGGCATGCACAAACAATTGTGCGTATCAGTACCCCCGTTCCGGTTGGGTCGCGCTGATCGGTGATGTTAGAATCTAATCGGATCTACAGCCAGCTTTGCAGGCTATTCAGTACAGCTACGTTGGATACTTAACAAAGATTTACTTCTGAAAGATTTAAAGGGTAGAATCTGGTGTTGCAAGCTCACATTTTCGGATGTCAAAGCAAGGACTGCTTACCGACGCTATGGCAATTGTGTTACTGTATTGACTTGGGTTGCCCATGGTCATGCTGTTGACGTTGTACATGTAGAAGAAGAACATCATGGCGTCAGATGACAAACTGCGGTGCGCTATAGTGTACCGTTTGGAAGGAGCAGGTCCAACAGCCGTGACATTGGCTCAGTTGGACTATCTCAAGGAAGTAGAAACCCACAAGAAGGACAGCGAAGGAGATTTGTATGGAGGCAAAAAGGCCAACTTTGCCAAGGCAGTTGCTCGTGTTGTTGGCAATGATCCACCTACTGGAGTCAGCCAGGGTCAAAAGGTGGGAGGATTCAAGGTAGTGCAGTCTGATGAGCATCAGGTGGTTTATGGCGCCGATCTAGAGGGGATCTGTAAGAACCACTACTACAGCAGTAGAGAAGTCAAGGCAACCAGCCACTGCTCGACCCACAGTTGTACTATATCTGAAACTGTTCTCTTCCCATCTATCTCTTATTTCTATCTATCTGATACTGATACTGATACTGATACCGGTAGGCTACTGCGTGATTACAGGACTCAAGTACCCAAATCGAATTGCCATCAAGTTTCTGGAAGAACTAGGAGAAGAGTTCCAAAAGACAATTGGTCATGATGCGCTCAAAAAGGCCAAGGAAGATTCTCTCACTTCCAAAAAGGATAGCAAAAAGATACTGCAGGCCATGTGCAAAAAGTTTGAAACGCCCGCCTCCTCTGACAAGACCCACAAGGTTCTGGCTCAGGTGGACAAGGTCAAGGAACAAATGCAAGGCAACATTGCCGGCATGATGAAGAATCAAGAATCGGCAGAGAGCTTGAATGAAAAGTCGGCACAGCTCAATGAACAAGCAGCTGTCTTTAAGAAGAATAGCAAGACACTCAAGAAAACCATGTGGTGGAAAAACATGAAGACCACCTTGGCACTCGGATGTGTCTTGGTCATTGTGGCCATTCTACTGCTGCTGCCCATCATTACCAATGTGGGCAGCTTTGCCGCCATGGTGACGGGCGGTGGCGGTGAAACATCAGAAAGCGATGGAGGACGTCGTTTTCTTGTCTTTGGTGGTGATGCAGATGATGAAGTCATCATGGACAATGATGAGGCCGTTTCGTACGATGTGACACCAGCACGACGATTCAGGGATGCATTTCACATTTTGGAGGAGTAGTAAGAAGCTGGGTATACCGTACCAGGAACAAACGGATACATGTATGGAAAAGATGAAACACGCGGAGACTGTGCGGATCTCACAAGTGCAGTCATTTGATGCTTTCGGCGTATGGCTGCTGCGCCGCTGCTCAGGATGAAGACCAAAAGCGCGGCCTTGTGAGCCAGAGTGGCAGTTCGATCCGTCGATTCGATTTGCATGATTCGATCGACAGTATAAACTTAGACGTGTCGCAGTTGGTTCAATCTATCGATAGTAGGTGTACCGAGGCCAGGGCGGTTGCAGAAGCTGTCTTATACTGTAGCACATATCAGTTCTGCCGTACCTTACGTGAGTTGGGATCTCAAGAATCGCTCATTTAGTACGGTACCGGTATGGTTTTCAAGCTAGTTTCTCCGTGGACCGTACGTACTCGGGAAGATGTTGCTCACACCTACATGTACGTTTGAATAGGAGAAGAAAAGAAAAAGGGCCGTTTGCGTTTGCTTGTTGTCCCTGAACAATGGCTTGATTTCTTTGCTCCGGAGTTTGTTGGCTGTGTCGTAAACTTCCCATTGCTACCTCCTGCTTGCTTCCCTCTGCTGCCGACGTCGTTCTACATCACTGGACACCAAACTTTGCCAATATTCACGATGCAGCCATCGGCGTAATCCATCGTCTTGAGCGGGCAGTTGCGACAAAATAGTTCGGATCTCGATCTTTTGTATTTTGCCTAAAAGCAAACACAGTAGCAACCGCAAAGATCACTAGAGCAGGTGAAGGAGAGCGAATCAGACAACTCGCAGAGATCGCTCGGGATCGTGCCAGTGATAGATGTGTCTGACACGTCCAAGACTTGCAGGTTGCTCCAGTTTGACACCATGTCGTGGGCGAGTGGTCCCTCGAGTAGCGTGTCATGCACGTCCAACCGTTCTAGCAACCCCAACGCAGCCATTTCTGTGGGGATCGTAGCGGACAACATCATGTTGCTGGCATTGAAAACGCGAAGCCTTGTTAGGAGACCGATTTCGGTAGGCAGCGACCCTTGCATGCGATGATTGCTGGACAAATCCAACAGCTCTAAACTGGATTGCAGACAGCCAAGATCTAGCGAGACGGTCCCGCTGAAGTTGTTGTCTCGCAGAATCAAGCCCTCCAGTTGTTTCATTTGCCGGTACTTGGTTCCATCCACGTTTCCAGTCAACACGTTCTCGGAAAGATCCAAGTAGAACAACTGCGAAAGCCGGAAGAGCGACTCCGGGATACTTCCAGTCAAAGCATTGGAATGCAAATTAAGCAACTGAAGCTGCATCAAGTCACCTAGCTCGGATGGAAGACTGCCCCCCAAATCTGGATTGCCCGCCAGATTGACAATGTGCAGATTCGAGAGCCTTCCAAATTCTGTGGGCAAAGATCCCGACATGCCCGCATCAATCAAATTCAAAACCTCCAAGCTCGACATCAAGCCTATTTCCGTTGCCAGAGTGCCGTACATGCCGTGGGCGTTTGCCAGAGAGAAATAAAAGAGGTTGTGCAAAGAGAAAATCTCGGATGGAATGGAGGACGACAAGCCCAAATTGTGGTCAAGAGAAAGCAGTCGGAGTTCCTTCAGGAGTCCAATCTCGGAGGGGAGCGTTCCCGAGCAGTCCACATCATCTAGAAACAAAAACTTGAGTGCGGAGAGTCTTCCTATTTCGGTCGGGATGGATCCAGTGAGTTCTCGATTTTCTGTCAGACCCAAAACTTCCAGTTTGGTCAATAGGAAGAGCTCTGGTGGAAGACTGCCTTTGAGCCGATTGTTGTAAAGCATCAAGCGACTGTAGGCGCCATTCTCATCGCAGTGGTTGTATTCGTTTGGATGATGCACCGTTCCGTCCAAATGACGACGATAATGATCGGAATCCTCCCAGGGCAATCCCTTCCATGTCTTGGGCGGTGGCTTGTCACCGTCACCACTGCTACTATTCGTATTGCTTTGTTGTGCTTGCTGCTGCTCGTGATGAATCATGTCGGTCCAGTGAAAGATTTCCAATTCCTCTTCATGAGTGTGCAAGTACTCGATCATGTGCTGTACAGATTCCGTGACATTCATGTCTAGCATAAAGGCATAGTCGAGCTTGGTGGCCCAATAGCACTCGTGCAGATTGTAATCGAGCCACTGGTGATTGACGTTCCAATGGGTTCCGTCCGTGGCAAAGAAGAGTGTCGCCAGAGCAAAACGTTGTTGTAATCTCCAAGTACTACTTGTCGTCGTACTGTTGTTCTCGTGGAAGTAGTCTTGTAGATGGGGATCCTGGACCATCCATTGGAACGCTCGCACAGGAGCTGCATCAGGGTCTCCACGTTGCAGTATGTCCAGTGTGTCGTTTGGTAAGCTCTGCAAGAACGCTTCCAACCCAGGATGATTGATGTTTGTGTTGTTGTGGGATGTGGTATTGGTGATGAAAGGACTGAGTGTTTCCAGGATGGACAACGGAGTGGACGTTGGACTGGATGAGGCAGTATCGTTGGACACGTGCGGGTTTCCACTTGGAGATGTTGCTTCGTGGTACTTTTCTTGGGTTGCTGTAGCCACGATGGGAATGATAATGACACCCACCACAAAGACAATTGCGACCATGGCAACTATCAGGATCTTTACTAAAGTAGTGGCAGTCTTCTTCTTGTGGGAAGGTAGCATTGTGCTGTTGTTGCTGCCGCGTTGTTCCTGTGGATTGTAGATTTGTGCCCTTTGGGAAATGACGATTTGTGACGACGTGAGGGAGTTTTCTGGCACGGGAACGGCCTGAACTAGACTGCTGGAAGTCTGATCGTCTTTTGGTTGTCGTGCGGAATCGTCATTTCCAATCTGGACCGTGCCATAGCTACACCAGCTACTGTGCCCTTGTTGTTGCTGTTGCTGCTGCTGAGGCGAAGGAGTGTCATCATTGGAGTGGTGAGATATTCCTCTTACGGCAATGGCCCCAGGAATGGACATGGAAGTTTCTTGCCGTGTGATTTGTTGCTGTTCCTCTTCTTCGAACTCCATGGATTGATCCTCTTCTTTGTCATGATGATGATGGTGCCACTTCTTTTCCTTGGCAAGTTCATGATTGGCTGCTGTTTCACCTGCTGGTGCACGTACGGGTACTGGTACTGATGCATGCGGAGGGACCTTCATGGAAGTACCGGTATTAATACCGCCTCCAGTGATATCCTTAGCCAGAGACATCTCTATCTCATCAGTTCCAGTAGATCGAGCAGCTTCAGTGCAAGTACTGGTACCGGTACCTTTGGCGGCAGCTAGCGTAGCTCTGCTCTGACCAGGAGGTCCTCTAGTACTAGTAGGAGGAAGTTTCTGAGGTGCAATAGCTGCAGATCCTCTACTCCTCTACTATCTATAGTGCTGTCAGTAGTACCGGTATTAATAGTACCACATTCTTGCTCTTGCTCTTGCTGCCTCTGCTTTTCTGCTTCTCTTAGGATTCGTGACAACTCTTGACTTGACAAGGAGCCATCCTCACTCGTGCCACTACTACTAGAACCCGTAGCAGCCTGATGTTGATTGGTGTTGGTCTGGATACCCCTGCCTCTAGTACTGTAGAAGCCCTGCTCAGCGCAGTCTGCTGCTTTCCTCGCTACCGGTACCAGTACTAGGGCGATCCTTCATTGTCCACGTCTATCAAAAACAGTAACCAACTACTGTAATCAATCTATGATAGTCCGATGATACAAGCAAAAAGCAAAGCAATGCATTGGTTGCTGCCAAAGTTGTTTTGTGTGTGGTGTGTGATGGGGTTGAGGGTCGCATGCTTTGGTGAATCCAAAGATCGAGGAGGATCGCAGATCTCACCACCAACGTAAATGTATTGATCATTTTTTCACAAGCCAATCGCTTTGATTAAATCACAGAGACTCTTTGAGTTGTTCGGGGATCTGGACCTCTGTGGAAACGTCATTCGTGGCAAAATACTTAAGAGACGATACACCGAGGAATAGGAGATGATCGAAATGATTTAAGAGACGAAAGCAATCGTCATATATATTTAGGAGACGATTCAGTAGGAGACATTCCAATTAGGAGACGAAAATTTCGAAATAGGAGATGATCCGAAAGATTTAGGAGACGATACCATACAGTTTACATGGTACACTTAGGAGACGATCCGTTGAAAATAGGAGACGTTTTAAGAGGAGACAAAAGATTTAAGAGACAATCCGTTTCGTCTCCTATTTTTAGGAGACGAAATCCATTAAATAGGAGACGATCAAAAGGATTTAGGAGACGAAAAGTAGCACGACTCGAGTTTCCACAGAGGTCCAGGACCTCTGTGGAAAGTCATTCGTGGAAACATACTTAAGAGATGATACACCGAGGCATAGGAGACGATCAAAATGATTTAGGAGACGAAAGCAATCGTCTCCTATATTTAGGAGACAATTCAGCAGGAGGCATTCCAATTAGGAGACGATCGTTTCGAAATAGGAGACGATCCGAAAATATTTAGGAGACGATACCATACAGTTTACATGGTTCACTTAGGAGACGATCCGTTGAGAATAGAGACGATCCGTTGAAAATAGGAGACGATTTAAGAGGAGACGAAAGATTTAAGAGACGATCCGTTTCGTCTCCTATTTTTAGGAGACGAAATCCATTAAATAGGAGAGATCAAAAGGATTTAGGAGACGAAAAGTAGCAGACTCGAGTTTCCAGAGTCAGAGGTCCGGACCTCTGTGGAAACGTCATTCGTGGAAAATACTTAAGAGAGATACACCAGGCTTATGAGACGATAGAAATGATTTAGGAGACGATCCGTTAAATTAGGAGATGATTAAGCAGGAGACCAAATTAAGGAGACGATCGTTTCGAAATAGGAGACGATCCGAAATATTTAGGAAGACGATACCATACAGTTTACATGGTTCACTTAGGAGACGATCCGTTGAGAATAGGAGACGATCCGTTGAAAATAGGAGACGATTTAAGAGGAGACGAAAGATTTAAGAGACGATCCGTTTCGTCTCCTATTTTTAGGAGACGAAATCCATTTAATAGGAGACGAAAAAAGGATTTAGGAGACGATTGATAGCACGACTCGAGTTTCCACAGAGGTCCTGTAGTAATCCTTTCAAACAAAAACTAGCAAATTTCGTTTTAACATTTTAAAATATTCAAATTTAGTTCCGGGACTGAGAAATGAGTCCCGCCGCGCCCGTGCGCACTATTAGTGCGCGGCGGGACTGACAATTTTGATGATTTAGTCTAGTTAAAAAAAAAAGATAGATGCGATGGTCTCGGGTCTCGGCTGGTTGCAAGACAGCTAAAGGATTAACGGAAGTCATGGTGAACTGTTGGTAGTTATATGAATGTCGACAGCGGTACTGACAGGACATTCGAAAAGTACGTCAGAGGTCAGAGACCTCTGGTACCGGAATACTCTGGATGCCGCTTTTGCAGGCATCTGTACGTGTATTTCGCACACCACAACGCAACAACTTGAACAAGTAGCTGTCCCTCTGGCTTTTTTGAGGCCGGCACGAGATGGGACCGTATACAACGGGCTAACTCTAGATCTATAGAAGGGGGCTGGCAAGATACAATGCTCCGACCAGTTTGCATGTACTTAGCTGCTGGAGGATCATCTCTGGCTGGCTACATGTACCAGCTACATGTAGGATCAAGCCAAGCAATCCGCCCAGCCGGCAATACCGGAATCTCCTCACGTCGCGGGGGCATTTATTTCGAGCAGCTCAGGACATCAATGTATTACAACCGGCCGGTTTTTCTTGGATTGCAGCTGCTGGTTCCAAGGTTACCGGTATGTGCGATAGAATTGAAAACATCTCGATTTGTTCGCATACAGATATATTATGCAAAAACACAATATCAGTCGAACGTACACACCACCGGTATACTGTACTTGCCACCCATCAAGCAACAAGCTGGAGGCTAGCAATACCGGTATGATACCGTACTAAATGAATCGACTCTTGTCCGAAGGACCATTATTCCTCGGTGCGCCCTGGATCGTTCGGACGAGCCCCGTATCCCTTTGGACTCGTTCCCATTCTCCCCCACTTGCCAACACCACAAACGACTGGTACGATGGTGCAGAAACCTGGCGTTCCTGCGGACCATAGCCCGAGGCCGCCATGCAACGATCGTACAGTGCCCCCACTTGTTCTCGGTATAGTCGCAGGGCATTGGCTTGCCTGGCATCAGGAGCCATTCCGAGTAGATTGGATGATTGAGAGGTGGTGGAGGAGGAAAAACCGTGTTGCGGCGTCAGTGTTGTTGCAGCTGCTGTAAACCTGGGAGTTGAATCCAACTGGGTATTGCTATTGAACTGTTGCGTGGGAGCTACTCCAAAGGCGGAACTGTTTGACTGTTGGGTCTGCTGCTGAGGAGGAGAGACGTACATCTGCTGAAGCGGCTGCTGAAGCTGAAGCTGAAGTTGAGATCCGTTGTCACTTTGGCGCTGCAAAGCCAACAGTTCCTGCTGAAAGAGTCTCATGGCAGCCTCTTGCCTTGGATCGCTGTCGGTAGAAGCACTTGGGTGCTGATTGGGCGGGGCAGAAGAGGAAAGCTGCATCACGGATGACGACAGATCGTTAGCGGCAGAATGATCAGCAGTATTGGTATTGGTACGCCCATGTGCCAACAAGCTTGCAGTCAAAGACGAAATTGAATCGTGACCATTCCACTGTGGCTGACTCGATCTCAAAGGAGCGGCTGGGGGCTGCTGCTGCAGCAGCGCACTTATACTGCCAGCAGATTCGTCAAGTAGAGGAAGCCCTTGTGTGTTTGAAGCAGAGTTGGCATCGTCGTTGCTCTGTGTGGCTGCAACCGAGTTGAAGAGACAGTTCATGTAAGAGAGTCCTTGTGTGCCTGGGGCCGCAGAAGTAGTCGGAGCGAACGAGGGTTTGGTATCCTTCGAGATGTTCCCGAACTGCGGATGTGGATCCGAGGGCAAGGATGATGACACCCCCGTCTCCGACACTGCAGGCGGTCCCATCTGAAGGCTACCATACGCGAGAGTATCCGAGAGTTCTGGCTTGCACTCACCTCTAAGGTCAGGTGCAGGTTCAGGTTCAGGTTCAGCCGCACTACGGCTGGCAGCCTTTTTCTTTCGCTTGGCTGTATCTGACATCGTCTGTTCTCTTGAAGCCGCGCGGCTCTTAAAAGATCTAACCCTCCGGTTAAGCTGATTCTTCCTCTGGATCAGCGTCACATTTTCGTTGTCCACTGCGTTGGAGTCGTCCGCGGTGTATTCGAAACCTCCAATGCTCAAGCACTGGTACAGCGTAAGATCAGGATTCGTGAGACGCGCTTCCAGTGCCCGGTTCATTCTCGGGTCTGATCGTGCACACCATGGTCTTCCCTCCGGGTTCATCGTCTCGTGGTATCGTGCTGCTCTCGCTTATGCTGCCTTGTTATATGTTTACTGCCTGAGGCTTTTGGTCCAGAGCGAGGCTTGCAATTGCTTGGTGCTGAAGAGGAATCAAATTAGTTTGAATTCAATAATGTATGAGACGACACAACTTTGCTCCGTCGTCGAGTTTCCTCTCAGATGAAGCATGAGTGACTTGAGATAGTCCGGACAGAGCCACCTGCCTTCAGGGTTAAGCCTTGAGGTACTCGTCAATTCCGTTCGCAAGGCTTGTTGCTTGAAGCTGTTTGTTTCTCGATAGCTGAGCTAGCCACACGTCAGTTCCCCACGAGTGTTCTGCAGTGTTGACTGAATAGATACTGAGGCTGATACCGGTAGAGGCAATTATTAGTATTGTACCGAGTGGTACTCGTACCGAGTACCGATACGGTAACAGCGGTAACACCAGCTCGTTTCCTCTAAAGTGGCGAAAGGCCGCGACAGCCACCAACCGAGCCAGTGCTGAAGCGATGCGATCAATTAATAAATAAAAATAGATGGTGAAGGAGCGACGTGTTCCAGCTGTTCTCTCTTGGAGGGACTTCCGTGGGACCCGAAGGCATTATGAGGTTTAAAGCCAGCGGAGAGACTAACACTGAAAATTCTGCTCCACATAACAAATTCAAGTTTTTGTTTTTAGAGTTCCCTTGAATAGGAGGTAAAGAGGTGAAAACTGATCCCAACATGATGTAAAAAGGAAGGAAACAGAAGACATAAGGGGTGTTGTCGTACTAGTAGTAAAATAAATAGAGAGAACGAGATCACGTGAGCAAAGGGTCTTCTCATTCATTCGAAGGTACTCGTACTCTTATTAGAAGGCCTTTCTTGGTCGATGACCGGTACTTCACCGGAACGCTATGTTCCCCGGGGGGTGGCACAAATCAACTTACTATTTCCGGCATCGCCTTGAACCTCCTCTGTGGACAGTTTAGCACTTTCTACCATATTCAGCCATCTTCAGCTAATTTTTACCACCTTCAAGCCCCTGTTTGACCACCTTTAACCGCTTATTTTACCATCTTTGTAACACCTTTCACCGCCTTCTACCGCCTTAGATGACTCTTTGCCGACTCTTACCACCGTCAACCACTCTCAACCGCTTTTTCTTTCGGCAATGATGCGGGAAAACTCGAGATATGACATTATCAGTTGGTTTGAGCCACCCCCCCGTCAACAGAACATCTGATTTCAGCTGGGTGAGGTTTCTGGATTACCAGGTATCTACAGTCTACAGTACTGGCAAAAGTTGAATGAGAACCACTTGAATGATTGAATCTGTTGAAATCCGATTTCCGGCGGCCTTCCGCGGATTGAATCGAATGAATCATTCAGGATTGGGCCATTTTTGCCGAGACGATGGCAAGGTGCGGCCCCACCGACAACTCGGTACCATGCAGACCACGGGAAGACTCAGAGAGCGGGCTTGTACGCTTGTACCAGTACTCAGCTAAAACCTTACAGTACCGGTACCCCCCGGCAACATCTTCCTCCATCCGGTAGCCTTTTTATGGATCCACCGCACAAAGCTTTGGCAGTGAGAGAACTGGTTGCCATGGTCTCAGTACAGTAGTCCATGTCTTCCAGTAGTTTCAGCAGGTCCAGACACAGTCTTTTTTTTAAGGCCATACGATTTTAGCAAAAAGTGACTGAATCAAATAGTTTTACTCTTGATCGGCACAAACTGCCGAATCGCCAGAACACAGGCAAAAAAGGCCATGTGATTGGAATGGTAACGTAAGCCCGATGGGATGTGACCGTGATTGGAAGTTAAGCCAGATGGAACGTGACTGCAGAAAAGAGGAGCCACAGCAGAAGCCAGGGAGTTGAAAGCATCTACGTGACTGGAACAATGCCCCCTATGTACGTAAAACGACGTGTAAAATGAAAGAGAAAAGGTGCAATGCGGTTCATGTAGTGTCTGTACGAGGCAACAGCAGAAGGTCAAAAGTTGCCAGCGTACACGTGATTGGAGTTGGCTGTCATTTCCTTTTCGGACAAGTAGTCTGTAAGTTGGCAATTTTGAAGAGGCATGGGTCTCTTCTATAGATTGTTTGAACGTCGCACATTATCTTCTGTACTCGAGTAGTGGCCTCGTGCACGTCCACCTTTGCTCCTTACTGCTAACCAGGGGGAGATGTTTGGACTGCAGTAAAGATGCAGTGAAGATGCAGTGGCTGGCTGAAGATGCAGTGAAGAGCTGCTGCGAGTTCTTGGAGGGAAGAAATGGGCAGCGCGGACACGGAAGAACAAGGAAAGGGAGGAAGCGCTGCCCTACTACTAGTGGTCAGCAACCACCGGAGAAACATCCTGCTTCCTGACAGCCACAAGCAACATCCTTAGCTTAGCTCAGTGGCTGGGCAGTATGCATTAAACATGATGTTGTAAGGTTTGTTTTGCCGGTCTCTTTCCTTCTCCGACCATACATTAGGTTGTCCGTAGCTTCGTCCGGCCCGCTTTCTTCAGATGTTGGGTTGGCGCCATGTCGCTTGTATCCTGGAAGGCTGGAGGTGTTTCGTTGGCCAACAACTGGAAAAGACAACAGGCAACTATGGTAAGCTCGTTTCAGCCTTCTACATATAAGCATACACTTGACGGCGCGCTTAGGTCCTTTATCCTCCATTGTTGCGATACCAAATACCAAATAGTTTTCTTTCAGAACCAGCACTTCTGTGCTCGATTTAAAAAGTATGATGAATAGTTCTAAAGTTACATAGTATTATAAAATGATTTGAAAATCCCTTATGCACAGATGCAGCCACAGGTGCATTGCAGCTCTGTGCAGTCCACAACCATCTCTTGCCAAGCCAACGCACAAAAACCTTCGGGCACACCACCCGTAACATCGTTCCCATGCAAGTGGAATCGTATCAAGCTGGTAAGACCCGACAGCTCGTCTGGTAAATCTCCATCTAGCTCATTGGAATTCAACAAAAGGTCTTTGAGGGATGTGGCGTTTCCAATCTCAGAAGGAATCTCGCCGGTGAGTAAGTTGGAAGAAGCTTGGAAAACCTCCAGTGCCGGAGCCAAAAAGAGTTCGGGTGGTATGGGGCCTGCCAGTTTATTTTCGTTCAGAACAACATTCTTCAGCATTGGAGCCTGGCCAATCTCTGCGGGTATGGTGTGATTCAGCTTGTTGCCAGAGAGGACAAGAGTGACAAGTTGCTGTTCACCCTCGGTGTGGTTTCCAATTCCAACAAACAATTCTGCTGGAATGCTGCCTGATAGCTGGTTTACATTCAGTCGGAGATCTTTCAAGGTTGACACATAGCCTAACTCAAAAGGGATTGCCCCAGTTAGGAAGTTGGTAGAAGCTTGGAAGACCTCGAGTCGAGTGAGCAAACCAAATTCAGTTGGTATGTTCCCAATCAGTCCGTTGTGACTCAGCGTGAGAACCTCCAGATTTTCAGCTTGGCCAAGTTCTGTCGGGATGAGCCCTGTTAGGAAGTTGTTATCCAGCCGTAGTTGTTCCATAAAAGAAAATTCTCCCAGACCCGAAGATAGGGATCCCGAAATGCCTGCATTGAAGGCAACGAGAACTTCCAGAGTTTCGTTTAGAAGAAGGATCTCAGATGGCAGAGTTCCGGACATAAGTGTGTCGTGGAAAGAAAGCACCTTCAGGTTTGTGAGTTGGCCAATCTCGGAAGGCAGACCACCCACAAAATAGTTGAGACCCATTGTGAGATTTTGCAGGCTGTTTCCCAACAGGCCAAGCTCTGATGGAATAGTTTCATTGAACAGATTGTCTTCGAGTTTCAAGTCGACCAGATTGGTCAATGACGACAACTCTGGAGGGACAACACCGCTGAATGTGTTCCTGGACAACCATAGCTCTTGAAGAGGGAGCACTGAAAACAGTTGCGAAGGTATAGTGCCAGTGAACTGGCACCCATCCAAATCAACCGCAAATAGGTTCCTTAGCAAACCAATCTCTGTGCCAACCGTCCCTGTGAGCATATTGGCACCCACAAGCAGCTCTTCAAGACGGGTAAGCGAATAGATGTCCGTTGGGAGAGTTCCGGTGAATTCATTGGTGGCCAAACTCAGAGTGTAGAGGTCAGTGAGGTTCATCAGTCCGGATGGAATCGGCCCTGTGAAGTAGTTAGTGTCCAAGCGAAGTTCGATGAGGTCCGTCAGCCGCCAAAGCTCTTCTGGTATAGATTGACTCAATTCGTTCCAGCCCAAGGAAACAACTCGGAGATTCGATAACAAACCAATCTCGCTGGGGACACCACCAGTGAGGCTATTCTTGTAAATACGGAACCACTCCAAGCTGGTAAGCTGTCCAACTTCCGATGGCAAGTTCTCACTGAACCCGTTGTTCGACAAGGTTAGGTTCAACAAATTCGTCAACAAACCAACTTCCGAGGGAAGAGATCCTGAAAACTTATTGCTGCTAAGCCAGATTTCTGTTAGGGCGCTTAGGCTTCCAATCTCACTTGGCAACGTCCCATTCATATCGTTATTGTTCAGCGCCAGACTGGCGAGGGCGGTCAGTCTACCAATCTCGGAGGGAACACTGCCGGAGAAAGCCCCGTTGCTGTTCAGCCAAAGCTCTTCGAGATTGGTTAGCATGCCCACTTCAGTTGCAAGAGACCCTGAAAGTGAATTGCCTTGCAGTCCAAGGCCACGAAGCGAAGATATCTCATACACCTCAATCGGGACAGTTCCGGTCAATCCTGGCAATTGCGCGCCAAGGCCCAGGAACTCGAGGCCAGTGATCTGGTCGAGACCGGGAGGAATAGTTCCAGATAAACTGTTGCGCTGCAGATCAATGCCGGTCAAGTCAGAGAGCAACGAAATCTCGGGTGGGATTGTGCCGACAAGCCCTCCACCGTAAAGCAAAATCTCCTTGAATGTCTGCCTATCTTCGTAACAGTTTGTCTTCTCGTTTGCTAAATAGAACCACTCGCATTCGTGAACAGAATGATCAAGCCAGTTAGCATTCTGTTCCCAATTTTGACCATCCGTTGCGAAATACAGGGTCGCCAGTGCAAACCGCTGGTACTTCCTCGTTTCAGTGTAATCAAGATACAACAACTCGGGGTGATGCGAAATGTCTTCGTAAATCCATTCCCATGCCTGTGCCTGAGGGGAGCTGGGGTCATCAAGGGCTTCGAGGGTGCTATTGGGAACGTCCAAGAAGTCTCTGGGCGTGACGGGGGCTGGCGTTGGCATCTCCGTTGGAGCGGGAGCTGGAGTCGGCGGGTGCGTAGCATACTCGATGGTTATATCATCTTTCTTCTTCCTACCGAACACAACCGAAACCACAATCACGATTATGCCCAGAATGACAGCAATCGCAAACAACCTCTTGCATCGTGAGTATGTCTTCTCCTGTTGGGCTTCCTTGGCTTCTTTGGCTGCCAAATCTATCGGCGCCGCTTCCACCACGCCTTCTTCCAGATAGTCTTCTTCAATCGCAATCGCCTCAACAAGTCCGGTATCGTTGTGGTCCATGACAAATGGTTCAATGGACCCATCCAATGAAGCCGTTCCGTCAGACATTTCTCCCTCGTCAATGACAGAGAGGCAGTCGTTGTCATCATCATCGACGGTTGGGAGCGGTTCTGGCGGGCTATCCTCACCGGCTCCGACCAAAGAATACGAGATGGTTGGATTTCGTACCAAACTCCCAGGCGTTCTTGAATATGCACCAGGAAGCGCTGCCAGAGAATTAGGGTCGCGATGTTTCGACGATTGGTCTCCATACGAACCTTCTGGGTTTTCATCTTTCTTGTCTTTCTCTTCGTCCCCCTCACTGAAGGCGCGCACCACGGTCATGGCTGCTGTTGGCAAGTGCTTCGTTCTAGAGACTGGATCTGGCGCCATCCGACCGTCAGCAGCAGCCATCGCTGCGTAGGCCTCAGTCATTTCTCGGTCTCTTCGTTGCTTTGCTTTGCTCCTGTCCATATAGTAGTCGTCATCGTCGTCGTAGCTGGAATCGGTTTCGTAGGAACCACTGCTGTCGCTATCGTACGAGCTGCCACTGGCACCATCATCGTGTCCACTGTCCGACTCGTATTCCGACATGCTAGTATCGTTGGCCGGGTTGGGGTCATAATCCGACTCGTCGGAATCGCTCTCACTGAAGATTCTTCGCATTGTAAGCAGAGGGTCGTCATCCAAAGAAGGTGCACCGATCACGGAGTTGTTAGGTCTGCAGACTGTGAATTCCGGCGTGAATTCGACAGGAGCGGCAACATATTCTTCGCCTCCACTGCTGCTCTCCCGGTCTTGCTGCGACAAATCATTATCACTGCTTTCCGAGCTCTCCCGGGCAGCTGTTTCAGGAATGAAAGGCGCCGAGGGCTTGTGTTGGGGTGACAAGCTGTTATCCTTTTGAAGATCTGATTCTTGGACAACTTGTCTCATGGAAGTCCTTGTCACTAGCTGGCCGGCAAAAAGGACGCTGGATTGATTGACAGCTGCAGGCGACGTTGTATTCAAGCTACGCTCGGACTCATTCATGTTCTTCATGATTTCATTCGAGATTGTTTTGTAGGAGCGACCCCTTTGCATTCCCATCTTCTCGTTCTCCCTTGCTTCGCGTAGGGCTGATGCATCGTGAACGGCAAGAGAAGGGGCGCCTACCAGACTCCGGTCAGATTCACCCATCTTACTCAAGACATCGCTGGAAATCTTGGAGTAGGATCGGCCTCGAGACATTCCCTGCTTCTCGTTCTCTCTGGCTTCTCTAAGGGACGCCTGATCGAGAGAAGGTCTCTTCTGCAAGTCAAGCTCGCTTGCTGTCTCAGCTTGACTTTCCACGTCAAACATTCTGTCAGAAGAGGCACCGCCCAGGATGACCGGCACAGTGCCATCGGCAGGTTCCTCGTTGCTGCTGTTTCGAGGATCATTCGATTCTGTCATCCACTCCTTCATGCGCTCCCGAGCTGTCTTGAAGACTAGCTTTGACGACGCGACTGACGACGCTTTGCGTGAGTATGGCTCACTGTAACTACAGTTGGTGACACTGCTGTCGTCCATTCCTTGGTCTGCGACGATCTCGCCAGGAACCATGGAGTCTTCTGTATTGACATCTTCACGAACTGCCGATGGTGGCGACGCTTCGTTCGTGTGTCTTGGGGATAAGTACTGCTCGGACGCGTACGATTCTTCAACAGAACATTCCGCAGTCAGGCCATCGTGGGAAACTGAAAGAGCGCCAGTGGTAGTTGTCTGCTCTTCCAGATACTCTCCCAGGCTTCGCGTAGAACTGCGATTGGAACTCTTCGAGTGTTTCGCCCGGCGTGGCTCATCCTGCAAACTGTGCTGACTACCGCTAAGGAGGTCCTTGCGGAATTGACGCTCTCGTTCTTTAGCGTCGTGGAGGTCACCACCAGCGACAGTTTTTGAAGCGCGCCCGACGAAAGCACTTCCGTCCATTTCCGAAGAGATCATGGACGAGACCATCGAGTTCTCTCCAACGGGAGCAAGGTTCGCCGCGCTACTACTTCGCTCCAAAAAGTCGGCCAATTGAAATGCTCGCTTCTTCTTTTTCTTCTTCTTCTTTTTCTTCTTGAGCCGTGCAGCTGCTGCAGCAGCAGCTGCGGCTTCTGCATGCAGATCCATTTCATGGTCCATAAGACTCCTTTGGCTAGCTTGCAGGTAGTGTTTGCGGTACTGGCGCTCACGTTCTTTCTCTGACATATCAGCTACGCTTGCTGCCCTTGCAGAAGCCAAAGATGGACGAGCAGATTCTGCATCCTGAAGGCTGCGTTCACTTGCCCGGATGTAATCCTTGCGGAAACGGCGTTCTCGTTCCTTGTCCAACTGCATGTCGGCGACACTTGCTGCTCTTGCTGCAAGAGAGGGGCGAGCAGGTTCAACATCCTGTTGAAGACTCCGTTCACTTGCACGAATATAATCCTTCCGGAAGCGGCGTTCTCTCTCCTTGTCCAATTGCATGTCCGCTACACTTGCAGCTCTTGCAGAGGCAAGAGATGGGCGAGACAGTTCTACATCTTGAAGAAGGCTTCTTTCGCTTGCTCGGATGTAGTCTTTTCGGAAAAGACGTTCTCGTTCCTTATCCAGTTGATCGTTCTGAGTGTACGCTGTTGCAACCGTGGTCAATGAGGGTCGAGGGGCTTCCACATCCTGAAGGCTGCGTTCACTTGCCCGGATGTATTCCTTGCGGAAAAGGCGTTCTCTTTCCTTGTTCAACTGCATATCAGCAACACTTGCTGCCCTTGCAGTAGCAAGGGAAGGGCGAGCAGGTTCAACATTTTGAAGGCTTCTTTCACTTGCTCGGATGTAGTCTTTTCGGAAAAGGCGCTCTCGATCTTTCTCTGACTGCATACCGCCGGGATGGCCATGCTGTCGAGCTGTTCCTCCAGCAGCTGCTTCCACCTGCATGCTACGTTGGCTGGCTTGGGTTGCCTGTACGAAAGCTCTACGAAAGTTCTTCTCGCGCTCCTTCTCAGCCATGAGCTGCGGATCCGCGACAGTGTGAGCAACGGAGGCTGATGCAGCCGGTCCAGCACCTGAATCCGCCACGGATCCCTCAGCCGATGCCGCCCCGAATCCCACGACAGTAGCAGCGCGGCCTGCCCGTGTCGACTCTTGGCGTTCAAGAAACTCGCCAAGCTGGCGACTGCTCCCGCGTCGTTTCTTCTTCGACCTCTTCTTGGGAGACTTCTTCGGGGACACACGCATCTCTCTCATCGACGATGAATGAGCCTGACGGAAGTCCCTCCTATACTGACGTTCTCGTTCTTTCGCCAACGCGTCGTCCTTTGGCGAAATTCCTCCAGGCGAAGGCATAGGTGAACGAGGCGGGGAATGGCTTATTGAATGCCCACCAGTAGAGTGGTTGCTGTGGTGGAGCTCACGGTCGGGAACATTCGTGTTCCTCTGGCTAGCTTGAATTATCTCCTTGCGAAGCTTGCGCTCCCTTTCTTTGAGATCTTCAGCACCAGCAGAAGGCAACGCACTCAACTTGCGATCCGACACTTGTAAATTTCTCTGGCTTGCCCGAACCATTTCTTTTCGCAGCTGTCGTTCCCGTTCTTTGCCATCAGTTGGACTGGAAGTGGAAGCACTCAACTTGCGATCTGAAACTTGCATGTTTCTCTGGCTGGTTTCAAGCATCTGCTTCCGTAGTTGCCGCTCTTGTTCTTCAGTCGACAGACCCGTTCCATCGCCGATATAGGTGCTTCTCGCAGTGGCGGCAGCACTGGCACTCAACTTGCGATCCGATGCTTGCTTGCTGGCATGCAAGATTGCCTGTCGCAGTACTTGTTCTCGGTCTTTGGGTGACACATCGAAAGTTCCCTTGGGTGGTTCAGCTGCAGCCAGTTTGCGGTCAGATACTTGCATGTGTCTCTGGCTGACTTGCAACATTTCCTTCCGAAGCTGCCTTTCTTCTTCCTTCGAAGATAAAGCGGCTTTTGGAGGAGCCTTCTTGAGCGAGGGACCGGCAGCCAAAGTCGCTTCTTCCACGTTTCGCTGGCTTGCTTGAAGTAGCATCTCCTTTCTCAGCTGTCTCTCCTCTTCCTTCGCGGACGGTCCTGATGAAGCTGGGGGACACTTCATGGGAGCTGACGGCGGCGCCTTCTTCGTGGTCGCAGACGGCGGGGCGCTCGCGGCAGACTCCGCCGACGATGGAGCTAGTTTCCTATCCGACACTTGCGTCGTTTGCAGCATTTCTTTGCGCAGCTGCTTCTCTTGTTCCTTCGCGGAGAGCTTCTGCGATGGCCTGGAAACGACCGGTGAACTGGCTGTTGCTGACAACTTCCTGTCTGAAATTTGCCTGGCTTCCAGCATTTCCTTCCGTAGCTGCCTCTCTTGTTCCTTCACGGAGAGCTGTGTGGTAGCATTGGATGACGAGGACGAAGAAGGAATACTGGCAACAGGGGCCACTATAGCAACGGTGAGTAGGCTCCGTTGGCTGTTTGCCTGCAGCATTTCTTTTCGGAGTTGTTTCTCTTGCTCCTTGGCTGATAGTGCCGCATACGGGGCTGCAGATGCCTTCGGTGGAGAAGTTGGCATGACGCCTGCAGAGGGCGGCGCAGTGATCGCGGTGGACGATGACACGTCCATGCTGTTACGTGGGCTCCTCGTCGACGCTTGTATCATCTCATTTCGCAACTGGCGCTCGTCTTCCTTGCTGCTGTTGACGGAAACCGAAGGAGGCGCGGTGCTCATCAAAGCGCGGTCTGACATGAGGGCCTGCCTTGCCGCATGAAATACTTCCTTGGAGTCGCCGTTCGAACTCCTCGATCGAGGAGGCATCGATTTGGCCGTTGGAGGAGCCCTCGCCGCCATGTGCCGTTCGCTGGTGGCAGTCCGCAGCATTTGTTTGCGAAGTCGCCCAATTTCTTCCTTTGTAGCACCGTCAGAGCTTCTGGTACGAGGAGACCTGTTCTTCTTTTTCCTCTTCCTTTTCGGCTTGGTTGCTGTTTCGGGCGACGTGACCACGCTGGTGTCATCGTTGGAAGATGCCATGGAGACAACGGAACCTTCGGCACTCTTGGTACGAGATGGGACCAATTTGGTGGCACTGGGAGCAGTGACTGCAGCCCCAGGCAAGTTGTGGTTTGAGGTGCTGAGCATTTCCTTCCTCAGTCGTCTCTCTTCCTCCTTTGGATCCATCTTCTTTGGTGGCTGAGGAGGACTCTTCTTTTGCCTAGCAGCAGGAGGTGCCGCAACAGCACTGGCAGTGTTGGCCACAGCACCAGGTAACTTGCGATCCGATACTTGCAAGTGCCGTTGGCTGAGCATTTCCTTGCGAAGCTGTCGTTCTTCTTCCTTGGGATTCACTGTCTTTGGTGGTGATGATGTGTTGGCCACAGCACCGGGAAGTTTGCGATCAGAGACTTGCATGTGTCGTTGGCTAAGCATTTCTCTTCGGAGCTGTCGTTCTTGTTCCTTTGGATTATTTGGGGGCGATGGAGCAGGAGGAGCTTGAGCAGCAACTGCTGCTCCAGGCAACTTGCGATCTGACACTTGCATGTGCCTCTGACTAAGCATTTCCCTACGAAGCTGTCGTTCCTCTTCTTTGGGGTCCATCTTCTTGGGTGGCGGAGGAGCTTGAGTCGTGACGGCAGCTCCTGGCAAGTTGTGGTTTGACATGCTCAGCATTTCCCTGCGAAGTTGCCTTTCCTCTTCCTTTGGATCCATTTTCTTGGGCGGTGGTGGAGGACTCTTCTTTTGGCCAGCCGTGGGAGGTGCAGAAACAGGAGCGACGGTGTTTGCCACAGCACCGGGAAGTTTGCGATCAGAGACTTGCATGTGTCTTTGACTAAGCATTTCCCTACGAAGGTGTCGTTCCTCTTCCTTGGGGTCCATCTTCTTTGGTGGCGGAGGACTCTTCTTTAAGTTGGCTGTGGGAGGGGCAGAAACTGCTGTTGCTGTGGTGTTGGCCCCAACACCAGGCAACTTGCGATCAGAGACTTGCATGTGCCTTTGGCTCAACATTTCCCTGCGAAGTTGCCGTTCCTCCTCCTTCGGGTCCATCTTCTTTGGTGGCGGTGGAGCAGTTCGCGCGGTGACAGCTGCTCCTGGCAAGTTGTGGTTTGACATGCTCAGCATCTCCCTTCGAAGCTGTCGTTCCTCTTCCTTGGAATCCATCTTCTTTGATGGTGGCGGGGGAGGAGGACTTTTCCTGTTGGCTGTGGGTGCTGTTGCTGCAGTGTTGCCACAGTACCAGGCAATTTGCGATCAGAGACTTGCATGTGACGCTGGCTAAGCATTTCCCTACGAAGCTGTCGTTCCTCTTCCTTGGGGTCCATCTTCTTGGGTGGTGTAGGAGCAGCTCGAGTGGTGACAGCTGCTCCTGGCAAGTTGTGGTTTGACAAGCTAAGCATTTCCTTGCGAAGTTGTCGCTCCTCCTCCTTGGGGTCCCTCTTCCTGGATGGTGGTGGTGGAGGACTCTGCTTCCTGTTAGCAGTGGGAGGGGCCGAGACTGCCATTGCTGTGGTGTTGGCCACAACACCAGATAGCTTGCGATCGGAGACTTGCATGTGTCGTTGACTCAACATTTCCCTGCGAAGTTGTTTTTCCTCTTCCTTTGGATCCATTTTCTTTGGTGGTGGTGGAGGACTCTTCTTTTGGCCAGCCGTGGGAGGTGCAGAAACAGCAGTGACAGTGTTCGCCACAGCACCAGGTAGCTTGCGATCGGAGACCTGCATGTGTCGTTGGCTCAGCATTTCCCTTCGAAGTTGTCTCTCCTCTTCCTTGGGATCCATCTTCTTGGCTGGCGGGGGAAGAACAGTTCGCGTGGTGACGGCAGCACCAGGCAAGTTGTGGTTGGACAGGCCCAGCATTTCCTTTCTGAGCTGTCGTTCTTCTTCCTTTGGATCCATCGTGGCCTGACGGGCTGGTGGAGGCGTTTTCTTCCTGGTGGCAGTGGTTGGGGCCGTGGCGGTGGTTCCAGGCATAGCCGGACGGCCATGTCCCGAGACTTGGAGCTGACGGTGGTTGGCTCTGAGCATTTCCTGTCGGAGGAGCCATTCCTCTTCTTTGGGATCCATGAGTCTGTTGGTGGTTGGTGGGCTGGTTTTTCGGTTGGCAGTAGCCGCTGTGATGGGCATGGAAGGTGGTGGAGACACACTGCGCTTGGTTGTGGCAGGGGCAGCGGCTGCTGGTTCCTCGTCCTCAAGAAAGACCACCTCTTCGTCCTGGACAGCCCGAGAGAGAGCTTTCTTTTCATCTTGAAAATCAAGCAGTGCGTCTTCGTGTTTTACAGCTTTGCTGGCTGCAGTAAACCCGCACTCTGCGTCGTCACTGGCGAACTCCGCAGCTTCGCTGTCTTCTTCTTGGTCGTCCGCCGCTTGGTTGCCTCCGCTTCCAGCGCCATGGTCGTCAGTGTTGTTCGTGCTGATGCTACTCAAGAGTCCACTGCTGCTGCCACTACTAGAGGTGGAGTTGACCGTGTCCTTGTCCAACGACGAGTGACTTTCGTCATTCTTGTCGGTGTCTTGTTGTTGTTGTAGAGACGATTGCTTGAGCGCTGGAACGGCGTCGCTCGTGTCGGCGTGATGAGAGCTTCCACCCAACGTTGCGGCCGTCATGGTCTACTCGTTTTCTTACTTCCTTTCCTTACTTTAGTACTCTACTCTACTCTTAATGCTGTAGATGTTGTCTCTACTACTGTATCGATAGACTGTATTGAGCGGCAAGAGGATGATTGAAAGGAACGAAGACACTGCCGCAGCCAGTTGAAGGAAAAAAGGAAAAAGAGATTTACCGCGACGGTGTGCTCTATTATTAGTACTCAAGACCGAATGGAAGGAACATGGGTCACTTTCAATAATAGAGTTAAAGCGATCTTCCACAAATGCCAATTTGACTTAGTGTCCATTCATGCTATGACAGACTAGTGACACAAAGACCCATGAAGGTCATTCAGTTAACTGGCACATTCCTTGGGTACGAATGGACTTCACGCGTATTCTACGACCAGACCCTAAGAAAGGGGAATCCCGTTGTGCCTCTGCAAAAAGGCTTCAATAGAATGGTTAAAGAGCCACTGCAGGAGTGGAGAGGGAGCCACTGGTGCGGAAGCGCTAAAGTAGCTGCTTTGGCTAGCTAGCTAATGAGTAGACAGCAATAGTTTTAGCTTGGGGCTTGGGGTGACAAAGTACTAGCTTGCTACCGGTATCTGTGGGTGAACCTAGACTATTGGTAGGCCGAGGATCATGTTTTCAACGATGCGGTAAGCAAAGTAGGCAAGTAGGTAGCTGCTGCTAGAGGGCGCCCATTACATGTATTGCAGGGAAGCATACTAGTACATGCGTAGAAACCATCCCAGAGTAAGTCAGAAGCTGCGCTATCCATAAATCAATATGCAGCCAAGTCACACATCTCTAGCTAGCTAGCAAGGAGGTAGCTATGTCTACATGTAGCCAGCGTCAATAGACAAAACAAGCAATCGACCAAACCATACTCAGTAACCATGTTAAAGAGAGGTGCGGTTGCGAGCGCAGATGGATTAGAATGGTTTCTGGAAGGGAAGCCTTCACTCACGTTTTAAAGTAGTCATTGATAGATTTGATAGATTTAAAGTCGTCATGTTGAATCTTGACGCGGTACTGGCGTGGATCTAAGAGCTCTCCAAGGGTATCATAAGTGCGTTGAGTTGCGAATAATTCTTGTTTACGAACGCTTGCGGCATTGCTATGTGTCGTAATCTCGCAAGAATTGATAAAATAGAGATAGCTCTTATTTAAGAAGGGTCATGTCTGGTCACTGTAAAGTCATGAGGAGTTCGTAACTTTAACTCCGTGAATGTATTGAGTCATGGTACCGGTACACAATTCTGCAAAGTGTTAATAAAAGGGATTGAGATGGTGTCGATAGTCAGCAAACGAAAGCAAGGTTATTGATGCTGCTTGTGTGAACAGGTTGGGGTGGTAGCATCCGCTTCTGTTTGACTTGTGTTGCCATTGTCCACCATTTTGTTCGTCGCCCTTTTTGGTGGCATCAGATAGATAAGTTAGATCAACAGCTACAACGACTACAACAACAGTAAGCACTTAGCTACCAGGTATATCATACTGACTATATACAAACTGAATAGAAGAGAAGAAGAATGCTCATGCTACGATCTGTAACAGGAAGAGCCACTACTAGTAGTATTACTACGGCCATGTCGCTGTGGCTATGCTTATTCAGCATCTCCACAATAGCGGCGCTGCGGTCGTCTGTACGAGGCCAGTCAGCGGTGGACGACTACAGCACTAGAGCTACCAGCTTTACCTCCACCGTCTTTATGGAGTACACTTCAACCGCTCTTGACAGCTTCCAAGATGACGACGCTGACTCTACCAGTATACACGGTACTAGTGCTACTAGTAGCTTAGCAAGCGAAGAACGAATGGCTCTAGAAGAAGCCTTTCGAGAGACTTACAATCGGCTAAGTCTACAAGCAGCAAGAGACTCTACTAGCAGTGGTAGCAGCAGTGGTAGCAGCAGTGGCAACAGCAGAGTCCAAAAAGCTACCATTGTCAAGACCACAGGACTCAGTCACGATCACGAGTCACGGACTGAAGGACCCCACCCACTAGCTAAGGAAGCCGACTTGGCAGGGAACCGACACCAACTGCAATGGTCTATACAGGCTTCCTGTGAGACAGAACTGGGATGTTCCAGACGGCTCTTTGATGAAGCAAGTCCAAGTCCGAGAGACTTTCAAGATGCCTACCATCAAAAGCTAGGCATTACACAACACCGTCATCTCTTGCAAGAGGAGCAACAACAACAGTCAAGACAAAGACATACGCAAGAACTCGTGGAAGCCACGGCATTCGAGTGCCCCTCAGACACGTCGTCCTTTACATCCCGCTTTTATCTCACGGTGGATGCACTTTCCTCACTCGAGATGGACCTCGAGTTGGACCGCGAGTTATGGATCAGTATGATACAGACGACCTACAACTCGCTCAGCTTTTATACCTGCGATGCGCCACACTTTCGGACTCTGGTAGATGTACAAGTACGAGAGCAAAAACCTAGTAGTACTAGTACTAGCAGTGGTACACCCAGCAGTGTGGTACGACACTTTCCCGGGGAACGACGCCACTTGCAGCAGCCATCCAATGCTACTACATCTACTACTGCGAGGACTCTGGAGTTTGCCGTTGTGGCCGAATGCCGAGGGGACTGCGAGGGACTGGAATCCATCTTTGCAGTAGCATCCCAACAAGAACCATCACTGCTGCCACTAACGTGGCAACCACCGTCCTGGACCGACCTCCAAGGACAATCGTCGTCACTGCGACAAGCCAGTGACGATACCTGCTATTGTGCGGCAGAACATGTGCAAGATGACTCGTTGCAACTGACGCCCGAAATTTTTGTCGAGGCTTTGCAGTCCACGCTTCAACGAGTGCAGCAGGAAGGACTGATGGGCAGTGTACAAGACATTGCGGCCATTGCCGAAGTTCAAGATCAAGACTGTCAAGCCGCACCTACCGTCTTTGAAACACGCGTCTTGCTCGAAGTCGTCGCCAGCGGGGTGGACTACTACTACACAGATGATGCGAACAACTACACGGACAGCAGTCTGGATACGCCACTCGAGCTGGGGCGCAAATTCAAGGACGTCTACAATGCTTTGGCATTTGCCTTTTGCGATTCTGCGTTTTATCGGATACGGGACGTGGCACTCGACATGGTCGATACCACGGTGCGGCAAGTCGCATTTGTTTTGCAAGTCGAATGTCAAGGCTGTGATGCAATTGCTGGCAATGCGTCGGCCATTTTCTATCATCCCAATGCCAATAATGAGACATGGGTGGACAATACAACAGCGTTGGTACCTGCGCCGGAAGAAGCTTGTTTGTGTCCTGTAGTCACCAGTCGGGATGAGTTGCCGAGAACCTACCGTCCTCCCACAACAGAGGAAGTACTAGTGGTGCTACAGGAACAACTGGAGGAAGAAGAGGTTACCATGCTGCATCAAGTGGAAGCATTTGATTGCTCTCCACCTCCTTCCCTTCCGCCGATTAACGCAACAGTTGTTGGAAATGAAACGATCGTCGTCAAGGAAGGACTGGTCTATACCAATGTCATTGTCGACTTTGCCGGTCGACCGGATCTCATTGGTCCAGAGGAAGCCATGGCGTTGGAAAATGCATTCCAGTCGACCTACAATTCCCTCACCTTTTTGAGATGTGACGCCAAGTTCCGTACCATTGCCGATGTGCAGCTCTTTGTTGTGCCCAAGAACCTGTACGAGTCACAAGAAGAGCTCAACAACGTCACTGGCCGAGTGCCGTCTCGGTGGAGTAGTCGTCGTGACTTGCAATCTGAGGGCCGTCGCAACTCGACGAATGGAACATTGACGGGGCTGGGATTCGACGACGGATTGGCTGATACTCGAGGCACCACGGTCTTTCGTGTTGGTGTCGACTGTCGTCGTTGTGAGAACACGGAAGACTCGGAAACCTTTGGACTCTTTGATTCGTTTGAGAGACGACAACGACACCTAGAAACGGAAGGCGATGGCGACGCCGATCTCAAGGAACTCATCTTGCCTTGGATCACAAACGCCAAGCCATTTTTGTCACCAGACTCCGCCTCCAGACGAGATAGAGAAGAACCTGAAACTTGTTTCTGTCCACTGGGAACCGAACCCGATGAGATTGCGCCGCTCACCGAAGTAGTGTTTGAAGAAACGTTTTCGGCTCGCGTCGACCAACTCGTGAATGAGTCCGTTGTCAGATCCGTGCAAGCCGTGGTAGATGTGGAAGAAGACGAAGATTTCTGTTCCAATTTGTTGGTGGAAGTTGACATCGAGTACGTGCTCGACTTTGAAGGTGGGGACGTCAGCCGATACACTACAGAAGACTTCGAACGCGCAATTACAGAAACTCTCCGAAAGTTGCGTACGTCAAAGTGTGATCCCTATCTCATTCGAGTCAACAGTGTTGAAATACTGTCTGTTGGTGGGGATGGTTTGCGACGACGTGACCTGGTGGAAGGCGATGGTGCGACTCGGGTGCTGTACGACCTCACCGTGGCTGAAGCGGAAGAGTCATTTTTGGATTTCATGGAAGGACGCTTGGGCGACATGGAGTACTTGATTGTTCAACAGCTGTCGGCTCAAGCAAGAGCTGGCGACGATATCTCTGTCAACCAAGTGGGGCCCTCGTCGCCAACAACCGAGGCGCCAACATTACCACCCACGGAAGCCCCAACAGAGCCACCAACACCCAGTCCCACGTCATCTCCCACAAAGCAGCCAACGCGCAGTCCCACAGCAAATCCCACACGGCAGCCAACACCAAACCCAACTTCTCAACCAACACGGCAGCCAACACCTAACCCTACTGCACAACCAACACGGCAGCCAACACCAAACCCTACTGCACAACCAACACGGCAGCCAACACCAAACCCGACGTCTCAACCAACACGATCACCCACACCTAACCCTACCGCACAGCCAACACGACCACCCACACAAGATCCAACATTAGCGCCAACACCTGATCCCACTCCAGATCCAACTACACCGCCAACACGAGAACCTAGCAATGCGCCTTCGATTGCCCCTTCATCCAACCCTTCTGGATCTTCGTCACCATCCAGTTCCCCCACCATATCCAAGCATCCTTCTATGATGCCATCCCGCTCAATTGCACCATCCGAATCACCCACGTTTTCTCCGGGGCCGTCCTCAAGCCCTTCGAAACTACCGTCTGCACGCCCCTCGTCTTCATCATTGCCGTCCAATATCCCATCTCAGGAGCCGTCTGCATCCCCTTCAGCGTTGCCATCCGAACAGCCGTCGATTGCGCCATCCGAAGCCCCTTCGGGTTCGCCGACCCCATCATCCAATCCTTCGGTGTCGGTTTTTCCTTCTTTGGTCCCCTCGGCACCGCCATCAGAAACACCATCCGCTTTGCCGTCCAAGGAACCTTCCGTATCGCCATCTTCTGCGCCCTCGGATTCAATGGCACCGTCCATTGCTCCATCCGCCAACCCCTCAGCGGTTCCCTCGACTACGCCATCTGGGCATCCCTCTTCTGGACCATCATCGGTGCCTTCTCTGTCTCCTTCCACTGTTCCATCTGGCTCGCCATCGGTGGCCCCATCAACAGTGCCCACAACAAGCCCAACGAAAGCACCAACAGATCCCCCCACCCCAAGCCCAACAGAGGCACCAACAAATCCCCCAACCCCATCGCCAACAAAAGCCCCGACCGATCCTCCAACTCCATCGCCAACAGAAGCCCCAACTAATCCTCCAACCCCGTCACCAACAGAAGCCCCAACTAATCCTCCAACTCCACCAACCAACAAAACTCCTAACAGAGCCACCAACCCAAGCCCAACTATCCACCAACAGAGCCTCCAACAACCCACCAACGGATCGCCAACACTACCCCCAACGAACCAGCCAACTGATCCACCAACAGAGCCTCCAACGAACCCACCAACAGAGCCTCCAACGAACCCACGACCACCAACGGATCCGCCAACACACCCCCAACGAACCAGCCAACTGACCCCAACAGAGCCTCCAACGAACCCACCAACACTACCCCCAACGAACAGCCAACTGATCACCAACAGAGCCTCCAACGAACCCACCAACGGATCCGCCAACACTACCCCCAACGAACCAGCCAACTGATCCACCAACAGAGCCTCCAACGAACCCACCAACAGAGCCTCCAACGAACCCACCAACGGATCCGCCAACACTACCCCCAACGAACCAGCCAACATCAGCACCAATCACTTCCGGCATCTTGAAATGGACCCTGGTTAATGCCGCCCTGAACAGTGACATCCGGCAAATCTATGACGGAGAGGTGATTGATCTAAGGATTGAAGGACTCAACCTGAACTTACGCGTGGATACAGTTCCAAATGATTTAGCGGAGGTACAATTTTTCGTCAATGATAATTTCTACCAGGATCAATTTTTCCGACCCTACTGTATGGGCGATGATAATTTGGGGGACTACCTCACAGACACCACCTTGGCCGCACTGGGGACTTACAGGATCAGAGCAGATCCCTACACTGGCGCCACATGGGCAATGGGCGGCACTTTAGGAACGTCCCAGCAAATCACGGTGACCGTCATTGACACTACTCGCTAAAAAAGGTTACTGTTGGTGCGCACTGCCTGTGATTCCACAAAAGAAGCATCGCAACGCTAGCTGGCCTAGGCTATTCAAATTCATAATATAGACTACTGATAGACCTTTACGCAACGGTCAGCTCAAGGCTGAGGCTGGGGTGACTGCTGTCTGTACTAGTGTTGCGCTGATTCCCGTCAGAATGCCGCTCCGTTGTGGCTACGCTCTCATGCGTCAATCGGGTCAAGCTTTGTGAGCTTTCAGGCATGAACCTTCGGTGCCGATTTCGAGGCGGTTGGTTCAGGGTTATCATCTCAATCCAGGATCAGATATCTACACGTACGAAGAAGAAAAAAAAACACTCATCATCTCCGGGCTATCATAAACGAAGGGCATTTTTCAGAGCAAGCTGACTTGCACAAAACCGTCCAACCACCATCCTTGGAGTTATGTCATGTCGAATGTCGAGTTATCCATTTTCAGATAAGACAACATGTACTGGTAGCTTGTTGTCCCGTGTGAATTGGAAGATTTGGGAGTGACTCAGTCATCTGGAACTCTAAACCGTGTTTGACTCTTAAATCCTTCACCTCAGGAGAACTCACGTATTTTTTGACAAGTGAAGTACTGGTACATACTCGTAGCTAACTCTTGCTGGATAAGGCAGTCGGAAAGCTTCCGCTTGCGGTCATTTATGTATCTCCGGTGAAGTGGTAACATGGTACAGTCTCACCTGACAACACCAAGAATGCAGCCTACTAGTACCTGGAAGCAGCTCTACTAGTAGCTAGCTAGCAGCTAGCTAACTACACAGTCCAACCTAAACAGCCGGGCACTGGTGATCATTGGATTCTCATGAGCATCTGCTCCATTTCACTTCTGTTTCTACAGGCTGAACCTTCGTGTACCCCAGCAGAGCAGAGCACAACACAAGCCAGAGAAGAGATTATCAGGAGGAAGCAGCAAGAGCCAAACTCGTTCTTTTGCATCATCCCTGAATATCGATAGTTTGAATCACCATGAGACCACAGCTGCAGAGAACTCCACGCCGCATTGGCTTTGTTGTCGACGCTGACAACCATGGCCCTGGTGTCCATCAATCCGACGAGAGAAGAGGCTCCATGTCCGAGTTTTCGAGTCGATTGAATGCAATGGAGGCAACATTCCAAGAAGGGTCTGCGATGCCCCCGGTACGCAAAAACAGCATGACGGCACGTAGAAACAGCATGAACGCCAGCATGACGACTCCGTGCAGAGAACTGGTTGAGATGATTGACGAGTCAATGAGAGATCGGTCCCTGAAGGACCAAAGCATGAAGCACCACAGCCGGAGGCGAGGATCGTACTTGGATTGGTCCATGAAGGACAAGTCCATGATGCGAGATAGCACGCAATTCAGCTTTCAAGGACGAAGGGGAGGCTTCGGTCATGACATTGACGAAGTCAGCGACTCGCACGGAGACGAATCTGCCACCACCGTGGATCAAGCTGAGAAGCAAGAAACTAGACTCCGTCGCATGCTCTGCTGGGCCATTCTGGAAGCTTGCGGATTCATCTTTATGGCAACCCTATTGCATATGGGAATCCGCAGACTCATGCGAAAGTTTCGAGGCGGCAGTGATGTGGAACTTGCTGCAGATGTCCTCAATGCAGATGACTTGGTGGCTGTCACACGAGAAACAACAGCCGCCACAAGTACTTTGGCTGGAAACCAAACTGCCACGACCACGTTGTACGTCTTGCAGGATCTGATCCAATTTTCTGTAGTCAGTCCGTCGTCATTGCCGACTAACCTCCTTGTTTCTTGGCTTTGTCCTCTTTCCAGAGCTGCTCAAGGCCTGGCCCAACAAATGGCTGTTTCTGGTGCACAGACAGCCGCAACAGCAACAGCGACGGGAAGTGCTAGTGCTGCCACCACGGTTGCGACAACTACTTCTACTTTTGTCGCACAAGCCACGGCCGCAGTTGCTTCAGCATCAGGTAAGCTGGTGTTATGATTTGGCTGGGGAAGGTGTACATGTTTCTTTGCGCTCCATTTCTGAGCTCTGCTCCATGCGTCTGCAAAACATGAATGTTCAGCAACCACACAGGCAGCAGCAGCTGGGACAGCTGCAGTGGTCGTGACAGCTGCAGCTTCTACTGGAGCCATTGTGATGCAGAATGCAACGAGCACTGCAGTCCAAAATGCCACCATGGAGGTTGTTTACCCAAGCAATTGGACCAATGGGACTGTGTATATGTCCAACTGGACGGATTTGTTCAACGGTACAGCCAACGAAACTCAGAGCCATTTGGCTGCCTTGTTTGAAGATCAAGACACCCCCGCATTCTGGTCGTGTGGCGACGAATATGACCTCATCATGGACCTCAAGGAAGCCGCAGTCTCTTTCGCATTTCAAGGACTGCCAGAGGACTTCCTCACTGCCCACCAAGACAGTCTGGAGCACATGTTTGTTGACGTTTACAACGAAATTGTTGCTGGTTGCAACGGGGACGTCTTTCAGCGGATTCTCCGGAATGCTTCCATCACCCGCGCTGAAGTTGTCGAAGATGCTGGAAGCATGTACATGGAATGGAGTACTCTGGTGACTTGTGTTGGCTGTCCAGACGAAGACCCGCTCTTTGCCGATTCTGCCTCATCGGTTAGAAAGCTGCAGATGGAAGAAGATTCTTTCTCGGACCTTATCACAAACACGATTCTACAGGAGTTTGAGGCTGAGTTCCTCGAGGGCATCGTCGAAGGGTATCCATCGTTGATGGAGAACCGAACTCTGCGAATGACATATGGAGGCATGGTTGCAAACAACAAGGACGGTCCAGGTTTCGACATGGATCAAGAAGGTTTGATCGGGAACAGTCTGGAAGAACTCAATTCCGCCGAGAAACCGACAGTGACCCCATTCGAGCTGCCCACTGACGTGCCTTCCACTAATTCTGAGCAGCCAACGAGTTCGGCAAGCCCAAGCATTGCTCCCTCCGTCGAGCCCTCTGAAGACCCAACATCTCCACCTCTGCAAGAAGAGTCTGGGGCCTCAACAGCTAGTCCGTCCCGGGACAGCTCTGAAGCTCCCAAGGTTACCGGCACCCCTACATTTGCTTCGTCCGGCAGCCCTACACCGGAACCCACCCTGGAGCCAACTCTGATGCCAATCTTAGCTGCGCCGACGAGCTCTCGTTTGGAACTGGCAGCCACGCCTGGCCCTTCTCGACAAACAGACTATAATGGCGCGGCCGCCTTTGCAATCAACAATGTTGCCCCAACCGCCAATCCTTCCACGAGTCAGTCGTATTCCCCTATCGATGACAGCAGGTTGGCTGTCCAAGCGGATGGGACATTGTCTCCCACGAGCAATGTGGTTGTGACACTGACGCCGTCCCTTGGGACTCACACAACAGCAGCACCGACACCTTCCCCCAACAGTGCTGTTCCCGCAACGCTCTCCACCAACACAGACGCTCCGACGTCCTCGGCATTCTTCACCACAGAATCACCGACAATGGTGCTACCAACTACTTCGACTTTGTCTCCCACCTTGCCGTCTCCAAGTTTTACACAGAGTCCAGCCTCACCAACGATGGTTCCATCGGAAGCAACGCTAGAACCAACCCTAGAGCCCACCGACGAACCAACTCCAGAGCCAACCGACGAATCAACTCTAGAGCTTACGCTTGTCGACACGAGCACAACAACGTTTGATTCTGCTTCTGGAGCCAGTCAAGCTTCGTCCAACCCAACACCCAGTGATCCAACGATTTCGCCATCGGCAACCCCAAGCATTCACCCCTCATTTTCAAGTGGAATCCCGAGCATGGCACCGTCCACAGTGCCGAGTGACACGCCATCGCATGCCAGTGACACGCCGAGCCAAGCGACAACAGCAACTCCGTCGCGGTTCGCATCCTCTGCCCCTTCCGTGCCTCCCAGCAAACCGGACGCTTCACATGCCCCCACTCCACTTTCAAGCGACACGCTCAGTGATTCGCCAACAGGTCAGTCTTCAAGTTCACCATCGTCAGCCTCATCAGAGAATCCGACCATTTCATCCGAAGGTCCCACGGACGTCTCAGCTCCTCCATCGCTCTCGAGCAACACGCCCATTCAAGAAACAACATCATTTCCATCCCAGTCGCTCTCACGAACTCCTGAGCCTCCCTCGACTACAGTTCCGTCCATATCTCCTAGAAAGTCCTCTGTCTCGCCTTCATTTTCGAGCGACACACCGAGCCAAACGCCATCACTCGCACCTTCCTTCGTATCATCGTCGGCCTCTCCATCGAATGCACCAACCAGAGATCCAACTAGGTCTCCGACAGGTTCCCCTTCTGCACCCCCCTCAAGTCTGGCAAGCTTGTGCGACTTTGGAAGTGTCGCTAATACTCTCTTCATTGGTTTTGGGAGTGATGTCAGTGCATTGACCAACGACGAATTAATTGTGGGTATTGCAACTGCCTACGATACTGTCCCAAAGTCAACTTGCTCTGCTGTCATTTCGTCGATTTCAGTAACCAGAAGAATCTCCAGTAGAAGGTTTTTGGAGGGAACTCAAATTGAAGTGATCGTAACAGCGAACCAGGCAGATTCGTTGCCCTTCTTGGGTGCTACCGAGGACCAGAATATGTTCGTCACAGCACTAGGAGAAGCCACTGGCGCTACGATTGATTTCCTTAGCGAAACAATCTCAACACCAGCACCATCGCCCGAACCTACAACGACACACCCAACAAGAACGCCATCCCAAAAGCCCAGTGCACCCCCCACTCTGAGGCCAACTGGAACCCCAACCAGAGCACCCACAAACAGGCCCACCTCATCTCCAACAATTACTCCCACTGATGGTCCAACTGGAAGTCCCACAAAACTTCCAACTCAAAGCCCGACCACAGCACCATCTCCGAGTCCATCGTCAAGTCATCCAACCAATAGTCCAACACCAGTTCCATCTGATAGCCCGACTTCGCCTTCTCCAACAAGCCAACCAACTGTCGTCCCCACAATCCAACCAACTTCACAGCCAACATCTGTTCCAACCAATAGTCCAACACCAGTTCCATCTGATAGCCCGACTTCGCCTTCTCCAATAAGCCAACGAACTGTCGTCCCCACAATCCAACCAACTTCACAGCCAACATCTGTTCCAACTCCTCGTCCTACAGGAAATCCCACTGCTCAGCCAACAGAAGATCCCACAGCTGAGCCAACTCCTCGTCCTGCTACGCAAGCCCCTTCCGTATCTCCCACGACGCAAACTCCAACGACTCTATCACCGACAGCAACACCTGGTGTTCCAACCGTCAAACCAACTCCAGCGCCCACACGAACTCCTTCTACTGAACCTACAGACATGCCCACTGCCGAACCCACTCATCGGCCAAGTGGCACCCCAACAAGGAGCCCCACCGATACCCCATCACGAGATCCCACTGTGACCCCTACTCTTTTAAAGCCAAGTGGCAACCCAACTAAAAGACCTACAATCAGCCCCACCAGCATTCCCACAAAGGGGCCAACATTGAATCCAACTGATGACCCAACGGGCAGTCCAACAGAAGTCTCAACTCAAGAGCCAACATCAACACCGATTGCCAACCCCACCACCTTGCCAACTGGAAGCCCGACTGCTGGGCCAAGTCCCTCTCCAATTGCAGCCCCTACAACAAGTCCCAGCTATCTTCCAACTCGAGCACCAACTGCTGGCCCAAGTCCTTCACCAACAAGTGGTCCGAGCCCCTTGCCAACAGCAATGCCAACGATGCAACCCACAGAACTGCCCACTGGATCACCAATAGCAAGCCCAACAAGTCGTCCCAATGAACCTCCATCCTTGGGCCCCACGCCTTTGCCTACACCTGACCCAACAAATCACCCATCGCACTCTCCGTCTCTACCCCCAAACGAGCCACCCACTCCACCACCTACTGAACCACCAACCCAAGTCCCTACTGACGTTCCCACTGGTTCACCCAACCAGTCTCCTTCTCTAACACCTTCAGAGACTTCAAGTGACAATCCAACCGTTCATCCCTCGGAATCTCCTTCTGGAATTCCTTCCTATTCGCCAAGTCATGGGCCAACATTAACTCCAACGGACTCGCCAACAGTGGTGCCCACCGAGCAGCCAAGTAAACAGCCTTCAGAGTCTCCTTCGGTGGATAGAAGTGAAGCTCCAAGTGGAACGCCAAGCAAATCTCCTTCCCATGCTCCAACCGAATTGCCAAGTGGGACCCCATCTGAAAGACCTTCCACAATTCCTAGCAGTCGGCCAACAAACACACCCACAATGTCCCCATCTCAGTCTCCCACAGGATCTCCATCTCGGCCTCCCACAGGAGCCCCAACCAGTTCTCCATCCCACAACCCCTCCAATGCACCATCCGGCGTTCCGTCACACAACCCTACTGCTGCACCGACTGACCCCATTGGCATCGTCACCGTCGACGGCAATACGATGCTCAGCGGAAACCTGGAAGCGTTTCGGACAAGCGCTGATGTGAGTGACTACTACTACGGCGGCTGGAGCAGGTCTCAGGTGAATACAGTGGATGGTATTGAAGATGGTGGCGTCGATGCAGTCACATTTGCATTTGTCCAAAACGGTGACGGCATTCACTTGTTGGTTGTGTTGGACAATGGGAATAGTGACGATGGAGGCCGTGTCAAGATTCGAGTGAGCGGAAGCAACATTGGTGGAAAGCTATCCTTTTCGGATGCATTGCACGAGGCGAGCAACTACCCGAATCAGCTGCGGTATAACTGGGTCAGTGGATTCTCGGATGGATTCTCGATTGGTCCGTACCAGGCAGCGGACGAAGTCTGTGTGACCTTTTTCGAGATTACTCGAGGTCTTGACAATGGAGCTCGATTTGTCAATGGCAACCATGCCGCTACTGGGCTTGTGGGAAGTGCATCTGATCTCGTCGACACACCTCTGTGCTTCACAATTCCTTGGGTGTCCCCCGACCGATTCCTCAACGTTGCATTCCATACAATCCTCAACAACCAGACCCAGAGTAATCAGACGTCACCGTAAATCTTTTAATTATAACTCCATATACATTAGCAGTGCAAGGGATATGAACAGCACATCAGAGTCTTCGATCTAGCTAGAACTAGTGTTATAAGCGAGCCTGATCGGAGGCCACTATCGTCCTTGTCCACGGACACGGCACAACTTAGCATTTGGCTACAGCAGTTACTCTCAAGTAGCCACGACCTCCAGCTGACCTTGGGCCCCGGATTTGCAGTCTAGGGTCTGAGCTTTGCTTCACATATTGTTGATGTATCCACGAAGATTTCATCTCATTCTAGCTGACTAGCAAGCCGGAGAACTACGATTTCAGGTAACTCTATACGACTGTAGCTCGACTCTTTCGTCTAACTGACTCATCAGTGCTGGGCTATGTTTTCTAATGTGCCTATGAAACTTGGCCTTGTACCTGCAGGCACCAAAGATTTTGTTGCACAAGTTGATGAGGATGTCCGGGTTCTCTTTTGATGCTTTTAGGATGTCCAACCGTTCTCTGTTGCAAAGACAGCAGTCCAAATGTCTTCATTGCACTGATAGGGTTGTGTTGGCATAGGATCTTGCTGGAAATGCTATTCCTTTGGAGTGTGAAGGCATGATGGTGGAATTGGGTGGACACGTTGTCATCCAAAATTGTGGAATTGGCTTGGATCATTCCAGTATCAAAGTTTGAGATTGTATTATCAAAACCCGATCGTCTCAACATTAGCAACAGCTGGCTCGATTAGCTCAGTAGGTTAGAGCGCACGCCTAATAAGCGTGAGGTCACGAGTTCGATCCTCGTATTGAGTACAATGTTTGTTTTACTCCGGTTGACACTTGCTTGATACTTTGTATCTTTTAGTCTGTGACTCAAGTACCGGCAACACAAACATGAAAGGGGGGTTTTAGAGTAGGGAAATTATCTACGGAAGCCAGCCGGGGCCAGGCTTAAGCAAAGAACAGTCGAAATTCAGGACTAGGTTCTGTGGGATCAGGGGCAAGAAATTGAGGACCATTACGGGGGGCAAAGGGTTTGGCTTTGCGGGCTGACTCGACTCATCAACTCATCTGTTGTTGTCGAAAACACAAACAACGACCGTCGTTGTTGTCCACAGTCCACAACCACTCATCTCGACGGCCGACAGTCCACGTCGTCAACCACTCCACAGCGCCATCGTCGGCCGACAACCACTCATCGTCTGCCGACTGCTGCGCTTCCAACAGCAACAATAAATAAATATTCCCACAATCGTCTTGAGAGAGGCAAGAAGCCAAAATGACAGAATTGGAGGCATGGGCAGCAGCAGCAGCCTAGGCATTAGTATCCGATCTCTTGATTGGCTCTGACAACATCATCATTGTGATGTTGTCAGTAATTCATTCATCGAACACAACCGAACCTACATGGCTCGATAGCCAGGCCTTGGACGATCAGCAAATTCATCATTCTCAGCGTCGCTGTCGTTGTCGGTGGTATCATTGTTCCCAATCCTCTTTCGCCAAGCCAAAGAAAGAAGTGTCATGGTAGCGAACAAAGCAACTGATGGAGTCATCGATGATGGGTGCTTCCTTGTTTTTCTTCTTGTTCTGAGGATCAACAAAATGCATGGCTTTGTCGCATTTGTTGCATTCATGAGAGCAGCTCTCTCCACACACCACACATGTGTTTGGAAGTCTTTTGACAGTCTTTTGACAGTCTCCATATGTGAGCAAAGGCCATCAAGTCGACCACACAACACCAAGCGCTACTACTAGTCGGTACACTTGATCACTTGCAACGCTACCGTCGACTACGGCCAACCCATGTGAAAACACAACTGAACCAAGCACAGGAGCGGGAGATGAGGGCAAACAGAATGGTTTGAACGGTTCAGACTGTGCAATAAATTGGTTGGAGCAGAGTTGCCATACAGGAAGCAAAAGATTCAGCCGTCGACAACTCTACCCGTACGACTGTACCGCCAAACGCTGCTGCTACCACTGTCGTCACTGCCACCTACCGTACCGGTATTGCTACCGTTGCTGTCGCAACTCTATCGCTTTTATTAGCAACAACGTGCACAATATGAACAAGAACAACAACCAAAAATAAATGCCAGCTAGCTAGCTACGACTGTACCGATAGACTGCTTACAACACACTTTAATGTATTATTACCAACACTAAATACACCGTTGCAACAAGAGAGCAATGCCAAGCTCAACTGATTTCAGGAGCGACAAAGCTAGATTTCGGCATAGCTTCCGCCGGATTTGGCCTGCTGGACCAAAATGTTGTGGACCAATTCAGCCAAAGGTGCCATTGCGGACATGCCTTGGGCACGTTTGGAACGACGCGTTGCAGGAGCCTTGGAATCAGCCGCGCCGACATCCACATCAGCTTTCTTACGACGCTTGGCAGGAGGCTTGGAATCAGCCACGTTCGCATCCACACCGGCTTTCTTAGAAGCACGACGTTTCGCAGGAGGCTTCGAGTCATCCTCGTCATTCACTGTGGCGGACTTCTTCTTCTTGTGAGCCGTGTCCTTGTGCTGATTCAGCTGCGCAGATGATGCACATGTCTTGTCACAATCAGAGCACTGCCATGTGTTACAGAAATCCAAATTGGCATCAATTTTGCCTTGCAATGGACGCCTCGTCTTTGTGAGGAACAAGCGCATGTTGTGAACGAACTGCTTCAATTGGAAGAACTGCAACAAGTGGACGAGACAGAACGTTGTGGAGCAAAATGGCGTGTGCTCTTTTGAGCCCCAAATCCGATTCAATCTCTGCTCGTGTCAACCCTTTCAGCACATCAATGTTGTCATATCCTTCCTTTTGAATTTCCTGTTCAAGGCGGGCTCGTTCCTCTTCGGAGAAGAAGGAACAGCTGGCCACGAGGTCCTTCCAGTTCATCGTCATGGTCGTCGTTTTGTGTTTGTGCCGACGGGTCGAGTCGAGTCCATCGGAGTGAAAAAAATATCATTTGAATTGAAGACCATCGCACAGCCCTCACAGAAGGTCGTATCAGCGCCACCAAACGCCATCACGACGCCTACCAAGCGGCTTTCGAGACTCATCAAGCCACTCTCACTCCGGCTGAGCAGTCCCGCCTCAATCGCAGTCGTTGCACTGGCTCCTGGCTTGCAGTCATGCCCAATATTGCCAAACGCACTCACCTCTCTGCTCAAGAATGGCGTGATGCTCTTTTTCTCGGTTCGGTCTTACCCCCCAGCTCTTCCAGCCTTTGTATGGCTGTACGGGTCCCTTCAGCGTTCCACATGCTCTGGATTGCAAACCGGCGGCTTAATCATCCGTCGCCATAACGAAATCCGCAATGAACTTGTTCTATTGCATGTGAATGCTTTGGTTCCTCTAGCTCCAGTCAGAACCACCCTTCCCTCTGTTCCCGCCCCTACTCTCCCTGCCGGTCACCCAATTTCTACCTTACCTCCCTTCCTCCCCCCCTCTCAATCCCCCTCCAGCCCCTGAGCTCTTACGTGGTGATCTTTCTATTCGCGGCTTTTTTGAACGAGGTACTACAGCTATTATTGACGTCCGCGTCACTGATTTGGACTGTGCTCTTACCGCAACAAAGATCCCATCAAAGTTTTAACCAACAAGAACGCGACAAAATTTCCAATATAAAGAAGCGTGCGACAATCGCGCTTCCTTCCACCCTTTGTTGTTTCAGTGGAGGCATGCTTGCCCCTCAAACCAAGACTCTCTTACAACGCCTTGTTCTGCTACTGCCTCCAAAACTCAATTTTCCTACTCAAATGATGTTCTTCATGAGACCCGTATCTCAATTGCCCTTGTGAAGCTACCCATTTATGTCTCCGTGGATCCGCAAAGCCAAACCCTTTGCCCCCGTAATGGTCCTCAATTTCTTGCCCCTGATCCCTCAGAACCTAGTCCTGAATTTCGACTGTTCTTTGCTTAAGCCTGGCCCCGGCTGGCTTCCGTAGATAATTTCCCTACTCTAAACCCCTTTTACCACTGCTTTGAATCTTAGTAGTTAACTCTAATCGCGGGTTTTCATACTCCACGTTCCACGTTGTGGAAAATATTTTAAATATGAGGAACGAACTGATAGTTGTGATGCGCGAAATATAGATGTTGTTGTTGATCATATTGAGTATAACCTTTTGTTGTTGTTCATCATGTCTTCAGGATGTCCTTTAGTTGATTGCCATGGGCGTCTTTCTGTGAGCAGAGTCCGAGCGAAAAAGAAACTGCGATTTTTTGCAGGGTTTCATGATTTTCAAGATGAGGCGCGAACTGGTACATCAGTTCGATCCTCATATTAATTGAGTATATCCTTTTGTTGTTGTTGATCATGTCATCAGGATGTCCTTTAGTTGATTGCCATGGTCGTCTTTTTGTGGGCGAAGCTTGGAGGCAGAGCCGGAGGGAGAAAGAAGGTGCGACGTTGGCCGTTTTTAGCTCTGGAGTCAAGCGATTCGATTCACGATTTCAGATATGAGGCGCGAACTGGTACATCAGTTCGATCCTCATATTGCGTACTATTTCTTTTGCTTCATTGCTTCCATTGTATCAGTTCTTCTTAGGACGAGCGTCCTGTTGTTGTTTTGAGGCTGCGACTATTGCATGCCGCTGCTACAACTTTACAACCGATATTGTTCGATCCTCATAGTGAGTACAACTTTTGCTTTCGTTTGGATTTCTATCAAAGACGAGGGGCATTCTGTTGTTTTGCTTGATGCTGCGACTATTGCATGGCTCATTTCCAGAGCATGCAGAAACCGCCGGTCAACGTTGACGAATCGATGCATCGATGCATCACGGTCGTTTCGTTTTGATTGTGCGCCGTCTTTACCAGTGGAAGTAAGTGGCAAGCAGACGCACTGATTTGGTGGCTGTAAACACGTATGCAACCTTATACCAGTAGGTAGTGTTTATCTTCGTAGTTTAACTCTCAACGAAGGTTTTCATGATTTCACGAGAGGATCGTTACCGTACACATGATAAGAACCCATCTGCTAAGTCTTAGTTCGATGCTTGTTTGCTTCTGTTGGCTTATCTGCAGGACGAGGGGCATTCTGTTGTTTTGATGCTACCGTACTAGTACGGTACGACTATTGCATGGCTCATTTACAGAGAAGGCAGATGCATACCAGCACCGGCATGGCAAAGGGTGGCAAGGGGGGTTCGCCCGCGCATATCCAGCCAGAGCACGGAGGTTGCTGAAGAAAGTGTGCAGGACCGATGTCGTGACAAGCACCCCAGGAGACATGTGGATTTGTTCTGTTAGCATCTACCATGCAATGGCCAGCGACCCATTTTTTGTCCTTGGACGTCCTTCCAGTCCATCGCCACGTTGGTCGTTTTGTGGGACGCATGGAGCCAGAGCCGGAGCGGGAAACTGCAAACACCATTCTCGTCATGAAGTTCCTCAACGTCTTGCTCCTCGGAATGGAAAGGAAGAAAGACAAGCCAACCAAGGAGTCGAGATTGGAAGACTTACTGGTCCAGGATCATCATTGACACCACTGAAGTGATAGAACATACAATAATAATCAAGGGAAATAGAAATAGCGTTTGTTTTGGACTTCGTTAGCGTGATGCAGGAAACAATGTCTAGCCTTCCTTGTCAGCTTTTAAATTGATGTGCTGTAGGCAACGAGATGACGACATGTACGTACATAGAGCGAGAAAGACTGGCGCTAACTGGGCCGACTTTGTGGCTAGCTAAAGCGGAGGCTGCGGCTGCGGCTTGTCAGCTTATTCCGAGGAAACAAAACGTTGACGCTGCGGACATCCATGCAACACGCTGCGTGTAGCCTATGTAGTCAGTATCAACCATTTGAATCTCGTCGATCTGTCTCGCTCCAACAAAGAACTGGGCGTCGGTAGTGAGAGGGTGCGAGAGAGACCACAGCTGATCCAGTACAGGATTCTTCCCATCCAAACCCATATCGTACTTCGTTGTGGAATGCCGAGTCATAGCTATGATATCTACTAGCCATAGCAGACTTTGCCTTGCACACAGGTCCGCCATCCTGGATGAGTGACCAACTCGGCTTGAAGAAGTGTCTTGGTCACGCTGGTATCCAAGTTGACAATGGTGACAGACCCTCCCTCCGGAGGGCAGCGTCGGACGAGGTCAACTTGTCGAAGGCTTCTTGCGGGACACCTCCTTCGCTGCCACCGCCATTAAAGTGAAGAAAGGCGGGACAATTGTTGGTTTTGGACCGGCAATAGGCCTTGTTGTCTGCGTTGTTGTTGTTGTTGTTGTTGTTGTTGTTGTTGTTGTTGTTGTTGTTGTTGTTGTCATTCGAAGTTTGTTGCCAGGTTAACTCTTGGTTGATCAAATTCCACGATCCACCGGCAAAGAACAGATAGTCCGCATCCAACCCAATGAGGGAGGGGAAGCGCAAGTAGGCGGCATTGCCCAACAATTGATCGGTACCACATTGATGGCAGACTTCCTCGTCGGGTCGTCCCTGGACAATGTGGGCCAGTTCTTGGAGTATCAATCCCGCCCGAGAGGCCACCCCAATCCATCCTCCCGTATTTACAAATTTGCGTCCCTCCTGGACTGCCGTTTGCGGGTCGGCCAAGGGAAAGCGCGAATGAGACATGATGGCTTTCATGGCTTGGTTCTTGTCCTCGTCATTGTTGTTGTTGCCCTCCCCACAGACCGCATGGGGGACGCCAAAACTGTGTGGCCAAACGCCCATTAGGAAACACGTTCCCTCGGCGGAAAAGATAAACTCGTGGGATTGTGGTTTGTCGTGAAAGGCGTCGAGAACTTGTTGCGGGGATTGTTGAATCAAGACATCCTGGGCATCGGCAAAGACGACCAACGTCTCACTGGCCTTGTTGTCGTTTTGTTGATGTTGTGACAGGACCAAGTGAATGGCCTGGAGCGCATAGGTGTACTTGTACTTGTATCCGTGATAGGAGCCTTCGGTCAAGACTACATCCAGAAGCTTCACTCCATTACTTGCTTTCTGACGTATGCACCTTGCTGTGTCTTCCCTTCCGTGCTTCAGGAAATGGGATGAGTCTGTTCCTGGTCTCGTCAGCACTCGAAGTCCCACAATTTTTGTTCTATCTAACCATTGGTGAACTTGCTTCCTCCTTATATGACTCCTCCATCAGTGAGCATTGGAACCTCCCCCGACACTGCGCACTCTCCTTCCAGGTGATTAGCCCACGGCAACATGCACGTATGATACCACTTCGACCGATCACAACGTCTCTATCGGACGAGGCTCGACTGATGAGATGTGGCCCGCACGCTGTCTTTTCTGTTTTTGGATTGCTCATCTTCACATGACATGGCACTCATTCCGTGATCCGCCTTTAAAAGGAGTCATCTACTACCCCAAGCAGCAAGTGGATGACTTCGTTTACATGCCTCCGGCATGGCGGGCCAGGCTTGGAGCCCTGAGCTCTGTCTGAACCCGGCCCTGGCGGATCAAGTGTTTGTCTCCGCCAACTTGAGGATGTGTGCTGAACTGCTGTACAGTGATCTTGGAACCTTCTTCAATATAGCTGAGCAAGGGCCAGATTGGTTGGGAATTTTATAACTCGGGTGTCAACGCCACTGCCGGGCTGCTTTCACGGTTCCCTTGTTTGTGCCCCACAAGCTGCCTAGAAGGCCAGAACTGCACCGTCCAAGAGTTGGTCGCCCAAGCCCAGGGCTTCTGCTCCTTGGGCCACTGCAGTAGTTTGGGACTCAGTACCTATCCGGACCTGAGCGACACGGAGCCCTACAACTCGGTTGTCCCGCACCCCTACCGGTATTTGATGCACCAACCATGTCGACTACCACCATTTGCAAACGCGTTGGAAATCTCCCGACAACTGTTCAGTTGTTGCTGCCAATCGGTGCGGGCGGTGCTGATGACACCAACCAGACGAGGAGGAGGTCGAAGATCCTGCTGCCAGCGGCACAGGACATTCCATTCCCATTGTCTTGGCTTCTTTCTTGGGCGCAACGATTGTTTTGGCCTTGCAGCTCTAGCTAGCTACCCAATCGGAGATCGTAGAAGACATCAATATTATTTGTCTTCCACCATCCATCGATTGATTCAATTCTGCGTCAATCTTGACAAATCTACCTCCACTGGCCTGGATCTGCTTCAGTGCCTTGGCGACTACTAGTACCCCCTCTCTCTGCTTGAACGTCCTGGCTTCCACGAAACGTAATCCACAACCATGCACGGATCCATGGGAATAACAATAATAATAAGCTGACATCTCTCTTGTGCTACCGGTACTAGCTAGCTAGTTTGGCTTAGCTCGGCTTCATGCATCCTTCGTGAGATGCTGCTTGATCATCTCTGCCTGCCTTCTAAATCTGTTGTTGGCTTTGACATGGTGATGAACTGGCAAGAGTACAAGTAAGCCAGGGGGCCATGGAGCCTCTTCTTTGACCTACAGCTTCGGTTTGAACAATAGGATCTGTCGCCCAACAATAACGAGGTGTGGTAGATGATGATTTCCCCGTGAAAGACACATGTGACTTTTTTTAAATGCCAAAGTATAGTCACTTCCGGATGATTGATTTATACATTTGCAACAGTCTCTCGTCGTAGTTGCAACCCAAACCGCGACGCAATAAAGGCGGCCGCCCGTGTGGCATTAATGTCCATGCCTTTGTTCGACCGCGCAATATTGTGTATATGATCTTCGGCATGCAAGGAAAAGTGTTCAATCCCCACCTGCCGGGAAAATGCCGAGAACCACCCCAGCGGCCCATACCAATCCCGTGGATTGCTGGCATCTTGTCGCCGTGTCAACGACTCGTTGGCACGCAACCGTGTTTTGACAATGGGGACAATTTCCACCACTTGTGTGCGCGGTCTGGAAAAAATGAGATTGGCCAAGTGGGCTCCATGCACCGTGACAATATGCGAATACGCATTGTACTGGGCGGCTTGTTGGGTAAAATTGAAATCATTCCATTCCGCCCCCACAATGTCCACTTTGACATGATATCCGTGTTCCAGTATTTCTGCCACTTCAAACGACGAATTCCAATGTCGATGTTTGGAGCCAAATCGATTGTAAAAGAAAATGTGTGGTCCCCCTCCTTTTTGGATTTCTTGTTCCGTCCATGGCTCACTCTTCAATCCCAAATTGTGCCAGAGTGTTTGTCGAAACTCGTAAAGCGCCTCACTGGGATAGGGAGTCACGGTGAGGTTGGCCCCACCGATAATCAATAGCTTGTGACCTCCCAGTTCCATCTCTTCTTTGGCAATGGGTATCATTTCTTGATTGAATGGATACCGCAATTGTTCCGTGGCAGGTATAAACAATCGTTCAAAGCACGCCGGTTCGCTGCTTGGCAGATATCCTTGTTCTTGTACAAAGTCGGCCGCCTGCAATAGTTGATTGCAGTAATGATGTGGTTCGTACGGCTTTATGTGTCTCCAATGGACTTGCAGCCAGTGGGGATACTCGGGCGAAGATGTCTTTGGTAGAGTGTGTCGTTCGTATCGGTCTCGAATCAAGGGCATCATGTAGTCACTGATGCAATGACCCGGATTGGAAAAGAGCGGTTGTGCCAATAGCGTATCGCCTTGAATGAGAGGCCATTTTTGAGTGTCGGTATACCACTGTTTCAAGGGTCGCCCTTGCGTGCCATGGAGCGCATCGACTTGTTTTTTGTGATAATTGAGTGTGGAATGCAAATCGACTGCCTCCTCTGTGTAAGACAGCAACACCATGTCCTTACTATCTGCCTTTGTCAGACACACATGCTCAAACAAATCCACACCCAGTGATAGTGGCGTAATTTTGGAGCCAGTGAATGGCTGTTGTGGCTTTTGGGAAGACGCCGTTGGTTCTGGTGGTGTCCTGTCAGTTGTCAGTGTTGTCAGGGTTGTCGTGTTGTTATGTATTGTCGAGTTGGTTGAGGCATTATTGATTTGAGGCCTCTTGTCATCCACCACAAAATCAGTGGTTTGGCACTGATTTCTCGTGAATGTTATTTGTACCATGATCATGAGAGTCACTAACCCAATCCAAGTTGTCGCTTTTCTCCGAGGAGTTGCAAGGGCCACAGGTTCTGTCATCTTGATTTACTTTATTTATGAATTAGTTAGGGAAGGGAAAGGAAGTGGTGGTGTTTGTGGTGGTACTGGTACCCAAGCTAGGCAAAGAAGTGATGGGTGTGTGGCGTGGGAAGGATCTGGCAGAAAAATGTGGCGAACGCGATGGGATCAAATAATGACTGTGTCGGAGGCATTGGGACATTGACGAGTGACCGTGTAAGAAGACAAAAGTTATGCATAGCTCTAACCTTAATGATTTTTGTCACCGGTCATCTGTGTCAGAAAGGTATTTTCGTATGACGGACAGACGACTCGGGATCCACAATCACGGTTCGTGATTGGGGATGTGTGACTCAAATCAGATGGTTATCCGATCATCATCAGATGGCCAGGTGTACGAGGAACGAGGACAATGGTCGTCTAGATGATGCAACTACAAAGGTTAGGAAGTTAGGTCGAAGAGATGAATGCAAGGAGCGACGGGATGGAGCAAATGAATGGACGGATGAAGGTCCATAGGTTTAGTAAAGTGGGAAAGCCCTCCAGGGCCAACCATGCACTTCAGGAAGATAGATCGACGAGATCTATCTGTAGATGAAACTGCAAGAAGCAGAGGATCGAAAGATCCTGGTATATGTATGCATATCGGAGCTCAGTTGTAGAGCTCACAATCTGAACGAGAGAGAAAGAGAAAACGAAACGAATAGCCAGTCTACTAGACAGTAGAGCTGGAAGGATATTGATTAAATTAGAGAAATTGTGCGTTCAAGTTCACACCTTTTCAACACATCTGGGAAAAGAACCAAGTGATCGTGGAAGCCAAGACCACCATCCTGCCAAAAATCCAAGGGCACCTTCTCCACAAAAAAGGATAGAGGACCATGGGCGGCAACCGTTGGAGCTCTTCCTCCTCTCTGTTGGCCTTGATGGCCAGCTTGTTGCTGCTTCTACTACAGGTGTCATGTGTATGGTCAGAATCGACAGTGGACGTGGAGAGAAGGTCGCTTCGAAACTTGGGAACTTGGTATGAAGATGAATCGGGAAAAGACACTGCTCCTGCTGCTAGTACTACTACTACTACTACAACATCACCCAAGCAAAACAACACTGACGCTCCCGCTGCTGTCACAACGTCAGCTCCTGCTGTTCCGTATCCACAACCCTATCAGTTGTGGGAGCCCAAACACATTAAAGATCAATTGTTCGAATGGGCCGAATACTTTCCCGAATTTGTGCGGTTGACCAATGCTCAAGATCAATACGGTCTGCCAACCGCCGGCAATGAACACGATTGTCCGTACGACGACGATGTCCCGGGGTGTCGCAACTACATCATGACATTGCAAGACTACGAAAAACACCCCGAAGGTAGCGACAGCAGCAATCGTCTCCCCGAAGTCTTTTGGAGTGGCGAATTGCACGGCAATGAACGCGTCGGTCCTACCGCTGTCATGCAAGCTACGCACTTGCTCTTACTCGCAGCATCCTGTCAAGCCAAACCGCGTCATTTTGATACGTCCCGCCATTCCTTTAATGAAAAAACCGCCGATTGGGCGTCCCAGAAAAAAGCCGCCAAAGATTGTCGACTTTTACTCGAAAAGGAACATGGCATGGACGATGCCCATCGACAGTGGTTGGCTCGTATTCTTTCGACGAGACGCATCGTGGTGGTCCCCACCGCCAATGCCTTGGGATATTACATGAATTTGCGAGAAGAGCTGCGCAATGATCCCAATCGAGATTTCCCCTACGATGTCGAAAATGCCAAGGATTGTATGAAAACCATTGCGGGACGAACCCTCAATGAAATATTTCGAGAGCACATGTTTCAATTGTCGCTCACATTCCATGCCGGTATGGAAGTAGTGGGATACGAATGGGGGGCTCCTACATGGATGGGACATTTGAGTCCGGATGATACGGCGCAAGCGACGATTGGACGAGCGTACAGTGAATACGGAGGTACATTCAAGGGATCTACTCCGTACAATTATGGAACCATGAATGATTTGGTGTATTATGTACGAGGGTAAGTGCATGGAGTTTTATCGTTTCATTCATTTTTTGTTGACACACACACACACACACATTTACAATTACCTTTTTTTATTTATTTTAAAACAGTGGCTTTGAGGATTGGGCGTATGCGGGATCGTGGGATCCCGATCGCGTCATTGCCTGTCAACCGACCACCCATGGAGGATACGATGCTGCCAAAACCAAATACGACAATTCCACCCTTCGCGTCTTTAACATGCTCGTCGAAACCAGTAACCGCAAAATACCACCCGCAAGTACGTTGGGCACGTCCAAAGATGTTTTCAACAACAAGACGGCCGGTAATGGACACGTCAGTCGCAACATTCGTCTCTCCTTAATGGCGTCGGATGTCGTACAGCCTTATGTGGCCATGGTGGGCGTCAATGAATTGACATTGACCGATGATGTCGTGCCCATGGTACAAGACGAAGGACGATCCTGTCAGGATACCAAAGCCGTCATGGTACCGGGAAACAACAATGTCACGTACCGATGGACTGTCGGAGGAGCCTTTGACATTGACTCGACGGAACTCTGGTATGCCAAATGGGATGATGTTCCCGCCGATGTGCTGGATTGTGTGCAGAATACTCCCAGTCGGGAGAATTTGGAACAGCATTTTACCAAAGCAACATTGCTGGGTCCTTCCAGTGGAACGGGATTCTTTTCCCATCAAGGTCCCGTTCCAGCGCCACAGGGCAAAAAGAAGGAGGCACTGGGACCCGTCTTTTCTGGAACCATGGATGTATCCTCCTTTCATACGCACGACAAATTGGTGGTGCTTGCCACGGCACGTGTCGATCAAAATTGGCAGACCATGCCTGCCGACTATGCACCCAAATTACCACCGCAGTCTCACATTGTCAATGCCCGGACCAATCCGGATTGGCACCACCAGTTGCCAGACGGCAAGGTCATTCAGGGACGATTGGATTGGTTCTCCATTCCTCTGACTGTGGTTGTGGGAGATTATCAAGACAGTGTGGGCACCCAAGCGGGGCGACAAGTGGGAACGGTCGAACTTTCCAACCGATTTGGTGAGACCACTGGAGACTATCATGCTGGCATGACACCTTCTGCTCCGTCTTCCTCCTCCACAACAGGGGACAACAACAACAAGAAGAAGGGACCCAGCATGACATTTTTGGTGGTAATTGTAGTAGTGGTGTGCAGTTTTGTAGTGTACAAGCGGTTCTCGGGACCAAAGTACAAGATGGACTACGACACAACCTACCAGGACAATGATGAAGATGACGATGAATATGGGATGAGAGGGGCGTCCTACTCGGACAAGCCGAAGGAAATGGAATTGACCTGACTCAGCAAATATAGCAAGAAACCAGTGTCCAGGAACCTGAAGAGGACTGGCCGCATGTAACGCCCATAAAATTGCATAACTACATTACATTTTTTACGATACAGTGTGATCAAGCACAGTAGTGTAATATGATAGTTTAGAGACACAAAACGGCAACAGCAGCAATCAAAGCAAACGCCATGTGGCTAACGAAAGAGTCAACGTCTGAAAGTCTTCTCATCGCACCCGATGTGTTGGTTGCGGCATCGGTGGTGGTGGATGTGGAAGAGTCTTCTTCCCCATTGTCTTCGGGGTCGTGATCTTCTCCCATGGTGTTGTTATTCTTGTCACCGCCGTCCATGGTGTTGTTGTTGTTGTGGCCATTGTCATTGTGTGTTTCCATCGTTGTTGTTTCGAGGTCATTGTTAGCTGCCTCCGTCCCAGCCACATTGGTGAATTCATGACTCGGACCAATATAGTTCTCGACTCCAAAGTCCGCTGGTTCCCCCAAGCCCAAGTCATTGTTCCATAGAAAATTTCCAGAGAGTTGATTCTGGGATGCATTGGCCATTTGACCGGGTGGTACACACGGTGGATTGCTGTTGGCACCACACAAGTGAATGCCATAACCAGCACAACCAAAGACGGTATTGTCAATGAAAGAGTTCCTATCGCCTTGAATTTGAATGCCATCTCCTGCAATTCCTGAAACTGTATTTTCTTTAATGACATTGTCGATGGAAAGAGAATCGGGAGTTTCTTGTATGATGACAATTCCAAGTCTGGTAGCATTCGCCACAATATTGTCTTCAATATGCGATTCGCTGGTGGGTAGATGAATGTGATCTTGGTAGTTTCCCCGAAAGGTAGAATCTTCGCAGACCACTCCCGTGGCTCGGAATACCAAGAGACCGCGAGATCCTGGTGCAAAAGGTTCTAGTGGTTCCCCCGTGCGGTATCGTTCCACAACAAGGTTGCTCAACGTGGCATTGACGGCGGGTGGTCTGACAAAAACACCTACATCTCGTTTGGTGGCTGGACCCATGGGGTGTCGAATGCTGAGATTCTCCAGAGTAATATTGGGGGCCAAGAGATCTACTACCACGTCCACAGGGACATCGGCCGGAGCTTGTTGATCCGGGACACCTCCCGCCGACTCGATGGTGGCCTGATTCTCCTCGTCTTCCGATTCCAGTGTCAAGCCAGCCGTCATGATTCGGATATTCTCCACAAAAGTCCCTGAGCCAATGCTAATGGTAGCACCCTCAGAGGCTACATCCACAGCGGCTTGAATGGATCCACAGGCATCGTCCAACGAAGTACAGGTAGTGCTGGTGCCGCCTACTACCACATAAAGGGTATCTTGGGCATTGGTGGGACAAATAAGTGCCAATACTACTAGTAATAGCAAGAGAGCCGAAAGAAGCTTCATACTAGTAGTTCCTCTTTATTAACCAATACTGTACTCGTTGACACTCAACTAAAAAGACAATCAAAGTCCAACGCTTTGTGGAACTCGCTCTTGCTTCCAACAACACAGGCAATGTGATGCTCTACTGGTAGCACCATGGTTTTCTTGAGCCCATTGGGTTTGATTGGTTGGTGCAAAAGATCCAGATCAATTTAACCAGCAGAGCCGCTAAAAGAACCAGCTTGCCGTCTGCATGGAATAGCTACGAAATTTTTTTGCCTCAAAGTGCGCGAAGGAGAAGATGGAACGTCTTTCTATCGCTTGATAATCAGCTTGAATTCTATCAGCTCTGGTTCTTCTAGCTAGCTACAGTAGCTAGCGACCTTCGCTTTCTCACCAAAGATAATGTGACGTGATTGGCGACCATTCTCTTTACCGCCGTTCAGGCAATTTTCTGTGCTGTGTTGGCCCACGGGGAAATATTCTTTGTTTTTGTTGTATAGTTAGTTTTTTATGTTGTAAAAGTATTGCCTCTTTTGGGATTATCTTCTCAGGCTCTAGTAGTTGAATATATATATTGATCTATATAATCTATGCAATCTCGGGCAAATTGTCGGTCAGATCAGGGCCAACCTGAGGTGGCATTTCTGTGGCTGCCTCCTCGGCTGCCTTTTTGTTTCTTGTCTCCCAATGGATTCCATCACCACAAAAGTGTTGGACATACAAGCCAAAGACGGAAATGACGCCAAAAACGACATAGATCAATCCAGGAGCATACTTTCCGACATTGACATAGAGTGCCGTAGCAATGGCCGGAGAAAATCCTCCCACCAAGGCATGTGCCAAATCGTATCCCAAACTGGCAGATGTCAGACGCACTTCGGGAGAAAAGTTTTCCACGAGCCACGCGCAGAGCGGTCCACCAAAGAAACTCAAGAGCACTCCCAGTGTAAACTGACTTAGGAACGCCAAAAAGGGGTTTCCTTTGCTGATTAGAATGAGTAGGACCGGTCCCAAAGCCGCCAAGCCAACACCCGCACAAGTCATGATTGGAACTCGTCCAACGCGATCGGACATAGATCCAGCAATGGGCAGCATAAAGGTCATGCCCAAGAGCATACTCACAGCATTAATCCAAAAAGCCCCAGGGACTGGTGGTTCATTCAATTCGTCCATGAAGATTGCCATCCACACAAAGGACACATAAAACCCAGAAGCCCATAACATGGGCGTCAATGCGGTACTCAAGAGCGCCCATCGATTTTCTTTGGCCAATGCCACTCGAATGGGATTTTTAATGGCGGAATCTTCACTGTCATAGACCCCCGCTGTGGTATGAACGTCGGCACCCGTGGCTTTTAAATACAGCGCCACCGCAGCAATGAGAATCCCGGAAAAGAAGGGCAATCGCCATCCCCACGACAACAATTGTTCTTCCGAAAGCACTTGTCGCATAAACGCTCCACACAAATTTCCCAATAGGGTACCCACGTTGGCCGCCACCATGGGCAAGGAACCATAATACCCCCATTGTTGAGGATCTCTTTTTTCCACGGTATACACGAGCGACGCGGGCAGCTGTCCACCCACACTCACACCTTGCACCAATCGGCAGACGACGAGTAGGAAAATACTCCATCCTCCTGCCGTTTTGTAAGTTGGCAAACATCCCATCAATGTGGTAGGAATGGCCATCATAAAGAGACTCTTGGTCAATGCTTCTTTGCGACCGTGCTTGTCGCCGACATACCCAATGAGTAACCCTCCCACGGGGCGCATTAAAAAGGCACCGCCAAAAATGCAAAATGACTTGACCAAATTGGCGTGATCGTCATCGTCATTGTCGGAAGGAGGAAAGAACACTTGGGCAATCACATCGGAAAAGTAACCAAAGAGAGCGAAATCTGGGGATAGATTTATGGTACGCATGGGATGTTAGAAGTACATGTAGTGTCATTTGTATCCCAATTGACCACTCAGTAACTCACCATACCACTCTAGCACATTTCCCATTACGCCAGCGACGGTGCTGTGCCATGGTTCGTCTACTACCGTTGATGTCGACATTGTTTAGCAAATTAAAATTGGATCTTTGAGGAGTGTTTGGTTGGGCTCTGAAAATTTGTGATCTTGCAGTTGTGTCTGCAATGCAAAGAGGTCATGCAAGCGTTTGTGTGCATACAACGGCTACGATGGACCTGTCGAAAGATAGCTTCTTCTTTTATGTTTATCGTCCACTTGAACATGGGCGTGCCAAAGACCGCGGTCATCGTCCCGCTACCGGTACATTGGTCGCGCGAAATAATGGTCACAAAACCATCCAGCACAGCTGTTTGAGCGGAAAGCCAAAGGGGGCTTGCCAGCAAGTTGTAGGTACCGGTACTAGCTAGTACCTACAGTACCAGTACCCGGTGGCTACCGCTGCCGGTATCTAGCTAGCTAGAGCTGGCCCATCAAAGCCATCTGCAGGCGAAGCAAGGGAAAGAAAAGTCGAAACTTTGGACTGTGCTTGGAGCATTCTGTGTGCACGGTGCTTGAGCTTGGGGAGCTTTACCAGTAGTGCCAGAGCGAGTCTGGACGGTAGCTGTCGACAGCCGAGCATTCCATGGAAGCGAGTAGCTTCCGTGATAGCTAGCCTGGACTCGACTCTATTTATCGCACTTGGAAAGGCAAAAAACTTTCTCCACACCGGCGGATCCTTTGGGAAGTTGAGCGAGTGTAGTCGCAGAGGCGTGAAGGCAGACTGTGCGTGTGAAGGGCCGAAAGCTAAAGTATGACTCATGAGCTCCGGCTGTACATGGCATACCGGTACAGTGTAGCATAGAAGATCGTCATTGTCATTTACAGTTTATTGTTCTATAGCTGGTTCCAGTAGCTTGATTGGATACGTAGTACATGTACATTCTCCCTCGCCGCTACGTCACTTGCTTGTCTTCCACCTTGCTTGTCTCCATAATAGTAGGACTAGTGATGTCTGGTTTGTTCTTGTGGGGCAGAATATCCTGATCCACTGGCACGACAAAGGGAAATGTTCCATACAGGGAGCTATCCTGAAGTGCCTTTAATGTCCAAACGGCCAGATCGGCCAGGGTGATTGGGAAATTGGTCGAGGAGAAATGATCTGCCTTCAATTCTTCCGTATCGCCTTGTTTGTCATTGAGTGCTGCTGGTCGGGAGACAATGAATTTGAATCCTAGCGCATTGGCGTTGTCGTAGTAGTACTGGACGACGTTGGTATTGTCTTCACAATTGGGACCAATTCCCATAATCCATTTCCCCAGTACAGTCTTGACGACAGAATTGACAATGGTGAGTGGTCGATCCGGTGTTGGCGAAAAGGCATCGGCTTGATAGAGAACGACCTTGACGGATGTAGATGATGATTGTGACTGTTGTTCTCGAATCACCTCGGTCAGTGTAGTCACAAAGTTCAGCATGAGATCTTTGGGATAATCCTTTGGCTTTCCAGCCGGTGCTCCTGCCATGACTACCACATAATCAGCTCCTTGGACGGTTTGGGCAATGATTTCCTTTTGTGTAAAACTGCCTTGAACGATGGTCAGGGATTCCTTTTCTCGCAGATCGTCTGGTACTTTGTTTACCGTGCGAACCGCGGCTCTCACTTGAAAGCCTTCATGGAGTGCTCAAAAAGTGTTTGCCCGTGCATCCAGTGGCGCCAAAGAGCGCAATGGTTTCTCCTGTCATTCCTGTACTATTTATTAACTAATATGGGATACGGTAGATAGATCCGTGTGTGTGGTCAAAGTTGGGTGTGCTTCTGTGCTTCTGCTTTTGTGTTTGGTGTCAAATTTGTGAGAAGAGAAGACAAAGGTGAGTGGACTGCAATAATTTCGTCTCCTGGAGACGATTTGCTTTAGGGGTAATGGTACCGATGGGGGCAGAGGTTTGAATTATACCCGGCGCGCATTACTTAGAAGGCCCTGTAGAAGTCTACGTATTCGACTAATAGTATTGTATTGACGGGATACAGTCAACGCATGTACATGCACATGAAAGTCGCCTTGCGTTCTTCACATTTTAAAAGTTGGCTCCTAATTTTTCGGGTCGCCTGTGATTTGATTGGACGCTTGATCTTTTTTCAATGACTGACATTGATGACGTACGAGGTGCAATTCGAATCTCAGAAAGGTAGTTGTAGTAATAAAAGTTTTTATTATAGATTTAATCGTTAATTTAACCTATATCCCTACCGTTTATATTATAACAAGAACCCGTCTTCCGCTGGAACATTTCATCGTATTGATCTTCTCCTAGGACAAGAAAGCCCAATAGTATCCTTAAATCTTGCAAGCATTGTCTCTCATTCGTTGTGGCATGGCAAAGTTCTTTGGATCCCAATCCAGCTTCTTCAATAAGAACAAACCCACTCATGGTTCGCACCCTTGATAACACCACGTAAGCCAGTTTTGACAGTATCGCCCTGAATGTACCAATAACCACACTGCAGTATATCCCTGTAATTTGTGTCCATGTGTCGCAGAATTGCTGATAAACGGGAACTGCTTACCCTTCATCTTGGTGTGTACAATTCTCCGTCATAAAACCATCTGGTGCTGAAAGTGTAGTCTTGCTCCGTTACATAAAAAGTACGTGGCATAAAAGTCTCCATTTCATGTTCCAACAAGGATAGATTTGACTTGACCTGAGAAAAAACCCGAATCTTGCAGCCGTTGTCGAGTTGAATAATCATGGGGTGCAACCATCCCTCACATCACCTTTCTCACAAAAAGCCGGATCCATTGCTTCTCCATTCGGAACATTCGTGTTCTCTGTAAACATTACAGGACACCCCTATATAACTTCAAAGCAGGTCAACACGTTTTCGTGAGTTCGAACCGGGTTTTAACGATCTTCTCCACATGTTTAAAAGAAGTGCTTTAAAACGAATTGCTCTTAACAGGACCAGTGTCCCTGCTTGATGGCCATTTGAAGATCGTCCATGAAAATGAGTACTGCATCCATCAGCACGAATCATCAGCAGGTTTGTTCTTCCGAAAATTCTTGAAGATAGCTGAGTTAATGGCATCTCGATCTCGATTCAGATAAGTAGCAACTTGAATGTTCTCTGGTGGAACATGGGTTGGGCCAACCACGCAGGCGTCATTGATGGTCTCAATATCTTCTTCTGTTTGGTCGCCCTTCACGGAATCTTAAACAGCGTTGCCCCCATTCAGGATCGTCTGCTTTGAAGCGGTGCATTCCAACTAACTCAATAAATGAATTCAGAGAGTCATGAAATTCAAGGAATGGTGTGCTGAAGATGTAAATTGGGGGGCGTCCACACTGGTTCAAGTTGAGAGTAGTCCCCCGCGACACCAAGTTAAGTCCCCCAAATGGTTGGTATTCGTCTTGCATCAAGTCTTTGTGTAGTGGAATATCTTCACTAAGTCAAGTTCCCCCGGAATGAAATTTCGTCGATGAAAAGCATCCGTGCGTACTCCATTCTTCTACCAATTCTTCGCCACACTTTCCGAGTTCTGTTCAATCCCACAGCTGATGCGTTGTTTCCCCATGCAGTATTGTAGCAGCAACCCCGACATAGCAGTGACAACAATGGTTCGGTCGTTAAATGATGATCAATCAAACCGCAGAATTCTTTGCCATAGGCCATGACTAAGTCAATTACGTAGACTTCCCACTTCCTCCAGGCCCATGTAGAAGAAGAATCAGTTGGGTGCCACGACTTCCCTTCAAATCAAAAGGTTTTTACGAAAAGTCGGACTTTTGCCTCAACCCCATATCCGGGACTCATCCTCTAAGTCCACCTTTTCAGCTTCCTCAAAAAATGTCAACAAGAAGGCTGCAATGATACACTCGAAAGCCCTTCTCTGTTTGTGGTCCAGATTGGCAGCCGTTGCCCAGTCACTTATACTTCTCACGCTTCCATTCGCCTGCGACACTCAACCTGCGGATTGTACTTAAATACATTTGCCCTTTGGATGCACTCCGTTTGTTAAGTAGAACTTCAATGATCTTTGATATCGAGGTGTAGGCGGTTTTACTTGCTTCTCTTTGTAATGCCAGTCGTGTGAAAGTAGCACTTATGGTAACAAATTCGTCTTCTCTAACAATTCTCAGGAATGGGTACTGCACGTTGTATCCTGCTTGTCGCTTCCATTGTGAGTATAGCCGTAAAACTAAGACCATCAAATGTGCTTGCCAGAAAGTCCCGGTTGAATCTGTTGTGCCCTGGCCTTCAAGATCACGTATCCAATCTTCGTTAACCTTTTGAATCAGATCTCTTCCTCATGTTCGTGCTCATCATCAGATCGTTTTCGTACATGTTCTCCTCCCAATGTTCCGGTCTATAGGGATTGGTAACTCGTTGAAGATCATCCTCTTCACTTATACCTCGGGTGTTTGAAAGCGGTGTCTTGAAGTTTCTGGATGAATGACAGTTCCTTTCTGAGAAGACGACGGTTCTTCGTTATTCGCTTTTCTCGAACATCGTATTCATACACTTCACGAAGTCTTCAGCGAAAGCATAGTTGTCTGGGGTACTGGACTTCTTTAAATCAGCCAAACATCGATGCGGCAAGTACAAACACCAATAGCACTTCCGCATAATATCCATTGCCTGGTTCATTTCGCCAGTAGGACAGTGGTATTCGCACCAAAAGCCTGCATCTGAGAAGGCCCATTGTGGAACCCGAACCATGCTTCTTCTTTCCTCAAAATTACTCCGCTGAAGTTTCACCAGTTAAACCCCGTCGTCTCTTTGATCGCTGATGGATGCACGAAATGCCCAGTGTCAGCTATAAAGGCCATTTTCCTCATCAGTTCCTGACGCTTCCGCCTGTGGACACTCTTCATTGGTCGTTCTCTCGTAAAGCTCGTAAAACCGCTTCACTGACACTTCTCTAGATCTTTGTTTCGAACAGATAGTGGAGCGCCTGGTCTCAAGATAAGCATGACCTGTTGGTGAATATCGTAGTTCTGATGACACTTCTTGTTTGTTAACAGCAAAATTACATCTTTGATCGGACAGTAGAGAAAGCGATGTGAAAGTAGAACACTTGATTTGTCCGCGTAATGAATGAGGCAATGATGGACCAATGATATTTGACTGTTTATGGGCAAAAGCTGCACGGCAGATCACGAAGAGCCTCCTTGTCATCGTTTCATACACTCTTCCGTTTAGAGGACTTAATAGCACGCTCACAGTAGCATACTCGGCCGTGTCGTCTTGCTGCGTAGACATTGTGTTGTACTTCATCTGATACATGACAAGGGTCCAACCGTAATAAAGGATACGTTGCTGTTGCAGCAAACTTGGACTCTGAAAAAGCCTTGCACGACTGATTCTGGAACAGATCATACGCATTCCTTTTCGGTTGGAATTCCACTATAGCTGTTTCCGGGAACCTCCGGTCCCATCAAACCACTTGGTTTCTGTATTCATTGCAACCACCCTTGATTCGACCGAGGCCTGTCAGGAAGCCTTGTCGACATTCGCACTTTGGGGTGGTCCACATGTATGCGCTCGACCCAGCTTGTTGCACTTGAAGCATCCTTTGACATGACAAGAAGTATGATGTTGATAGAGAGCATTAATAATCACTGTAGGTTGTTCAGATACTGTTGCCCCATACTCTTCTGGAAATACACAACACGAGCCTGCATTCTGGTTTTGGCACTATGTTCCCCTCATCACCGGTGGTTCCTGATCCATTCATTCCTTCACACGTTCGTAAATACCCAGTCAACAGATCCTCATAAGTAAATTCGAATACCGCAGTGATACACAGTATGCAAACTTTCCCGATACAGCGTTGTACCCCTTTTATGTCTTATGTACCGGATTACCTGATCCACACAACACCAGGGGATCCCGACTCTTGGACACTTTACAGCATGATCAGAAAGATCCAGAGAGTTCTGGTATCTGTGGGAACATCTCTGTAGTAGCCATCGTTCGTGGTATCTTGAAAAGCACTTGTCGGACATCTCTTCCGTTGCGATCTCGCTTCGCACAAAACACCTTCTTGCAGCTTAAAGAAATTCTTGATCCAAACTGTAAGATGGGTGTGCACTGAATTTCGGCCTTGTTCTTCAAATGCTGCTGCCATCGCAACACTTCCCCAAAAAGTCCCGGCTCTTCTGTAACACAGTTGTTATGGCGGTCCCTCCTATAACTTCTTCACATAGAATGTCGAACAAACATATCGAAATGGAGTCTCCTAGTGTGGAAAATCTAACGAACTGTCTCCGTTCTTTTCTTCCTTCTTGAAGATCTCCTCGCTTGCATCTTCCCCATCACCGTCAGGCCCTTCTCACTTCTTTCCGTTAGTACTTCCATTAGCACCTGTTTTCGTCATCAAAGTCACTGTCAAGAATACAGGACCCGTGCCAAAGTAGTGGTTCATTGATTCAGCGGTACCTCTAGCCAACTTGGCTGCTTCATTTGTGTGGGGCAGTGCTTTGCTGATAGCATTTACGGCATTCAGTATGCACTTGCTTGAAGTAGACCCGGCTTGATAATTCCTGCTCTTCGACTTGATATAGCCCTAGACACTCATCTCCATCTAGACCTCCGCAATTGCCTTTGCAGAAAACTTCCCTTCAACTGAAGTCGGGCTCTCTTGAAAAGTCGGATTTTGTCCCAATACTATACACAAACAACTGGAACATAGTGAATGAAAATCCGGTTGGGACAGCTGAAAAAAGTGCGCCAGGAAGTTTCTGTGTTCGTCAGTTCTCCAACATCCGTCCTCCATAAGTCTGAAATCCTTCATACTTCCGAGCCATATGGGAAGTTCAGCAAACACGACTGAATCAAGGCATCAGAATCCGTCCCTTGTAAAAAAGCCTTTGTAGAGATCATGCTGGA